ACTACTATACTCAACAGTCTATCACCCACAAATGAATGGTCAGTCAGAAAGAACTAATCAAACAGTTGAAATTGCACTCATTCATCTTCTACTAAGCATCAATGACTCATTGCAATGACACACACTTCTATCTACATTGCAAAGATACCTAAATTCAGCAATGAACACCAGCACAAAAACATCAGCATATAAAATACTCTATGATATAAAACTCTCAACAGTATTAAACTGGCCACTGAATGACCAATCTCAATTCACAGTCAAGACAGATGCTGCTCTACTTCTTGATGAAGCAACAATGGTAGCAAAACATTATTTTGATAAAAAGCATCAATATTCAGAATTTAAGAAAGAAGATCAAGTTTATCTCCAACTTTGCAAAGAATATATCACTGTGCTCAGCAAACAACTGTGAAAATTTGATGACTGATATGCAGAATCTTTTACCATAACAAAAAAAGTAGAAAAGTTAGCTTGTGAGCTGAATCTGTCAGACTCATGAAAAGTCCATAAAACAGTCAGCATTGTTCATTTGAAATCAGCTTCAAATCTATCAGATCTTTTTAAATGAACAATTCAATTCTCCTCATCAATACAAATTGATGGTCATGAGAAATATGAACTAGAATGAATTGTTGCAGAATGTCTGAAAGACAAAGATATCAAAGCAAAAAAAGAATATCTAGTTCACTGAAAGAGATATGAACTTCAAGAAGACTTCTGATTAAAAGAATCAGAACTAGCCAACACAAAAGAACTGTTGCATCAATACAAACATGCAAACAAGCTTATATAATGTTATGTTCAACAACAACAACAACACAAACAACTCACAAATGCTAAGCAAATATATAATAGTTCACTTCCCCCAAACATTCTTCATTCTACAATCTCATCTAACATAACATCTTTTCTGACATTCTCTAACAGACTTTTTCTAGTATTCAAGAAATCAATCTTTCAATTTATATCCAAGCAACTGCTCAGTCTTTTCAACTCAAGCAACAGTCCATTCACTTTGTATTCAAGCAACTGCTCATTCTCTTCTACTTAAGCAACTGCACATTCTCTAATTCCCAATCATCTGTTCAGCATGAACACCCCCCCAAATACTAATGCATCTTCAAAAATCTCTATTAGAGCATCAAAGCTCATAATTCTATCTGTATCAAAGACCCTCTTCTGAGCCAAGAAATGATGTAAACTTCAAGATCAATGTGAAGTTTCAGAAGAGAACACAGACTTTTAAGCAGACTATATTCTACAATTCATATCTGAAAATGCTCAAGTCAGAATTCTATCTGCTAATGAATGGAACTTTCAGGACTCTTCATTCTGCAATTCTCCATCAGCTGTCTCAGAACCATGTCATCTCACTCAGATTAAGATAGAAATGATCACAGATGCATGAAAGAACAAAATTATGATAAATAAGCATACAGAAAACAAAATCATCACATGAAATCACAATGAATGAATTTATATTCATCTATCTGTCAGAGCACCTTTTTTTGAACAGTGTGATTCAGTGAAATGCAATATTGATGATGAACATGTACAATATGATGAATCTTTTACAATCTTGCAACAATGAACAGCAGCTGCTTTAGCCCTACAAACTCAAGCTGAATTAATCAGAGCTGAAATCAACAGAAAATGTGAAGAAGAAATAATTCAGTGAAGAGAGAGTCAGATCATATGAAAGCAGAAATTTCTTTAAAGAGAATGATTCAAAAATCACAACATCATCATTTAAGCTTCAGAAACAACAGACATGATAATCAATGAAGCAATTAATCATCTAGAGAATCTCTCTGAAGAAAACTTCCAAAAGAAATTGCCAATTGAGTACATTGACTGTCCAGAAAGACAAGAAATCTGGACAAAAAAATACAACATGAAAACTTCAGATGATATCTTTGACTTCTCTGAATCTGAAGATAATGTTCTTGCATTGATTGATGATGACTTATCAACAAGCTCATGAACTGTTCAAACCAATGACAATTTCACAACATTCATGCCAAAACAAAAGCTCAATAAATGAAAAGCTCTGAACAATAAAGCTACTCCATGCAAGAAAAAGACATCAGTTAAACAGAAAGCAATCTGAAAGAGTAAATAACTACTTAAGTCTACTGAAAAGATCAATCAACTGAATGACATCTCTGAATTCAATACTAATAAATTCTTCACTGATGACAACATTGTTTCCTCTACATTCTCTGACTATCACACTAACAGTTCACTTAATTGAGGAACATCTAGAAGTCATCTCTCATCTGAACCAAATGACACAGCAATGTTGGCTTCAAATACAGAAACAAGATTAGTCATAGAGATACCAAAATGCAATGAATCAATGCCTCAATCATCATCAAAGAAAATCAGTGGTAATGAGCTTCTGGGTTTTACTGATCTTTCCATCTGAGAACAAGAACTAGTATCTCAATGTCTCCAAAATGAGCAAGTGCTTTATTTACAAAACAGACAGTTCTCTGTCTTTTATCTTCCCATGAACTTTTCAGCAATAAACACTAATGACATACTTATGATGAATAAGTTAGATGCAATAATCAAATGATCAGCAATATCTAGTGAATGAACAGTAACATTCACAAAGTACAGAAATGCTTGATATGCCATGACAATTGATCAACATCTTGAATTCTTCCAATTCTTTCCCAAACAACAAAAGCTAAACACATCAAAATCAGAGAAATGACATCTAGTCTCAAAAGCTCTCATTACTTCAGTGATTAATTCTTATTTTAAAGAAATATTGAATAAACTTCAGAAAGATCATCATGAACTCTTATTGAGATCAATAAAATATGAACTCATTCACTTTCTATGTTGATTCTCTGAAGAATTCATTCAAATGCAATCATCTACAACAATAACTACAGAAATCTGATTGACTCTAGATGAAGATGATGTTATAACAATGGAAGAAATTCAAGCATGGCTTAATCTATCAACAGACAAAAAAAGAGAAGCTTACAGAGAATGTCAATTCATTCTAAATGACTTCATAAGATGCAAAGTACTATATCTTTCTAATCATCAATGGAAAGCTCATTCAGCTCATCTGCATACACTAGAAGCAACAGCTGAAGATTATTCACATCTAACTTAAATTGATGACACTGACATGCTAGAACAGAATTTAAACAACACTCTACAACTGTGAAAGAACTTTGCATTAGATGGAGAATGATATTCCCAGCAATAAATTAAAATATATGCACTAATGCAATCAATTATGTCTACTCTGACTTGAAAGAAGTTTCTTTATCTAATGATGCATATTAAATTGATCAATAAAACAGTCATTGAGAAGATGTTCTTCTTCTTCAACTTTCTCTACTATAATTATCAGTTCTAATCTAATATACTGATATGTGCAGTACTCATACTTTCAGTGAGAGCACTGGTTTTAAAAGATATTTTCTGACAACTGACATGGAATCATTACTGTACATAATATCAGAATAGTTAGCTACTTAGTCAGCTCTTTGAGCTTACTCATGAAGCTGGAAGGAAATAGAAGAATGATCTTCTACTACACAACCAAAATTGCACAGACATTCCATAGCTCAGTTAGATCAGATAACACATGCAAGACCAATCATTGTGTGAGAAATTTGTCATCATCTGATCAAATCTCACAGCCCTGCCAGGTTTCAGTCTCAAATTTGAAATAAAATTTAAAGAACATACTAGAACTGTAAAACAACTTCATATTAAATAAAGAATAATATCTGTAATGTTAATTTAAAATATATGACTTAATGCAGTCTATTATATCACTCTGACTTAAAAAAAATTCTTATACTCAATAACTCATTCTCAATTGATTAATAAATCAGTCATTAAAAATATGTCATTCTTCTTCAACTTTTCTTACTATAACTATTAATGTTAACTACAGCATGAAGCTCAGTGAGAGCACTGAGAATAAATTTATTTTCTGACAACTGACATGGAAAGTTCTTTCTTATTGTACATAAGTAGTTACATAGTAGTTAGTCAGCACCTTGAGCTTATCTAGAAGCCAGAATGAGAAAGAAGAAAGATCATCATCTACTACTCAATCAAATTACATATGGACTTTCTGTAGTCATATAGACCAGGTAGCACAGACACGATATTATAGTAGACTCTCAGTCACATGATCATCACATGTTCCTGTGTAATCTGATAACAACCCTTAATGAGTACAAACAAAGCAAATACGGAGGCCCCTCCTGAAACTCTCATGCACAAAGTTTGAACAACCAAGAACTGGAGAGTGCGCTGCAAGTCTGAACAGCCTCACGAGCCCACTATATATAGCACTCTCCCGAAGAAAGATTCCGACATGGCTCGTGGAAACCAACGCGACAAAGCCCGTGAGAAAACCCAGAAGGAGATGGCTTCTCAGGTACACTCGATCTCTTCCTCAGCTGACAGTTTTCACTGTCATAGCCTCGTCAATAGGGGTTTTCTACGGGTACTAACCCACAATAGAAAAAGAAGAATAATATGTCGGGGACTGAATTCGCAAGAACTAAGGAAGCCCAGGCGGCCATTATGCGTGCGAAGCAGGAAGCTGGTAGGACCGCTTCACCATGACTTAAGGTCTATCGGCTAATCAGATGTGCAGCAAATGCAAAGAAATCCGATGGATCGAGTAAAACGAAGTAGTTCGTTTCCTTTCCATATCTGAAGATATTTAGCGCCTGGAATTTCGGTGGAACTTTGGTCCTACCTTTGCGATATATATCCACCTGTCTATGTCAGAATTCAGGGCATGATTAGAAAAAAAAAAAAAAAAAGCCTGGATGGAATAATGGGAACTGCGCATTTATCTGTGCTGCTACTTCCGCGGAAAAGCAGCCGAACGAGATTCAGTCCAGCGATTTTAGCGACAGCATGATTATCAGTTAAATGAAGCGTTTTATATTTTTAGTCCTTTTTTTTTGGCTGAAGGTCCTATTATGACTAGTATCGAGCGCCTAAACATTTCTTTGTTGGTCTACGTTTGGTATCTGACCCCTGATGTCGATTTTTGCTTGAGCAGCTAGGTCCATCCAGCGGTGTTTACTGTCACGGATGCCTGTGCTTCTTTTTTGCTGGTAAGCTGTAAGGATACGAGAGTCAAGGGAGGTAAGATCCAGTTTAAATCTGGATAGAGAAATCTTAAGGAATATCCATAGCGCCTCCCCTTCCCAGTCAACATCCAGAGCGTAGCTGACAGTTCCTGCAATAAAGGCTGTTTGGCCTGCCTTGTTATTAAGAAGCTCAAGCATGTGTAAAAGGAACATCCAGCCGGATATATCGTGTGGATGACTCAAACACCATTTGTGCACCATTTCAAGCGCTTCCGTCCCTTCAGATTGCAGGTGATTTAAGCTTGATTGACACTCAGCTGGTGTTGATAGGCTGAGGAACTGACGTAGATAACTGAATGCATAATAATTCATTGGGTGTTGCTCTCCCGCCCGAAGAGCAACGACAAGTTCGTGCTGAAAGAACATTTCACGGACCACGGCATCATCCTCTTGAAGGGCGATAGGACTTGCTTCTTCTGGTTTTGATAATATTTTTGCTGCATGCTCAATACCTAGCTGGAATATTTCTATCATTATCCAATATCGATGATGCCATATCGTAGGAGACTTTGCATGACGATGTAAGGGAGATCGAAGCAATGTCGTAGTAAATGATACTTCTTCTTGTACTGCTTCAATATACTCATCGGATTTCGCTATTTTCTTTAGCCTAAGAAGCCTTTGCCGCCGCCAGTTGCACGCTGTTAAGTGTTCTGAATCAAAAAGAAGAATAATCTCAGAGGCTATTTTTACCCCCACATCATCAAACAGCAGCCCTTCCTCTGCCGGGGATTTTTCGTTGTTTGCGCTGTCACTATCAGCATTCTTCCACTTGAAGAAAATGCCTCTCGCTATGACAAAAGCCTGAGCGAGGGCACGTTTTGTGATTCCGATACTGGCGCCATCGCGCAACAATGGACCAAATCCTGGTGGGAGAATCTCAATATCATAAACACATCCATGTCTATCGGCAAAAACTTCAAGCAAGAAGTTGTAGGCATCGTCTGATTCCGACATTTAACCCGATTCTGCATTAAACTCGTTCGAGGGGGTTTCTTCCCAGATTGATAATTCTACGGAGTTCCTCATGTTCATCAACTGCAAACGTTGCAAACAAGCTGCATCATTGAAATCGCACATCGCACTTGATGAGACAACCAAACACAAGTGCTCAGGCCGCCAGCGCAGCCTTCTTTTGCATGCAATATTCATAATTGTGGTCGAAGGACGCCATCTTATGTACTAGGTAACATTCCACTACAGTGTGCCTTTGCTGCCGTATTCTATTACATAGCCTACCAAATGCAATACAACCTGTCCAACCATTCCACATCGCAACAATTGGCTCAACTTCATACGGTGTCACGATGGCTTCGCTGCTTCTTGTCGTCCTAGCGATCCATATCGTTACATATCTAATCAACACGATCGGCGCCAGTACAATAGACAGTCTAGTATGTTCTTGCCTTCGAACCCTAGCAGACTCTAACAGAATAATAATCAATTCCTCAATAGCTATGGCTGATATATCTTAAACTACCCAACCAAACCTCCCAGACTGCAAAAGAGCAGATGCGACTAAAGACGGAAGTTGTTCAGCTAAAACGAGAGATGCATGCTACGAGTTCGCAGGATGAATTCGCAAAATGGGCGAAGTTGCGAAGACGACACGATAAATCTATGGAAGAATATGAGACGAAAAGTATGATCATTCCAAGTCCTAGTGCTTTACTAGAAGTGGTGGTCAGGATATTGATTATTTCATTGGAAATCATAGACAAAGCTCTCGCCCAACAGAAGAGTTCTTTCGACATGGCAGTAAAATCCGTTAGGTTCGTCGGTACTACAGGTTTGAAGTTTTTCCTCCAGTTCTGGTATTCGAAATCGCCCATTTTTGAACTTCCTCACGGATGGATCCCATGGCAAGTTGAATGGATGCTGTCATTTCCACGAGCTCCACTGGGCACCGTTAGCATCCAGGTTTGGAGTGGTGTATGCGCGACCGTTGTCTCTCTCGTTGGTGATGCCGTTGGTGTTATGGTGGTATATATCACTGCCAAATCACCCAATAAAACAACGGGAGCGCCTAGGAGAGAGAAAGTTGCGCAGCCCATGGAGGCTAGAAAGGAATTATGATGACAGCTTTATGAATTAATTTTGAAGAATCAACGCTATTCATGTACAATAAAATGAACTAAAGGAATGAGGATTACAAACACGGAAGGCCAAAGGAAAAACGGAAGGGTAGACAGTATATACTGTAGGGATAAAGTTCATCAGATATGAAAGGAGTCTTCAACGGCTTTGCTAAATGCAAAAACCTCTGTGCTTGACTCTATAAATGTGTTATCGTCATTTGAACAGGTAGACTGAGTCCGGCCCCTTCGAAAGGGCATCTGCGAAGGTACGTGCTGACCGATGTAAAGTCAGCCAAAGCGCGCCTGTCGCCGCTTTCCATAAGCTACAGACCCTAAAGATAAAAAAAAAAGTGAACTCCTCGCCTCAAGAATAAGCCCCATCGAGTTATCCGTCAAACCGGGAATAGTTCCCAGTCGACAAGACAATCGCATAGCTATCCAACCACGACGAAGAGCAACCAGCTCCTACCTGAGCCCCGCTCTCAGACTCCATTGTTTCCCCTAGAAGTCTCCTCTCTGCCACCATCCGCATAAATCAAGAGAACCAAAAGCTCCAAATGAGGCACCACCAAGCTCGGACTCCTATCGTCGTCCTTATCCCTGACGCCGAAACGAACAGGGTGGTCCTGGGGTACACCATAGAAAGCAAAATTCAATCGAAATTATGGGACAGATAGGAAGAGAGTGCAAACGACTCACACGGCTAGGGTCGAGTCCGAAGACGAGAGGTAAGGAGAGGCGTGAGCCGCTATCAGTTGCTTTTATGGCGGCGCGTTTCCGCAGTGCCTGACACGGTATATTGTGCAGGTTGTCCGGGGACTTTCTCCCAAAGCTAGGTATGGTATGAGTGAGCCAACAACAAGGATGGACACTCTGTTCGTAAGCTTTGAATGCGATTCTTCGAGCGAGGAGTTGGAGAAAAAAAAAGTTTGAAAGGGAGGAGAATTTGTTAGTTTTTGTAGCAATATTGCGCTAGTCCATAAATAGAAAGGCTTGGAGCTCAAGAGTTTATGACTAAGCGGTAATTACATAGCACCCCGCTGCTACTTCCGTCATCGTCGCCTCGGCTGAACTCAGGAAGCTCTTATCACAGCACCTACGCTGGCGAGGATTGTGACGGTGGGTCATGACATTGCTGTAGACTTCTCAGAAGTACAGTTCAATTGACACCGTTCAACCAAGCTTTCCATTCTTTTTCATACCTCCTTTTCAGACCCATTATCATCATCCATGGTCCAGTCGAGGAGATTCGGCCTCTAAGACACCATGGGGGACGCACTGTGTGGACCTTCAAATGCACTTCAAAACTTCCAAAAACATACCTCTGTGGACAGGACTCTTCAGCAAGATCGCTTATCTTCACAGCACGGTGCAGCCCAAGTATGGACATTCAAAGCACAGCTGTCACATGCCCATGTTAATCAATCATAATTTCTAGGGGTTTCGATCTCATAATCACAATGAGGGTGTCTTAGATTCAGAATTCAATACTTTTGAAACTGGTATTTCTGGACCTGCGTTACCAAGCCTTCACGGTCCTCCCTTACTTCAGCAACCAGCGTTCTCCAGCCCGCACTTTAACCAACATGGAAAACATTCTGGGTGGGCCACCGATTTCGAGCAACTCCATATTTCATCACCTTCAGCTTCTGTCGTACAAACTCGTTTACAAGCTCAAACCGCTATTCAGAATCCTGTTTCTGTTGGCTGGCAAAATGACCTCATGAATAACTCCAGGTCAGGGATGCAATCGGCGATGCCGCAACGACAGATGATGCATAACCCCATGATGAATATGCCACTACAAACAGTCGATGATTTCACAATGAACCATGGCGTCCCTGCACAGGCAGCTCAATCTCACGACCCGCAGGGCTCGGAAATATTCGATGACTCTGCTTTTGAAGCCGCATTCGCAGAGGCTCGCGCTGAAGTTGAACTACAAGAGAACAATTTGTGGTTGGAGGGGGAGCCTGTCAATACACTGCCGTCGTTTGAGCAAATCAGAATAGGCTCTGACACGATACCTGCTCAGCATGCAGGAGTGGATGAGGCCGAGGAACTTGCCCGAACAGCAGGGCAGCTTCTGGAAAGCGTTAGTCACGACCAAAGTCAAAAGTTCAAAGAGAGCAATTTCCTTGCCTTGATGCGCCAACTTCGAGACCGCGAAGTTACGGTCGAAGGCGACGAATTCCGCCAAGTCAGTACCCTTCCATAATTCTCTCGGCTGGGACTTTGGTACTGGATAAGGCCATTCAAGGTAGTAGTCGTTTGTACTAATGTGCCTTTCAGGCATCACAGCCTTCACATCCAGGTGGGCCGTATTACCCTGAGCGAAGAAAATTTTGGAGTACCAAAACTACTGAGAGTGCATAATGACCCTGTTGGTGAGTCCGGAGGAAGCTCGCAGCCTAAAGGTCGCGCACGAACCATCGATTTGCCGTCTCCAAGAAGCCTGGTGTCCCTGGTTTCCCAAACTTTTGACGGTTCACTATCCGTTTCGACAGACTTAATCAAAACTCTTGGACCAAAAAATGGTGCGCTTGGGAAGAGTGAGTTGCCTGATCATGGGGAAATGCTGAGGTTTATCCAATGATAACCACAATATTGGATATCCTTTGCTTGGTATCACTCCACGTGCTTTAGAATCTCATGATATCATTTCGTAGAATTTTGGTTGCGAGGTATGGAAAGCATACGGACGATTTCGTTAATGCCTTCTTTTTGGGCGGATGCCTACCCCTTTATTCAGCTTGGGTTAGCGAGTCATTTAGCTAGCCTGTTCTACAACTCTTGGATTCATGAGGACGTTAAATTATTATTATTGAACAACATTCCACAATCAAAAACTAGTTGATTAAGATTTACAGTAATACCTGGATTGATGGTAGTCAATATTCTTCCCACTATAAAAAAAGAAAGGAAAATTGGTTACGTACTGAATCCAAGACTTATCTTATTTTGTGCCTATTCACCAAAGTATGAACCCACTGAAAATATCCCTTCATGAGGCAGAATGGCGTTGGATATCAATCAACCAAACTCACAGGGTCAGGATTTTGAAAATTAACCGTAATTTCGAATATTCCAGAATATATTAAGACCTCTAAGCTTACTACTGACTATGGAAGGGAACACCATTGCAAGGAAGTGGAATCATTGCTTGTCCACACTTCAACTCGACCCAGGCTTCATCTGCAAGATACACAGATGCAAGATTTCTGCAACATGCTTAGCAGGGCTGATGTCACCAAGTTCATGGTTTTTTTTTTTTTTTTTTTTTTTTTCAATTGGATCCAGTCAAGAATATTTCCCAAATAATCAGGTGCTTTTGAATACAATTAAATATTGGCCATAATCTGGAGCAGTGGGGTTCAGACTATCATACGTCTGTCACATAGACATATTGCCTCTCATACAAAACGCAATTAACAGTCTCCAGAAGCCATGTGGTTTGGCTGACAATACAGTCTATGACTTGTTGAAGACATATTTCACCATACCTCAGCAATTGAGGCCAGGAATGCATATTCGCCAAAAGACCGGCTCCATGACAAGGGGTATCTTCATACTTATTGCACAGTCCAAGGGTGCTGAAACTGGAAACTAGTCAATTTGGTCATTTAGATCGCCTGTATTTCCTATAGTGCGCATCAATGACATTCGCTACGTCACCAGCAGGATGGCGTAGGGTAGTCTCCCAGTTCAAATAATCCAGGCAGGCAGCATCGACAATAGTTTGTTTAGCTGTACGACTCGTCAAGGCCCCTTTTAATATATCACTCGACTCCTGAGCAGAATTATATCGAAGAGCATTGGGGTGGTTAACTATAGCCTTTTGCTCAATAATGTAAAATATAGGGGTGTATTCCTTCTCCATTTCCCATGCCACTTCTGACGATTGGAATTATATTTGGACAAGCTCGAATTTCGGCATGTCTCTAAAATCGGCAGATGGAAGTCTTTATTTGAACAAGGTCCTGCGCCTCGGGTAGTGACGGGAAGGAAATAGACCAAGCTCAGCCGTACGTTATCCAGGTCACCAAAGTATGTTGCCTTTGACTTGCGAATATAAAATCAAATCTCGAGGAGTGTCGCAGGGCGAGTAGGACTCCACTTCTTCGTAAGTATACTGGATGAGGATTTGGGTAATTTTGACTATAGTAAATGTAGCCTGGGGTTAAGTTGAAAAGGGTAAGGAGATTCTGCCCACATCTAAGACAAACTTGTTAGGTTCTGAAAACATAAAAGCGGAGACTGGACCTATGACCGGCCAGGGCAGATAAATTATCGAGAAGAACGCAGATAGATGCAGAGTGGGAAACGCCTCAACTCGTACTAGCGAACAGCACGCGGTGTATGAGACTTTGATTTGATCTTGAATTTCGCTAGTCAAAGCATAAATCAAAGGAAATGACTCAAGATAAACTAGGAGTGGGTGTTCGAGGACTGGAAGCAAGATCTTTAGCAAACCGAAGAACTTTAGTTCAGGGCTCTAGATCCCGTACGGGGTTATCCGTAGTCCAGGTCAATATTCGGGGGATTTATAGGGGCTCATTCTTGGCGGCGCATTTCACGACGCATGGCCCCAGTGGGGGCTCTGTAGTTAGATTTCAAAGGTATATCCTCCGTATATTTATAGTTATGCATCTCAAACGGGAAGGCAAAGCGAAACTCTGACCAAGTAGGTTGAGGTGTGCCCATACGACAGCGAAGGCACATGATAGAGTAGTCAGTGAGTGGTGTTGGGCGGTTAGCCGGGCCACCAAATTCGTCTTTAAACTGCTGGACTGTTGGATTAGTAGTCTTAGCAAGTCCCACAACATGCTTCTGTATAATATCCTAGTCCTGCTACAGAGAGAACCAGATAATTTGGAGACAAGATGTCGATGTGCCGGGCATGATGGCTGGTGTTTTCAAGATCAGCTGTTTTGATGCCGCCAAGGCCGCCAGAAACACAGCTGATGAGTAACTAACGAGCGGTGATGCGGCAGAATTAAGTTACGAGAAATAGGCGGCTTGGCACCGGACGACATCGACCGCTCGGTGCAAGCGGGTCTGCAATGCTTCTTGTTGCAAGGAACGCCTGCTACTCCCCGGGTGCGTGCTGTGAAGAACCGCACCTCGTGGCAGTGCTAGACCTCCATCAACCTATTTGACTGGTCTGCCATGATGAACCTTTCTCTCCATGCTGCACTTCGGCCAATGTTGTTCGAGGTTAGCTGTTGGGTCTCGAATCCCTCAGAACCAACTGAGATGCGACCTCAAAGCAGCCCGTGCCATAGAAGCCTATAAATATACTTCGATGGTCTATGGAAAATGATTACTCTCCTCCCTATTAAACGGCATCTGCTCGAAAACGCTCCATTAGTACTGTTCGATCTCTCCAATCCCGACCTCACGGAAGACTCTCATTACTTTCAGGATTTTGTAAAAGGAGTGGACAAATAATGTCCAGTAATCGACCGCGATTGTATGCAGGCACCGCCTGTGACCAATGTCACCGTACCAAAATGAGGTGTTGTGGTACTCGTCCCACCTGCCGCCGCTGCCTGGAGAATGAGAGTGCCTGCACCTACAGTACCAGCAAACAGAGCAAGCCAAAGCTACACGGGCATCACTCGACCAGCTCGGCAATATCGCCATTACCGTCTTCTCTCTCCGTGTCTGCCGGTCAAGGGCGACCCATGAAGCAGCCCTGTGGTCTATCTAGAAGAGAAACCGTTGGAGCGGAAGCGCGATATGAGCAAATCATTGCAGTGGGTCGTCTGCAACAAACATGCTACCGTTACCATGCTAATGTTGAATTCTCCGTGGCTTTCTTTATATAGAAAGACTGTTTTTCTCAAGCAGATGAGACATTGCAGTTGGACCTTACTCTTCATGGAGATGCTATTTTCACTCCGGATAGATTTGCAGCAGTCACTGGATTAGCAACACAAAAGGGTTCTGCTTGTGCGCTGGCGACACAGGGATCGCTAAATTTGCCCGTCACTACCGGCGTCGATTCTATACCATTACTTTGGGGCGGCACTTCGATCACACCTGAAGTCCCATCACCGGTATTATTACATGCGTCGTGGCCTGACTCCGACCTGGAATTAGGTTTACATGACGAACATTCTGACCGAAGTCTCTCCCATCAGTCAAAGGTGCCCACCGAACCATTCCTGGATCGTATTCCACCTCAATCATCTATGCCGCCTATGTCCACATTTTCCTCGCCTTTGAATGATTTTCGCTCGATTGAGCTGATTTCCAGTCTATACGATGCTCAGTTATGGGGCCCGGACACGCCGATAGAGATTTCGCTGCTTCACGCTCGACAAGGCTTAGCCCTCGTTTCGAGCTGCCTTCCCGTCGATAACTGGTCGTCAATATACACGGAAGTACCCGGATCATCTTCCCTTGCCCTCTGCTGTATTCACCTCACACAGCAGGTTTTAAGTTGTTACGCTAGTGTGAAATTTCACAACAGGCCTTTCAAAGGTTACTGCCAGACTGTCCGCTATGGCCAATTTTTGATGGATGAAGAACAGCTTACAATAGAAAAAATGGATATTTCTCAGGAGCTAAAGCATTGCCGGGAAATCATGATGACTATCAGACAATGGTGTAACGACTTGGTGAAGGCAGAAAAGGAAGGTTCATTGCTATTACTCCCATTCATACAATCTCTCAGAGATCGGGTTGACTCCCTCGGCAAGTAGAGAATTTACTACATGTACAGAGTAACAGGTATCCATACAGACCGTTCAGCTGAAATAGGATGCTGGAATGGCATCATTCAAATAAGCATTGTCTTAGCCTTGGCTTGAGCGCCGTTCGTGATTAAACTCAAACGTTTATTTCTATTTTCAATTTCTGCCCTGTTTGCTTGCGGGAAAATATCATAACTTCGCACAAGATAACTCGCCGCATTGAACGGGCAGCCCGTAACTTCACCCAGGTGCTGAGGCCTACCCATGCTTCTCGTATATCTTTGTCTTCCCTGTCGAAGGATCAGCTTCCTTGCACAAGGCTGCTGGCTTCTATGAACCAAGCTTCGGGGAACGGAGGGCGCCAATGGCAGGTTGAGAAGTTTATTTGCCCCGGCGACTTGATAGTTATTGATGTAACCTCACTGAAACAAGTCAGGGCCACTTTCAATGATCTTATCAATCTGTGCCTGTGTGTGAAGCGCACTGCTGCTGTCAGATAGGAAAGAAAACACGACAAGAGTCCACAGATTTGTTTGCCAGTCTCACTGACGGGAGTAATATGGCCTTACACATAGTGGCGTTGAACGATTCCTGGGCTGCTGAGCACATCGCTCGTGTCCACATGAGGCAGTATCCAGGAATTGATGGATGAATATTCCATGACGAAGGCCAGGCCATGTGAGAGGCTGTGGGAATCCCGGGGGCTCTTGAGGTCATTTCTTCGGTCCCATCGCGCCCCCACTGTTTGTTGCATCAAGTCTTCCATACCCCGTACGGAGTACACCAGTCTCTATTCCTCTATCGAGCGGTATGCAGCCCTTTAAAAAAGCGGGAATAAGCTCCCGTAATGGTAGACCGTCTCCTCATTTCCACGAAGAACGGCGGATACTAGGGTTTAATGCTCTTAACTCGCTTTTTTAATCATACGGAGACCGCTCTTCCGCACAGAACAGCTTGTTGCCGAGCATTGCCCCTGAAAGCATCGCTCTGCAAGCTTCTGTCGTGCTGGAGCCCTAGATCCGTATTGAGAATATCGGTCTTCATCGATGTTAGCATACAAGAATTTTGGGTGCTCGCCAATCATTGGGGCCCTCTTCTCGCCAAAGCCAGACGATGGGAGCGAGCTATCTTGATATCGTCTAATGCAAGGCCCCACCTCGCCAATGCACCGCAAATGGGAGAGAAATGCACGGATACAAGAAAATACAGGTGGTTCCATCCGCTTGAGATATAATTTCTATCGGAATTCTGTATGTTCGGGCTTTTCACCCCCACTAGCTTCAAGCTTCCCGGTGCGTCTTTTAATTCCATTGAATTTGGCACCATCAGTGTTGCCCCAAGCTTAAGGACCTGACGTCGGCATAATGGGGGAATTAGATTTATGGGCCTTTTGGAAATACTCTGCCGCGTCTTTTAAGGCTTCAAATGAGGACAGATCTTTCCAGATGATCGCCTCTAATAGCACCGTCTTTTCTGAGAAATTCTTGGGCCCCATCTGCGGTTGGATTAGGCCAGTGATAACAGCCACAAGTTCTAAGTCGACCATGTTAGCAAGCCTAGAAGAAATAGGAGAGATCGCAGGCTAGGAAAATTTATCCGGATGCTTGGCCAATCCCTCGCGGCCGGTTGAAAATATCCTATCTTCTTGCGAGAAGGTCCAAAGACCACTAGCTTCGACCCCTTATGCAGGGACGCTGTTGTGAGCCATTAAATTCGTTTTCTAGGCCCATTTGGTTGCCGCCCTGCAAACTGCTAGAAATGACGACCACGACTCCGAGTGCTACTGGGTGAATAGAGGGCTCAAGTGATGATGTAGACTCTGGATATAACCTGTCACTCCTGGGAGGACTGGTTTGTGGATAGTGGTAAAATATCCTGCCTTGGACGATTTCTAGCTCTGTCCTTCTGATATGCTTTCATACTACCAAGAAACAACAAATGGGTTAGTATCATGCGATGTGTAAGCTTGAATCTTGAATCGATTTTCCGTCTCACGGTCCAAAATTGCCTATACCTATCACCAGCGTTTTTTAGTCTCTAAACCAACTATATAGGGATAGGTGCATACACCTTAACAGGATGCATTGCGAAAACGACTGAGGCAAGTATTCACGAGTCAAACCCTTAAGTATTGGAGTGCGTGACCTTGAGTATCATGGTATCAAAGATGCCCACGATTGCCTATTATAGGCGCCTAGAATCCCAATTCATCTCTTCAGTACAGCTCAGAATTTCAATTAGACTGTCTGACACATGGTCTTCTATCCAGTTAGCAATCCCTATGGAGTAAATTTTCTCCTGGATCTTTTACTATATTGGCGGTACAAAGGGAGATCTACTTCTGCTCTTCCTGTACGACACACCTCTCTGCAAAGGTTTGAGTCTCTTTTGGGTAATTAGTGGCCTGGTCAAAATAATGAGCAATGATATTTCAAGCCGTGATAAAATGTGATCTTAGGGTCACAGAGGCGAGTCAGCACCCCTACAAAATGAAATCCCGAGATCAGTTAAAACAGTCCACTGACAAACAAATCTACCAGTTGCAGCAAAAACTGGTCGCTAGATCTTGCTAACTAACTGCCCCGTGCTACGGATTTCGGTCATAAAAGTCCGTTCCCGTACTTCCCTGACTCAGGATATATACGGAGAAAGCTTGAAAATCCAAAGTTAGACGCCTGCAGCTAAATTTCAGAAGATTCGCGCTCCTTGAATAAGGGAAATATTATCAAATCCACTTAACGTTAATTTAAAGACCCCTTTTCTATTAGACTTCCCTACCGAAGATTAATCGTCTCTTGCTAGGTTGAGCCATTGGCAAAATGTCACATCTAGTTGATTTGTTTGCCAGGATTTGCTTTGTGGGTGTTTGGGCTAGTGTTGCTCGGGTTAGTATGATCCCTTCTCACTTTGCAGTGACGCTTCATTCTTTGGCCTACCCATTGGGAGGCGCGAGTGGCAGGGCAATATTAACCCTTGATCCTATATTAACTCTTGGGACAGGCCCTCTGCACTGTAGTATACCGGGTGTGGTTTCATCCTCTGGCAAAGTATCCTGGGCCCTTCTGGGCCAAGGTCACTGATGCATATGGGAGCTATCATGCCTGGAAAGGTGATCTGCATCTGGATATGTGGAAATGCCATCTGAAATATGGTGAGAAGCCGGCCATAAAGCGTTGTTGCCCCATCATTGGGCTAATTCTGTAACCAGGGGATAAGGTTCGATATGGGCCTAACCGAATTATGTTCAATAACGTGGCGGCACTGAAAGGCATGTTCTTGTTGCAAAACTAAGCAGTCAAGTCCTTGAAACTGAGCATATGGATAGATATTTATGCAATCGGGGCCAATGTCAAAAAGGCAACAGCATATACTTCCTTGGGCCGTCGATCACCAAATACGCTTACTTTGCGGGACAAGAAGCAGCATGCTAGCCGGCGTCGAATTATCAGCCAGGGTCTGTCAGACTCAGCATTACGTACATATGAAGAGACAATTGATAAGCACATCGATAACTTCATTGAAAGGCTTAGCAAAGGAGATACAGCAAACATAGAGAGCACACCCACTGGGACATGGTCTGTTTCCAAGAATATGGCTCGTTGGTGTAAGTCCACTTGCACATTGAAAGAAAGAAGCGAATACTGAAGATCTCTGCTGAAAGGTGAATACCTCGCGTTCGATATTACAGTAGACGTTGTTTTTGGTGACCAATTTGAAATGATTTCAAAGGCAAACAATCGACCTGTCCTTGAAGCCATAGCAGTATCTAGCAAACGTGTGGGAGTGCTGATGCAGAACCCTGAACTCAAGGGCAGCTTCCTAGACAAATTGCTATTTCAAAAAGGTATAGTGGCTCGTCGGAAACTGCTTGGTTTCGTGGATCGAATGTTGAAAAACAAAAATGAACAACACCGTCCTGCACAGCAAAATGTACTCACCATGCTTCTCAATGGAAAAGACCAGACGACAGGGGAAATGCTGTCGCCATCTGTGGTGTTGGCTGAATCAACAACTTTGATTGTTGCTGGTAGGTGCAAAGTGCTGTAGCTATCCGGCTTAAATAACAGTATTTAATATCTTTTAGGGACGGACACAACAGCCACAGCACTGTCGGCATTTTTTTTCTATGTAAGTCGCTCGCCTACGGCTTACGAAAAAGTCAGTAAAGAAATTCGCACAACATTCAACTCCGTGGACGATATCAAAAATCGACAGAAGTTGAACAGTTGCCTCTACCTGCGCGCCTGTATTGACGAAGCTATGCGCATGTCCCCTTCGGTTGGTAGCAGCCTCTGGCGCGAGGTGGAGAACGAGGGCATGACTGTCGACAAGGATATCATTCCGGGCGGCTATGACGTTGGAGTTGCCATCTATAGCATCCATCACAAGGACGACTATTTCCCGCAACCGTTCAGCTTTATCCCGGAGCGCTGGACTCCTGACGGCAAGCAGTATACTCGCGAGTCTGTTGAGCTGGCACGGGCGGCGTTCAATCCATTTTCCATTGGGCCACGTAGCTGTGTTGGTAAGGGTCTCGCAATGTTCGAAATGACACGCATTTTAGCCACCACCCTCCTTCTATATGACTTCCGGGTGGTGGGCGGACCGGAAGGGAGGTTGGGTGAAGGCTCGCCATTGGCAGGTTGGGGCAGAGACCGGCAAAACGAGTTGCAACTCTGTGACCATGTGACAAGTGCGACCACAGGGCCTCTGCTCCAGTTCAAGCGACGTGACAATCACGCGTCCGCATAATGTTGCGTTAGAATGCGAGTATATGGAGTGATAAACGCTAGATGAGAGCATAATTTATTCACTGGTAAACTGTAAGTGTCGGCAATACTCCGTATTTCAATGGCCTTGGAGTAGTTAGTCAGTTAGTAAGGATTTGTGTGGATATTATTGCTGTCCTGAGTCCTGACTCTTCAGCGAGTGTACGGAGTAGTTATTTCAAAAAGTCGGAATTCACGAGAGCTCCGAATTCCGAATATTGGACGGAGTACTCCGTACTCCGAACTACCCCTAATACTGGTGAATCGGGGCTTCTGACTGTGCGAAAAAAAAATTAAATACGGAGTACTTCTGAATAACTTATGCTCTTCCTCGCTAGCAGACCTCCAAGGCCTGTAAGACAGGATTCTTGAATTTTACAACCGTTCGGCACCATTATCCAACGGTTGGCGATTTGAATCTCCTTGGTCGTGATGGAAGGGCGAAGAAAAATCCCAAACCCCCATTAAAATAGGTGACCCGGGAAGCACCTATGTCAGCTTTACTCTTGAAGCTGGGCTTGCCCTTCAGCCCCGTGGCCTTCTTGATGAACGACTCACGAACACAAACACAAGACCGAGTCGAAATGATCTTTCATCATAAGACTAAGCACTTTGCTCATGGCACCGCAATTTTCCATTGCGATGAAGGTATTAGCTGACATACTCGGTACTCTTAGCATCATTACCCGATTGTCGCTGTTTACACCTTCCTGTGGATCTCCCTCGTCAAACGGATGGAAATACAGTCCAGCAACACTCTACCTTTTTGGCTTAGAGCATACATTAGCTCTTGAGAATACCCCAGACAGTGTCTGACTGCACATTACAGTCTTTTGATTATTTACGCTGATCTTATGTTGCTCGATTTACCGAATTGGCAAGTCAAAATCATAACTTTTTGGGCTGTGCGCTTGATATTTTGAGAGACAGATAGATGGTTAATCTTTTTTGTCTGAAACATATCTTTTTGTTGTACAAGATAAGACTGGGAGCTTTCATGACGGGCCTTTCACGGGTTTGTTGAGATGGACGTTATACTTGTCTTATAAATGGATTTAAATAGAACATATTTAAGCTTCTTCAACACAGGCTGAAAATATGTCTTCAATTCATTTATAACAAGTATGTAATAGCCCTGAACCGCACAGAGTTCATCTTGGCTGGGCGGAGGCCAAGATGTGACTGTGGTGTTGGCCAACGACAACATAACAATTTATGGAGTTTGCTAAGACAAGAACGGGAACCCGGGGGGCGAAAGGTATCTGCTACGACCGATGCTTTTGTCGCTTGAAGCCGGGCTCTGCTGAATATCTTGAATAGCTTCTTAAACGACTTTCATCAACCCCCTGCGCGCGCGCTTCATCGTTCTATTCCACTCAAGCCGTAGACTGGCTATGGTCTATACTCCATCTGACCTTCTAGACCTTCCTAATGGGTATCGATGGAACAATCCTAGCATAATGCATGTCTTCCTTACCCTTTTCTCAGCACTTCACAACATGTTGTTCTTAGGGACAGAACACTTGCATGGGAACTTCAACACCACTGGCCATATTCAGGGTGCAAGAGATAAATCCACTCAAACCCATTCGCTGCATCAGGCAATGCCACCCGTTCAGTACAGAATTTTACAAAATCTGACCTGAAGCTAGCTCAAAGGCGTACTTGGACTCTGAAACTGCATGAGTTTGCCACATATGCCTTCCCGTTTCCACTATTTTTATCCATGTCCTATTTCCAATCGATGCCATTCTTCTTCTAGCCTTTGACTGGATAGTTCAAAATCGGGAACTGATATGTCATATAACTACGGATTAAGATGGCTTACAAATACCGTGGTCACCAGAGTATTTAGCAAGAAGAAAAAGTAGCACGCTTGAAATGTTTTCAGCTTGTGCTATTGAAGCAATACCGCCAGCTTCTTTCACTTTCAGCTAGAATTCAATCCTGGGGTGAAGTGTTGACACAGGACCACTGGAACGAATGGTATACGTATTCCAGTTTCCATGTAAAAAGAACTGTGGGTTTACCCAATTCTTACCATGAAAAAGATTGATAGCTAATTAATAGTTGCTAATCAGGGATAATATTTACTTCCAATCAGTACATCCATTGGTGTTAATACCCCATCGTGCATGATAGAAAGTATCAGCTGCTTCGACGGATTATCTCTGCCCTACTACCAGTAGCCTACAACATGACATGTGACTGTTGGCTTCATCTGGTTGTGCTGGTCACAGGAAAAACCAAGAGCTTTTCTATGAGTTGGCAGTTCAAGACCTGGACATGATATTCCTTACAAACTTCAGAGTTGAGCTGCTTCAGCAAGTGGAAGCATCAGGGCTGTTAGTTGATTATGAACATTTACGTATGCTCCATGATTTGGGATGCTTCCATGTTGCAGAACCTGTTGACCTAGCTGGAATTACCTCACTTAAACGCTCAACCTACTATGGGGCAAGCCTGCCACCTTTTGCTGGATGGCTGATACTAGCATTGAAAATCTTTCAAGTGAACTAGAGTCAGTTAGCTACTGGACAGTATGCTTTCGATCTCCCAGTTCCCAGCAGATAGCTCACTAGGCTAACCATGATAATTATGCCTACTTATACCATAACCCTTTTCCTTGCCATAAAAATTCTTCATCGCCCGCGAGAGTTACAAGAAGACAAACAGCTAGAAGTTGTTCTATTTTGTGCCCCAGTGGGAGACGATGGCAGCATACGACACGAAAAATTCCCTCAATTCTGGCGAAGTGAGTTTTTTTCCAGATTCAAAATCAGGATAGTAACCGCCCTGGGATCAAAAGATATCTGGCATACTATGAAACTGGCCTCTCCCCTTTTTGGCATCATTGATTCTTTTCTAATAATCTCAATTGGATGGAAGCAACCTCTTTTCTGGGAACAGATATTTAGCAACAAATTGGCTGAACCTGACATTTTTGGGTGTGAAGTCAGGAAATCCTCTTTTCCAACATGGAATGTCTAACTCAGTGATTTGGCTCTGGTTCTATGTGCAGTTAAACTTGGGAACATCGATTTAATTTAGTGTTGCAGCTTTCGTTTGCTCTTAAGGACATTCTGAATGTAACTGTAGAAGTTCTTTTTGCAAAGAATTGCGACCTTCGAAATCCCCGCTTTTCTGAAGAGGCGCTCGCCAAGTCAAATGCCCCTTTGGGGCCATAGGTAGCACTTTTCTCCCATCGCATCGAGACAGATTTCGAGGGTGTCATAGAACACGAGTTGCTGGTGAGACAATGCCGGATTGCAGATGCCTAAACCAAGGTCTGTTGGCTGGCGTCTTCCGCATGCTTATTTGAAGAATTAGCCAGTCATCCAGTATGGGGACTCAATTCCCGCCAGCCATTGCATGCATGCGTCGACAAAGAGGTCACGCCTGCCGCCGATTCCCATGATGCGCGCACGCTGTGATGCTGCGGTTGATCGTGCGCTCTGCAGGCACAGTGCCAAGCGCTGCGGCCCCCAAGCCCAAGCCGGCTACGAAAGCGTTGTCTGCTTGCGATGCATCGCCAACGAACAACACATACCGACCAGGTCCTCTCCTTGACGAAACAAGAGCCCGAGCCTTGACGAATGCGTGGTTCCGCCGAAGCGCACCCCAGCCACGAATCAAACTTAGCCTCCCAACCAACCAACTAACTAGTTAACTAGCACAAGCGCGCGAGCCGTTCAGCACATCTTATTGCCGCTTTCCATCCTAACATTTCTCTGCCAAATTGCGCGCAAACAGGACGCTCTTGTGCCTCCTATTCTGTCTTATAATTGGCCTTCCCCTCTTGTCAGCTAGACAGGATTCCCCCAGCTCGCCTGCTTGGGCGCGGCTAGTATCGTGACCGCTTCACCTCCAGCACCGTGGATAACAATATCGCATATCAACAACCACCTTCACCACCTCCTCCTCCCCATTCCCCTTCTTCCTCCCGCTCCGACGCTCCTCCATCGCCCGGCCCACCTCCGTTTTCGTCGCTATACTTCTCCCCTGAACCCGGGCCTAAAGACACTGTAACAGAATCGCCCGTCCCCGGTGTCCTCGCGTTTGCCTCGACTGCATCCCGTGAAGAACGCCCGGCCTCGCATTCCCTCGCCACCACATCTTCTGTTATCGCAGATACAAAAGCCGCTCTTTCAAAGGATACCCGAGGAGAGTCTTCAGGGAAAAGTCGAGACGACGCCGAGCCTCCACCTCCTTATACAGAGGGTTCAAGCCCGCTCCTGTCATTTTCGTACGTCATGGCGGCTGCGGGAGGGGCTGCAAGTATTATCACGCAAGTCCAACAGACAGGAGGGCCGCCTTTGAATACCCTGGGAGGTATGTGTGCCAGACACCGGTTAAACTGAACCATGATGGATTGATACGTCCTGTTGGGTTAAAATATATGTTTTCTGAAGCTAATATTCTTTCTATTGATTAGACGTCGGAGGCGACGAGAATATCACTCTCGATTTACGGTTCGTACCCTTTGTTCCCCATATGTTTCTGGTATTTCCTGTTCGTTACGATGTTGATTCAATTGCTCATAGAGGCACACGATTCACACTGTCTCGCGATGAATTGCTGACATTACCGGAATTTGTCTTACTATCGCTTTTTCCTAATGGGCTACTTCCAGATAGCCATATGGGGGCGTTTAATGAAGGTGATGTATACTCAGTTGATGTAAGTAAATGCGTGATCTTAAAGCGATACCGTTTTAGATTTTGACGCTTAATGATTTTTCCTAGTACGACCCTACATCCCTTCAGTATATGCTTGAATTCTTCCGATCTGTAGCACAGTCAATACCGTCTCCCACACCGTCACCAACCACTTCGCCCGATGCAGATCCACTCGAGTCCCTTCAAAACTCTCAGCGTGACATGCTCCAGGATCGTGCAGGTATTATAGTACTCCGTGAAGACCTGGATTTCTATGCAATACCGCCCAACTCGGAGGTTGAGCATCCAGAAATGATGGACATCAAACGAGCCGCTGGTAAAGCATTACTTAAACAGGATGGTATTTTTTCAGGCCTTCGGAAGACTGACGAGGCTGGAACAACGGAACAGCATTTAATTGAAATGTTGACTGCAGGGTGAGTTGCCTTTTTACGTCATGGCCAGTTGTTTCATGCCAGCTAATTATTGTATTTCTTCAGCGGGTTTAACCATGATGACTGTTGGGGTCACCGTGCCGCGGAGCCTAATAAAGCGGTAGTATGCAGCCTAGCATTAGCTAGATTACGAACCGATATACGTGGCGATCTCAACGGCAACAATGCTGTAGGTATGGCGCAAAAATTGCTGCTCTTTTGGAGGAAACCAGCGCGAAGGTGCTGGTGGGAAGGCGTCGAGCTAGAAAATGTAGACGGTGTAGAGGGCAAGCTCAAAGTCTGGATTCGAAGGGTGTGGACACTCGAAATGGTATGTTGACTCCACCGAATGCTTGGCTGAACTAACATGGCTATGCATAGAGTGTGATCGGATTACGCTAAGTTATTTTGTGAGGGAGGGCCGATGACTTTTTCTCTCCAGTACACAAAGCAGGCATCGCAGGCCCGATTTAGCTACCAGTATCTTCTGGAAATGTTTCAAGGTGGTCGCGTGCAATTACTAGCCGACTCTTAAACCCGCAACCTCCAGCACATTGTTAGGCGATTTTTCTGTCCCGCGGCACCCATTTTCCTTATGTCTCCTTTTCATACGCTGCTTATATTCCCCCTACTGTTAAATTTTCAGCTTCGAAAAATACCCGCATTGGCTGGTTTTCCAACTCCCAGTTCTTTTTCTTGAAGAAAAGATCTCTCTACAAAACCATCCCAGGCGTTTTCATTTGTGGATTTTTGTCAACCTTTACCTGTAGCTACAATGCTAACTCTGTTGAATTACGTACTTTTTTTTGTCCTTTTAGGCTACTTTGTAGTTACTTCGTACTGTACCGTCAATGATCTGTGAAGTCAACAGGGAGGCAATTGTTAACTACCCGCTAAGCCTGATTTGGGCTAGCGTCTTGTGCTTGTTAATTGAGCTCTTGAGGAACGGCTACTCCCAGAGTTATTCAATACAATCCTCCCAGCTTGCATTTGGCTGTTTTAAATGAGTTGACTTCGGCAGTATAGCTTATAGGACTTATCCAGAAACCATTTGAAGAGAGGTGGCTGAAGACTTTGACCGCGTCTTCGTCTCCGTGGAAGCTTCTCATTAAGCTTGTCGCGCATCATTGCGCCTAGATGACAGTGACAGTTGCTTGACCACTCCTTACCGGGAGAAAGGAAAAACAGAAAAAAGAAGGATGTCTCTCCCTTTTGCCACCGTCACATCTTACTCTCCCCGTCTGCGACAGTATGCCAACGCGCTATTAATACCAGTCCTTCCAGCAACACAAGTTCCCACTGTCCGAACAACGAAGCGCGGTACCACAGCGATCAATTATGCGGAAGACGATGGAGACGATGATACATGGGACGACGGTGATCGGAATCGCCCTACTGGTCTGAGGAGTATGAAGAGGGAAGAGATTCACCCAGATCGAGGACCTACAGGTGAAAAACTGGGAACTGAGATTTATGCGCCTGCAAATGTACAACCGAATTTTAGAGATTGGGCCATCAGGCGGCGGCCAAAATCGACGTGAGCTTCACTCCTTTGCCGTCCGCAAGCCCACAGAGATCTAATTTTCGTTTCTTTTAGGAAGGAAGTCCAGTCCGCGAGATTTGGCTTGCTGCCGTCAAATCTGGTTCCTATTCGTATCGACCTTGAGATCCCTTCACACCAACCCGTTGAACCCTTTCCTTTACCTCGAAATTACCTAGAGCTTGGCATTAATCCTACAGCGCCCGCATATCGAAAGCCAGAGGCGGCTCCTCCTTATCGACTGAAAGATTTTATTCTTTGGAATCTTCATGAGCCGTATGTTACACCTGAAGAATATGCCCTTTCCTTTGTCCGCGAATTAGACCTGCCAAGTCTCCCAGCAATGGTCTCGGCAGTGTGCACACAGATCCGTCAACAGTTGGAGGAATACGCTGGGGTGGCTATGCACCCGATCTTCCAGAAAACGACAACCTCGGGGGAGTCAAATCGTTTACCAAGCCATACGAATTATGATTTGGATTCACCTACACCAGTTCGAATACCACCTACGACACCAGTACAACTGGACGATGCCAATAAAAAGCAAACGATTTCCCAGGGGTTGCCTCCTAGTGACAACCTGTTCAACACCGACGACGCGTATCGCTGCATTGTAACATTAGATATTACTCTGCAAAACAGATTATACACCGACAAGTTCGAATGGTCTTTGCTTCACGATCAAGGCATGGCGGACGTGTTTGCGCGTGTCACGTGCGCAGATCTGGGCCTGGGGCCAGAATGGGTCAATGTCATATCACACGGAATCTGCGAGACAGTTCTCAAACTAAAAAAGGAAGCATGCGAAAGTGGTGGTCTCGTTGGTATTGGCGGAGATGGAGTTGAGATCGACAATCAAACCGCCAACGGCAAAGAGGCAGGCTGGCGATACGACCCTGACGGTTTAGGCGACGAATGGGAGCCAAGGGTGCAGTTCCTTTCCAAGGAGGACATCGAGAAACGGGAGGGCGACAGAGAGCGGCAAATCAGGAGACTGCGGCGAGAGACAGCGAGATTTTCGTCGACAGCAGGCATGTCCCTGGAGCTCACACGCCATACGGCCGGCGGTTATTTCGATCTTCCCGATCCAGATACACCTATGGGTCGGGGCGAGCGCAATAAACGACGTCGTCGGGCTCGAAGTAATAGCCCGGCAAGCGGGACCCCTGGCGGTCGAGGGACTCCAGACATCGGTGGTGCTGTGGCCGGGTATGGGGGTGGAGGCGGCACTTTAACTGATATGTAGGAACCCCATGTAATACCCTCGGTATTTGGAATTCGCTAACACTCATTGTAGGGAGCGACAAAACTGGCGGTGCACAAACTGTGCGTGGCCGGGACATGCTACATGGGCGGCCCGAGACGGCCCAGAGGGCCCCAAGGTATGGCTGTTGCGTACTTGGACTTGATTGATTCATCCGCTAATGTTTGCTTCTTTTTCTGGTACAGGTTCTTTGCCAAAACTGTGGTTTCGAATATGAACGTGATGGACGGCTACCAGCATGGTCCAAAGATCTCTTTGCGCCCCGTCGAGTGCTTGTCTGATTACAACCAAAAGCGAAAAAAACTTAGCACCCGCTGGATTTTAGCTCTGCTTGCGATATCCATACCCCCATGCTTCACTGCGATTGTCATGTGTTTACGGTGTATTTGTACAACGATCACAGGTTTCTTTTTGGCGTTTGAGCTACATAGAAAAGGGGGGCCTAACCGACCGTTTCAGGCCCTGGGGCGATAGCGGAGTTTTACATGAGGGAGGCTTCAAGGTTGTTTTCAACAATGGAGTTGGATTGTAGACACAGGTCTTATGTTTATTTCCGGCATTGAGAGTAGTTAGTTAGTTAACTAAGTCAGGGGCCCGGTCTTTGATAGCCAGCCACCCGGCGCTTCGCTCTCGCCGTCGCAGCAGGCAAAACAAAAGCAAACCCAGTGCGACTCTTAATGGGCTGGTGTCCAGCTTGCCGCCTGCAGCAATCCTAATATCTACTCCGTACTCCATACTCCGTACGTCGCACGCATTCCCGCCCTGGCAACATCGCCCAATCCTTCAGCTCCCACCCGCCTCAACGAGGGATGCGCACCCGGTGTAACGTCGCTCTGCCAGCTGTGGGTTGCACGGTTCGGCGCGTTTTATTCTGCTGAGAATGCGCTCTGTTCTGGTGGGCGCTGGGGCCAATCGCACCCGTTGCCTATTGACGACAATCGCGAACAATAGCCCCATTGAAGTGTCAATAGAAATAGCGCCCGCGTCAATCGCAATCCCGCCACCACAGCTGTGGGCTATTGTCTGCTATATTTATCAGTCAGTATTCATGCACTTTTCTGCTTGATGAGAAGTGCTTTTTGTTTTGTTTTTGCCCGCCACCGTTTGCTGCTAGTAGTCCTCAATAATAATAATAATAATAATAGGGATACCACCCCAGATGCCGGGTATAGAAATTCATTTTTGTTATTGCTTGTCTTTGAAAGAATAACTAAATCAGCGGATTCATCCGGCTTTATTCTGCTGCTTGTAACCTTGCCGTCAATGGTCTCCCAGCAACCCGCCGAGACTCTGCTGCAAGCTTGCAATAGGTGCCCTGCTTGTTTATTGAGCAGGTCTTCGACAGCAAACAGAACTTCCTATATATAACCTCTATTTTCTGTTTTACGTCTACAGAGAGCTCTCAAGTCTCAGTTGGCTTACCTTTTTGCTACTGCGCCTGTATTTTCGCATCTTTATCCCTTTATCAAAAGTATACTGCAGCGCTGGTCGCACCCGATACCTCCCTTACAGACGCCGCTTGCTTCTCTTGCATAATATTTTCTCAGCGACGATGTTTCCACCGTCCGACTCGATTGGCCATCAGAATCTCAAGCTCGCTGAGTTTGTCACAAACCTCCAGAGCCAAGCGCCGCTGCCTGCGCCGCCTCCACCATACATTGCCTCGCATTCCAACATCGATTTGTTTGACGATGACGAAGACGATGAGACACTAGCCCTCCCACCGATCGTGTTGAAAATCGACACTTCTATCACCATCGAGGGCCAAGAAAACACTGTTGCGATTCCAAGCTCGGTTGATGGAGGAAATCCGATCGCAGCTGAAGCAACAACCCAGGCACAGCCATCGAGCACCAGTGCCGGCGCTATGCAGCAGCTACAGCAACAACGGCAGGCTAAATCAGCCCAGATCGCCTCATCGGTGGTAACAGCATTGAAAGCTTGCGGCGTCCTAGACGATATTGATAGCGGCAAGACGCGACCTATAGAAATTAATATCGATGCTGGCATTCACATCAAAGGAGCTAAAAACGTGGTATGCTCTGGGATGAGAAAACGCCTGGACGCCACGACTTTGTCGCCGTCAGCTCTTGTAACAGACATTCCCCTTGCCGGCCGCAAACGTCGAGTTCAATCAGTAAGTTCACAGCGTTGCTTACCCTTGCTGCGTCGTTTTAACTGACAGTCTCTGGTAATGTAGGAGCCTCCTGAACAAAAAAGCAGCAAAAGAGCGCAGACCATGCAGGATAAAAACCAATGACGTCTGCAGAAACCCGGGCTGCAGTCTGATTTTATTTCGCACTCGCTCCGGTCGAATCCGGCCGACGACGACGCTTTCATCAAATTGGCATTTCGAACAGAGCCTGTTGCACCGGAAACCGGTATCGCCCCCCCGCTTCGCTGTCGGACATGCGCGCTATCCGTGCTCCTTCGTCATTAGGATTGTGAATTCAACGGCCCCGCGTCAGCTGCCTGGAGACAGTCCTTGATTTGTGGTCTGTTTCTCTGGATTCCAGCCGAGCCTTGTCCACACTTCCAAGACCGTTCGCTACCGACGGCATCTTCTTGTTGTATGATATTAGCAGCAGTGCATTTCGCGTATGTGGGCAGCCGCCTTGTGCATCGGTACTTATTAGTAGTAGATAGAACACTAGACTAGCACTAGAATCTTCACATGTATTTTCCCAAAGAAATTGGCAGCCACGGTACTCGTTTCCGCCTAGCCGTATCCGGCGGGCTTTGCGTTGAGGAAGGAGCGGTCACGGGACGTCGGTGGCGCAAACGTTATACGCTAGCCTGCACTGGGACTAGCGCATACTTGGGTTACGTCGTTGTTGAGCAAGAACAGCGCTGTTTTGTCGTCAAACACACCATGTCCTCGCCCGACCGGCGATCGACAGCGGCAATACTCTTTTCTGGCTTTACAGAGCGCCGCGCACGCAGCCCTGCCATGGTTGCTTGAACGCTGCGTGGCCACATGGGCCGCTCGGAGGATTCAGGTTAATACCCCCCTTGGTGGAGCCTGCCCGCCCCGGTTCTGTCCCGGCCATGGAGCTCCTGCCCACTCTCTCGTTTCTGCCTTTAAAAGGCTGCGGCGGGGCGCTTCCAATGTTTCTCGAAAATCCGGGGATCAACTGAATTTTTCTTTCTTTCGTTTCTTTTCCTCGCCATGTGTTGTTGAATAGGGTCAAGATTCCAAAAAAGACCACTAGAATTCCCCCTTTGCTCTCGACCGTCCTCTCTTTCGCAATGGCCCGCGACAAGAACGCGCCGTTGGCGGCTGACACCGCGTTCACCAGCTCCGTACAGTCCCCCTCGCTTGCGTCCCACCTGGCAGATCCGGAGAAGTCCGTGCCGTCGTCCCAACATGCTTCGATTCAGGAGGATGTTGGCGACCGGCCTACCATCGATATGACGCACCGAAAGCTGAAGCCAAGGCATATCCAGCTGATTGGAATCGGAGGCTCAATTGGAACAGCACTGTTCGTGCAGATTGGAAAAGGCCTGCTAAGTGGTGGGCCTGGGAGTCTTTTTCTAGCGTTCACGTTGTGGTACGTTTTGCCCCCGGGATGTTTCTTCTTCTTCCTCCGTGTGTGGTAAGAAGTTGGAGAAACATTGGTTTTCTTTTCTTTTCTGTTTGCTGCTTTGATTATTCTGCTCTATTTTCTGGGTGTAATGCCCCGGCTTGTATGTGTGGCCCCTTGTCCTTTGCCCTAGAGAAATGATAAGGTAGGCAAGGTATGGATAAGAGGTATTGAACGACCTTTACTCTCGGGATTTTTTTCGACGGTGCCATTCTGGATGACTGCCGTGACATTTATGATGTCATATTTAGTATACTTTCCGCCGAAGAATCGTGGTGTCTTGAAAATCTGCAATGCGTCCCCTACAATTCCCCCTGTTGCATTTTTAATATAAATGGAATCTTATGAATTTGAAAAATAGGTGCACCGTTATCTTGGCTATTACCATGTGTATGGCATATTCTCTCCCTGTTATCTTCGCATGAAGTGCAATGCCGATCATCATCACGCAAGTCACACAAACCATATCATCAACATCACCCTACACCCTATGCGACCTTTCGAAACTCCTAACTACTTCCCTATCGCGACCCTTTCCCCCTCTTTAAGACTCTGCTAAGACATGAGGATACGAAGAAACAGGCATGGCCGAGATGGTCACATATTTACCTATATCCTCACCGTTCATCCGATTTGCTGGTCGCTTTGTCGACGAAGCATTTGGTGTTGCAGCGGGATACAATTTCTTCGTTTTTGAAGCCGCTTTGGTTCCCTTCGAGGTCGTAGCATGCACTTTCATCATTCAGTTTTGGAGCCAGACCGTCCCCGTTGCAGCCATTATTACAGTCATAATTGTAGCCTATGGGTATGTGCTCCCTTCACTAGACTTAACTTTTACTGAGACCCAACGTTTACCTTCTTTGCAGATTTCTCAATTTCTTTGCCGTCAAATGGTACGGAGAATCCGAGTTCTGGCTCTCCTTAGGTAAAATGCTGCTCATCGTAGGGCTGATCATTTACACATTCATTGCTATGCTTGGTGGCAACCCACTTGGAGACCGCTTTGGATTCAGATACTGGAAAACGCCGGGATCTTTTGCTGAACTGTACAAGACGGGCGATCTGGGCCGCTTCCTTGGATTCCTGCAGTGTTTAATCCAAGCTAGCTTCACGATTGCAGGTCCAGACTACGTTTCCATGGCTGCTGGCGAGGCTGAGAACCCGCGCGTGTCCATGCCTCGCGCATACAACGCTGTTTTCTACCGGTTAACTTCATTCTTTGTCCTGGGAAGTATGGCAGTGGGTATCAACGTGCCGTATGATGATCCGGTTCTTAAGGATGCATTTGAGAAAAATCTTCCTGGTGCTGCTGCTTCCCCTTATGTTGTCTCCATGACCCGCCTTAAGATTCCAATTCTGCCACACATCGTGAATGCGGCGGTGCTCTTAGCCGCGTTTAGTGCTGGAAACAGTTTCGTATACTGCGCCAGCCGCAGTTTGTACGGTCTCGCTCTGGAAGGGAAGGCACCCCGAATCTTCACGCACTGCACAAAGAGCGGCGTGCCAAAGTATACTGTTATTCTCGTTCTCCTGATTTCCTTGCTGGGCTTCTTACAGGTCTCGAACAGTGCGGCGGTCGTTTTGCAATGGTTTGTTAGTCTTGTCACAGCCTCGCAGCTGATCAACTTTGCCATCATGGCATTCACATACATTCGCTTCAAGAAAGCTTGTGATGTCCAAGGATTATCTCGCAGAACTTTGCCATTTAGGTCGCCATGGCAGCCGTTTTTGGCATGGTACTCGTTTATAGCGTGCACAGTCATGTCCATCGTGGGTGGCTACACGGTGTTTCTACCCGGAAAATGGAACTTGCCGTCATTTTTCTTTTCGTATACGATGATAGCTGTGGTTCCCGCTATATTTTTTGGCTGGAAGTTCACCAAACGTACAAGATTGATTCCGCCAACGGAGGTCGATTTAAAGAAAGATCTCGCTGGAATTGAAGAATACGAAAGAAATTTTGTTCCCCAACCACCAAAGTATGCATACCTGTCCATTTACAGTACCTGTTCACAGGGAGTATCCCTTCTACTTCTCACATGCTAATGATGAAACTTTCTAGAAACCTATTCGAAAAAATTCTTGATTTCCTCTTTTAGGTAGATATGGTGTCATGGAGCGCTATTCATATGACCTTTGGATACGTCGAGGGCGCTTTGGTTGTTAAATTTTCAAATGTATTGACTGGGTTGGAAGACATAGACCACTCCGCGCCATTATATGTGCTTTTGGAGATAGTATTGATGGCTTGGAGTGAGGGAAGAAGGGCGGTCTGCAAGTCTTTGAAACCTTTACTCAACATTTGCATCCCTTTGTCAGGCTGCACATTCTCTTACGGCGCCGGAGGCCTGTGGATAGATTCAGGTATAAATCGTATGCACATATTCAAGTACATATTCCCACCCATTACCTTTACTATTTAATTGACTTTTCTGAGATGACACCACTGATCATCTTATGGAAGGAGGGCGAGATAAAGCCCAGAAACGATTGAAAATGAGCTGTAGCTTTCCTTGATGGTATTTGTCTAGGAACTCGCATGTAACCTGCTTTGTGGATGGGACGTGCCAGTTAGTTATACGGGGTAAAGAAGCTCAATTGGGGAAACAGTTAACGAAACCACCAGTTGACCTGCAAAAAGATCAACATATTAGCTTAGGTTCAGATAAGGTTGGATGGCTACAGAGTATCTCCTAGGCCGATGACACTCACCGATGCTGTAATTCCCATTCCAACACCCCTGATACTATGCCACCAGCCCATCGGAATAAAAATACCATCCCCGGCATGAACCACAGTTTCATAGGCGTCGTTGTACATCGCCGGTACGTCGGATCCAGTATCTTGCTCTCCCCATGTTTCCCGCTCAAGCAAGTCCTTCTCCGGCCCATACATCATATCGTCACCTCGAAATACGGCACTTCCAGCTCCACCATTCCTTCCAAGTCGCTGACTCACGCAATTAAAGATCGCAAGGCCGGCACTTGGAGGGAGCAGTCGTACATGTTTTGAGCCTGCGAGCTGCACAAAAATATTCGGATTGGGGTCTCGATGCAAGGGGGTGTATGTGGGCGCAACTCCTACCCAAATATTTGTGTCGTAGATGTCTCCTTTGCCGGCGTCTGAGACGTATGATGGGGTCGGGAGATCGTCCCGCAGCTGGGGTGTGAGGTCCAGCAACTGGCACTGGGCGAGGTAGAGGCGGGTATCTGGGCGGCGGCTTGCTTCGGCGTTCGCAGCTGCGTTTCCTAGGCTGGACGACTCGATTGATCGGGTCCAGTCGAGGAATAGACCCAGAGGAGCGTGGAAACGCTTGAATGATTCCTCCAGATGCCCATCTTCACAAACTCTTCTTGTAGTCAATTCGAGCGGCACGTAACAGTCACGATGCGACGACAAGTACCCGACATTGAGCGATCTCAGCGATGACACGTCACCGTCACTGGCCAACGGCACCGGAACAAACCATCGTGAGGCTGCCGGCAGCTCTCGAAATCGGCCTCGAGGAAGCACAACGGGGCGCTGGGGCTTGAAGTAGGACTCGCGGAACACAGAAGTGCAGCTGCTGGCCAGTGTCTCTAGGGCCGAAAAGCGAATAAGACCCGCTGCCTTGCTCTTCATGCCCTCTCTCGCCGCACCAGCCAGCGTCAGAGCAGCAGATTGTGGCAGCGTGTCGGCGTCGCGACTATGAAGCTCATCCTTTGGTCAGCAGCCAGTTAGCGAGCGTCTAATAGGCCAAGCGGACGTCCGCCATTCCCCAGATTCCAAAGGTTGCCGAGATTCCCCTCTCCAGTAGACCCCAACGTCGCTCCTCTGCGCGGCCCGGCGCTGTCTCAACGCTGCCACGGCCTCGATTGCGTGTGTCCCTCCGGCATCCTGAATCCAGCGCGATGTCTGCCAAATCGCCAGCCTCGGGCGTCGGCACAGCCCCAAGCGAGAGCCAGACGCCCACTTCCGGGAATGCCGCGGGCGATGCGAAGCGAAAAGCGGAGCCGAACAGCGGAACTCACACACGGTCAAAGCGGAACCGATATATCTCGCTTGCTTGGTGGGTGCTCTTGCGAACGTCGAGCCACGCCATTGCGCTGACGATAGGTGATTCCGTAGCAATGAGTGCAAACGGCGGAAGATCAAATGCAACGGGCAGGTGCCATGCCAGCGCTGCGGGCATCTGTCTCTGGAATGTATGCTGACTGCTGTTGGCCTGGCGCTCAGTCGACTGTGCAGTATGGCTAATGCGAGTACTCTGCAGGTCTTTACGCCCCGAATTGCTGCAGCAGCAATTTCAAGGATTCAGAGTAGGCTTGCGCTTTTGCTGTGACCCTTCCACCTGGGAAGCCCCGGCTAACAGCTTTCGTGCAATTTAGGGAGTTTCGGTCCATGAAAAAGCATATCGAGCAGTTGCAGGAACAAGTGAATACCTTATTTTCCAATATCACGGAGCTCTATCATAAATCTGAATCTACCCCCGTCGATCCCGGCCAGTTCAGTCGCGAAGCGTCGCGATCGATATCCGGCCAACCCGCCGCGTATGACAGCCAAAATACACCACAAGTAAAATCACGCTCGAAACATCCGCGATTTCACGGTCCGACCAGTACGGCGTTCAACTTCGATGTCGCGAAGTCAAGCTTGCAGACCATGGGGATTGCACCGGTGGATGATGGTGCACATGAGCTCTTTACTGCACAAGATCCAACCCCCGCGCAAACCCCTCCACAACACCTGGCACCCTATCCCCATATGTTCGCCCATCCTAGCAAGGATCCACTCTGGGTAATCAAGCGGGAAGAGGCCGTTCGCTTATGTCGGATATACGAGGAGGAAATAGGCATGATGTATCCCATTTTTGATATTGAGAAGCTAGTCACACAAACGAATCTTCTCTTCACATTCCTGGAAGCTGCTGATCGGACGGGCTTTGCGAAGAGATTCAAGCCTGGGGCGGATTGTTTGAGTGACGATGATACAAGTATATTAAAAATGGTGCTTGCTATTACCCTAACAGTGGAAGGTAGTGGAGAGAGTGCATTGGGCGCGCGATTCTATAATAGCGTGAAACAAAATGTAGAATTCAGCATCTGGGAGCCCGGTGATATCAAAACCATAAAGCTCCTTGCTCTGGTGGTAAGTACAAATAAAATTATTAGTGCTATCGGCCTATTGATATTTAATGTGGCTTACTATGTTCTAGGCAACCTACCACTTTCATACAGACAATGATGCTCTAGCGTATCGGTCAATTGGGATAGCCGCGCGAATGTGCCTAGAGATTGGCCTGCACCGTCGAGATGCCGTCTTGAAGGCATTTCATACCGATGAAGAATTAGCTGCTGCGAATAAGCTATTTTGGTCCGTTTATTCCTTGGACCGGCGTTGGAGTGTGGGGACTGGATTACCTTTCACAATTCAAGACGAGGATATAGATCCATATCTGCCAGATCCCGTGAGCTACCTTTACCGGTTTCTTTTTTCCTAGTCGATTCTAATGGCAAACAGGACGATTCTGCTCCCTATCTCAGAGCTATGGTTTCATACTGCCGCCTGAGCTCAAAAGTATGGTACTCTGGACTTGGCTCCGAGAGCGCTGCAATTAAAAGGGATAAGATTGAGTTCCTGGACTACCAAGTTGTTCAGTGGATGAAAAATGTGCCCAATGGGCTTAAATTTCACCCAGCTGATCTGAACACAAACTCTGAAACCGTTAGGGCGGTGAAGCGATTGCGCCTTCTGTTGCATATTCGCGGCAATCATTTAAGAATCCTCATCTATCGACCAGTATTACATTCAGCAACCAGTATAATGGAAAATATGTCCTACGCGCGTACTGTTGTGGGCATAGCTGCCGACACTATCCGAGTTCTGACTCGACTTAATCAGACGACAGACATTTATCGGTCCCAACAAATGCTATTTAATTACTTTCTCATCGCTTCACTTGCTGTTTTATTTCTTGCCGTATCACATGCTCCTGTTGAATTTAATCGCCAAGTTCGAGATGAATTTTATATGGCGCTTGATCTTATCAAAGGTTTCAGCACCAAATCTTACGTGGCAAAAAGGCTATGGAAGATGATCAGGGGGCTTCGAGAGATTGGAGAAAAGCTCGGCCTGTTTCCTCGCCCTCTGGGGCATGAACCGAGTGACCCGCATTCAAGCGCCGCCGTTGCTATGGCTGGACTTGCTGGTCACCCTATTGAGGTTTTGTCTGCAAACTATCCTGGAATGAACGTTAATGGCGAACTGGGCAACAGTCCTGTCAACGGCCTCCAGATGAGTAACGAACTAACCAGCCTTTTTGAAGCCATGGGATCTTATGGAACGTATCTTCACACGACAGGCGCCGATGGTCTAAATGGCGATTTTGTAAATCATGAAGGCGAGTTACACCATATTTCTGATGGCTTGCCTGGTGGGTTGGTGAATGAAGGAGAGTTTTCACGCATTGTCCGGGACTTATTTTGAATTTAGCGGGTTTTATTGATTATTAGTATGGTTAAAGAATTCTATGGATCTACTTCATGTGTCTGGTACTTGTCGTTTATATCGCGATTCGCCCCCTGTTGTTTGGGTTGTTTGCACTCTCTATTGCAAACATACCAAACAGAACACTAAGCGGGCATCAGGTGATTAGCGCGATATACCGCAATCCCACCACCTGATAAGGAAAGAAAGACAACCTCACTCTGCCGCGGTTCTCTTGAACATATTCCCACCAGGGCTTGTATGCGCCGCGACATTCGTGATGCCATTGAGCCACCCTCGTTCACGTGGTTTACATTCCGCATGCTTATTTTCTTGAAAACCCTTTACACCTGCCCCTGTGGGAACGCGAGTCTGTACATTGTGGGACTGTTGCCCAACGCCATTCCCAGTCTTCGTCGATAGGTGTGCTGCTTATCGCCTATTCACTTCACCACACGCCTTTAAGCAATTATTTTTATGCCGCTAATGTGTACGGGATAATATCGACTTGGTCGCTCTCTCTTTGAGCCCCTTCCCCAATCCCCACCACGCCTTGGACCATCATTCCGTGATTTCTGCCACAGACCTTAGTACTACACCACATTCGATTTCACACAGCACCCTATAGTAACACTAGCGAGTCCTTGTACCGAAACGTAAACGCACACCTTCCCGCCTGTGCTTACCTTTTGTGAACCGGCTCCTCCGCAACATCATCTTAAACAGCCTACGAACCCGGAACCGATTATTCCATCATGTCCGTCTCTTCCGGGGTACCGGAGTCGTGGATCTCGGCCTTTTGCTCCCTCATGGGACATGAGTATTTTGCTGAGGTCTCAGAGGACTTCATTGAGGACGACTTCAATTTGACGGGGTTACAATCGCAAGTTCCAAAGTTCAAAGAAGCCTTGGAGATGATTTTAGACGTGGAGCCGGATGATGACGACGAAGATGATGAGGACGAATATGATGACGATGAAGATGTCATATTGGGTGACACTCGTGATTACGATAGATCAAGTGGTGGGAGACATATTCGCGTCGCCAGCGATTTGAGCGCTATCGAAACATCTGCCGAGCTTCTTTACGGATTGATTCATCAACGATACATTACTTCACGCCTGGGTATACAGCAAATGCTAGAAAAATACGAACGCCAGGACTTTGGTATTTGCCCTCGCGTCTTTTGCCAGGGCTGCAGAGTGCTACCAGTTGGACGGACGGATACTCCTGGTCTGGATACTGTAAAGTTATACTGCCCAAGCTGCCAGGACTTATACACGCCGCCAAACAGTCGATTTCAGACCGTCGATGGCGCTTTTTTCGGCACCACATTTGGGTGCCTTTTTTTCATGAGTTTCCCTGAACTTGATGTTTCTGGCCCACCAGATGCGCCGGTAACTAGTTTACTCTCCACAGATGGCAGTAAAAGTGCTGGTGCAAGTTCCAATAGCCAACCAATTCAGATAAACGGCGTGATGGTGGAAAATCTTGCACCAGGGTTAGGGCAAGGCAGAATATACGAAGCGAAAGTGTACGGATTTAAAGTGTCGGAGCGCGCTAGGTCAGGCCCGCGAATGAAGTGGTTAAGGATGAAGCCGGACAATATCTACGAGCTAGATGAAAGTGCCATTTACCATGCTGCTAATCGAGAAGCTGGCACTGTTGACGGCGATACCGAAATGGATGCCGAGGATCCACAGCAGGCCGCTATTAGCCGACGGAAGAAGGCGCCAATACGAAAACGAAGAGTTGCAGCACCCACAAACCCAGAGCCTATGAATACTAATGGGGCTGGAGAGTTGGGTTGAAAAGAAAAGAAAAATATGTCCTCAGGAGTATACCCCATAAGAAATTTTGACATCCGTAAATGCATCAAAGTGGCATTGTAATTTTGATGATTTACTGTTTGAGATCGGACTCAGTACATACTCTTAGCGATTGCCCACCGCGTTTCCTGTTTCCAAGTTCTTCCTAATCTTTTATACTGCCTTGCATTTACGCTCTGCTACCCCTAAAAAAAGGAAAGTTGGAGGTATATGTCATTTCATTTTACTTCCTATTCGAGTTTAAATTTGTTTTCTCTAAACTTTTCTGGTCACTTAGGCTGTCAAAAACGACACAGCAGAGACGCTCAGAGTCTATTGTCTCCCAGGATTTTCATATTCCCTTTGGTCAGTGGGTGCATAGCGAGAATTAGAGCATTTGATTAATGATAATGACATTGGCCTTGGGTTCCTTGGGTTCTGAGCAACGTTCTCGGTAACCAACGGTTTCCCTAGGCTAGTTCTATCTTTCTAGCGGATGCCCCTCGAGGTCAAGCTGAACAGTCACGTGTACAGTTACCATATCCTCCAAGGTCAATGACAATGCTTCGTATGTTATATCCTATCGGGGCAGCTTATCGGGGCTGATGATTGGCTATGAAGGGCTGGTAGGAACGCATATCGTATTTTTTTTTCAGCCAGTAGCATCGCCAAATGTATTCCCTCCCGCGGCATGTTCCTAAAAAGCTCCGGCAACGCCAGGAGAGGATGACGTCGTGCGGCCAGCCTTCCGGTTATCAATGGAGCTTTGAAAAAAAGGAACAATTCCAAAAATAGCGTACGGAGCATCGAGCCCGGGGTCCGAGGCGTGCTGCAATACTCTTCGCTCTTAGGTGGCCATCACAGCGCAGAATGAGCTACCTGCATATTTTCGGAGATTGTGGTATAAGGAACGGGTTTAGTTGCCATGGGCGCAGGTTAAATGAAAAGGTATTGCAGCGGTGTAGTGTCAATAGGTATTCAGGTGATGGATCGTGGTTCCATTTGATTGACCCTGCAACGACACCATAAGTCCGAACCAGACACCAAATCAGGATAGAAAGAAGCCGGCGCGGGAGTATGAAAACTGGGGATCACGGAAAGGGCCGCAGCTAGAAATGGAAATTTCCATGGGGTGGCAGACACGAAGGTCATTTAGCTTGGGGCGGTGCACTAGAACAGGGCTGGTCAAACAGTGATGAGAGGCCCCTGAGCCGGCCGCTTTGGTGATATACGGAAGCCTGAAGTTTCGGAACGCTTCTTTGCGGCCATCTCAGCTGAAGAGGCTCGGCACATCGTATTGAGAGCCGATTGATAACTGGGGCACGAGTACACGTGGCTCGTGCACACGCGTTTTTGCTGGGAGCCTCATCGCGTGTTCGCAGTACGTGGACGGCGACGACAACACAGCCGGTATCAACGGGCAACCCGCCAACGACCAATGCACAGGACTGACGGCTTTTGGCTTTCACCCCTCAGCCCCCGACGTACACGCCGTCGCCCACAAGCCCAGCCCAACCCCAAGGGCTCCAGGAGCCATTCCGCTCTCCGCCTCACACACCAACGCTCATACACACATGTGCGCAGCACAAATGGACTGTTCGAGCAAAAGCGGTGCTGAAGATCACAAGGCAGACTCCACTTGGGATGAAGTCTAGAACTTTCTTTTAATGGAATGTCAAATGATGTGGCTCTGCTCGGTTTCCAAATCAAGTGCAGGCGCTTGATAGCTGGCTTGCTGTTCCGGTTTCACTTCGAGCGTCGTTAGAAATATGCACGTCAAGTGACAAATCGGAATGTGCCCCCGTCCCCGATCTTCATACCGTCTACCTGGTCTTCCTGGCCACGCCCTTGAGTCATATCTTGGGACCCTGAGAATGGTTTTCTACGGCCCTAATCCCTAGCTGCTTTCAATTATGGGCACCTCAGGTTTAAAATTCAGCCCCAACAGTGCCGAACATCCACCAGATGAATCGGTTTGAGGCTACCGGCCGGCGCCACGAGATATGTGGATCAGCTTCTATTTGCTTGGTTAACTACCCATGCGCTTTCGTGTTTAAGATCACTTCCCGCCGGCTTAACTAACCCCTGCATGCCACCTTTTTCCCTTTTGTGTAAAGTTTAGCTGCAACCACAGCTTGAATTATATGTTTGCCTGATATATGCTACTTTGCCTAGGAATTTCTAATCTTTCAGAAGCTACATATAAACCCTTCACCGTTGTCTATTGATCACCTTCGATCATGTCCGGTTTTCTGTTGGCTGATTGTTCTAGCCCTCTTATCGCTCACTTCCCCCCTTATCAATCGTCACGTCATCAAAATATAAGCGGCGTTATATGTTCAAAAAGAGCACGTTCCACAACTATGGGACGACAGAACAATCGGTCAACTTCGCCTCGGTCCGGCACCTTTCCGAGAATAGCGGGAAATAGTGCCTTCAGTGAGCATGCCCACCCGGATGAAGATTGGACACAGATATCAGATCTCACTGAGAGGCGGCGAATACAAAATCGCATTGCCCAGCGTAATTATCGTAAGCTGCTGTTCCCATTTCAATTTTTCTTAAAAAAAAACGAAAGCACAGGCACAACCATTCAAAATCAAAAACGTGGAGCCCTGAGCTGACTCATTCATAGGTAAGAAATTAAAGCAGAGAATGGAAGAAGAGCGATCTGCAGACGAAAGTGATGCTTTTAAATTATCGCCTGAGCAACGGCCCCTGCGTTCTCAGACAAAAGCCGAAGAAGCCCAACATACTATGAATTCAACAACACCTTTAGGAACTCACTCCACTTACACGAGTTTCATGCCAAATGATGGCCATATTGGGCCGCATCAATCGCAGTATAACCCAAGTTGTCCACCTGAACTATCGCCATCGCCTTTCTATGCAGAACCCTACACATATTCACAATACCAAACAGAACTATCGCAATATTTAAGGCCTCGACCAGAATCACAGCACGGCCTTTCTAGCTCAGAGCATCTAGGTGCAAGTCGAGAACTCCCTTTGAACCCTGAGGTTGGCCATTTTATCGATTACCGCAACTACTGCCAGTTTATATCTGACGCGAATATACCTGTCACCGAGCCGTTATATCAACAAGCTGGTTCCCAGGTACTGCCCCATGCGTCCCATCGTACAGTGCGACGACTGTGTTAACAAATTACTCATTAGCCTTCCATGCCAGAAAATTATGCCTATCAGCACTATGACCCGAATTCATACCCTTATTCAACGTCTTCAAGCCATAGTGGCCAGAAGCACTATCGGCGGTCCTAAACGTTTTAATATACTATACATTAACACGGGTGAGTTAAGCCGGGTACCATCTCATCCGCTATAACGCCTCCAATTCAGAATTCTTGGTGTTCTACGGAGTTGGCTACGCATCAACAGCCTTTTAACATTTCCCTCTGGCATTAATAGACGTTTCGATAAGTGGAGCCTTGTGTTTGGGTTGGCGGTAGATGTTTCTCTTTCTGTCCGGAATAGCAATAGTTTTGGACCTTGTTTTTCTGATAAGGGTTGGCAAGGAAAAGAGGGCCTATGTATTATTATAAATGCCATTGTTGATCAGTAATCTTAATGACTCATACGCACATACGATGGAGTACGGAGTACCTACCCGACTAATACACCGTACTTCGGTACTTCGTACAGAGTACATAGAGAAGTCTGTGTGGATATGACTAAAAATAGATTTTGCATTTAAGGTTGCGGGGAGTAGAAAAGGTTAAATACTTTTGAGGTGGTCGTAGTGGTCTTTGGCATCATGAAGCAAGTATTTCGGCGCTGTAGAAAAGATGGATCGCGTCAAAAGCCCAGCAGCACCATCCATAGTCCGTACACGCGAACGGGAATCAGTAAAAGACAGCGGAGGCCGCGGCCGGCGTGAAGATCGGAACCGAAACGGCGAGCTAAGCTTGCTTCGCATAACATACGAGCTGGGGTAAACATACGAGCGCGGGTGAGTCAAGCTGCACGATCATGGAAAATTAAGCGGGCCAGTCGTGAGTGAGCTGGTCTCAATTTCAATTTAGACGATCACTCCGATTTCGGCCTTCCCCATTGGAAGCAGTGAAGAGCTGAATCTTCTATCCTGAGTTTACGCAAGGAGTATTCTGTGCCAGTAGGCCACAACTCTTGCCGCTGAGGTCAAGTATGCGGAAGAAATGAAGGCCCAAGGGATCAGATCGGGTTTCAATATGAAGAGGGAGCCCTGGCTAGAGCTGTTTCCGGAGATTAGGGATATGCAGGTTAACCATGCGTGCACGTTCCAAGAGGACCCGTCAGGGCCCTGTTAGACGATTACGAATGGGGCTGAGCCAAAATTGGCGGGAACTTCTAGATGCCTGTCGGCTGGAGGACGTTCTCACAGATAGTCCATACTTTGGAATCTTCGAGTCTTTGATGGAGCACCAAAGACCCGGGGGAACGACTTTTTTGAACTAATTACTGAAAAATCGACCACACGTAAAGCTCTATTTTACTATCAGCAGTCTAGAAAAGAGAAGACCACGCAGAAAGAAAAACGCCTAAACACGCTATCGTAAAACACAGAAAACCGCCAAGAGTCAAATGGGACGAAAATACTCTGGTATTGGACAGCATTCAGAGAAGATGCGTTTTCGATACGATCATTCTTGGAACAACACAGGCATTTACAGTTTCACACTACAAGAAGGATTAGTTTGGGGTATTAGTGATTCATTTGCGCAGCTTTGGACGTACCTCCATGGGTGTTCTTCTTCCCCGTATTGGATCCCTTCGATCCAGTTCTTCATCTCAAGTGCAACCTTACCGGCCTCCTCATCTTTCTTCAACCCACATTCAACAAGCCTGCCCTTCCAGCTAATGTTGCGCACAGGGCTGACAATAGCAGCGGTTCCAGCACCAAAGGCTTCAATCAGCCGGCCTTCGTCCGCCGCTTGTGCAAGCTCTGGCATAGTAATCTTGCGCTCCACAATATTCCAGCCCCGGGGAACAAGTCTCTCACGAGCCAGAGTCAACACGGAGTCACGTGTGACGCCTTCAAGGATTGTACCGTCCAATGGGGGTGTGATGAGCTCATTTTGACCAGTCTCCTTGTTCTTCAAAGCGATGAAGAGATTCATGGTGCCGACTTCGGTCAAGTATTGTTCTTCACCAAACAACCACAAATTCTGCTGGAAACCCCGGCTGCTTGCTTCAAGCTGTGGAACAATACATGGTGCATAGTTTGCTCCAAGTTTTTTATCTCCAACGCCTCCAGGCCAAGCACGAACGGCGTAGTCTGTTGCTTCAAGGGAAACGGCTTTGAAGCCAGTAGGGTAGTAGGGGCCAACAGGGCTGGCAATAACAAATATCATTGCTGAGCCTGGCGCAGAGACACCAAGAGTTTTCTGTGTGCCAATCATCGTAGGTCTCAAGTATAACGAGTAGCCTCGTTCCCTAGAATAACTAGCTTTAGAATGTGGTTTAAAGAATAACCGAGGAAGAGCTCACTGTGGGATGAATCTACTATCCAGCTTCACGAGCTCGCCAACGAGCTTAATCATCGCTTTAGAGTCAAAATTGGGAAGTGCAATCCGTCTAGAAGATTTGTTGAGTCGTGCCATATTTTTATCCGGTCTAAATAATCGAACAGAGCCATCTTTGCCCTTGTAGGCCTTCATTCCTTCAAAGCACTCAAAAGCATAATGAAAAACGCAGGTGGCTGGGTCGAGCTTCAAATCCTGGTACGGAACAATTTCTGGAGCAAGCCATCCGTCCTTGGTGTTCCAATGCGCCTGGAGCATGTGGTCTATTCAATAAAATCAGCGCTGCTTCTCTCCAATGCGACACTGAATGGGATGTGAACCTGTAAAAGTAGATCCAAACACAAGCTCTTTTGGCGGAAGGAGCTGTTTTGGATGCGCAGTTTTTGTAATAGTAAGCTTTGAAGCATCTATACCTGGAAGCCCGTCACTTCTGCTTGGGGGCTGCCAGGCACTGGAATGCCTTCGCCATATGGCATTGGCGGTGTATCTCAAGACAGGGGACTTAGAAGGGCCGGTCGAAAGTGGTCGCGCACTTGCGCAACCTAATCTAAGAACACTTTTCATGTTTTGAATGAAAATATACTAATTCCCGGGAACGAGACGAACGCGCAGAACAGGGATTGAGGAGCGGAGAGGATTCTACTTGACTGCAAAATGGGCAATGGGTTTGAGTCACCGAAGATCCCTCAAAATATAATCCGGAGCGAGCTTCTTGGTCCGGTCCCAAAGCGCTTAACGGCGGCGCCGGGGCAGGCCTTTTTCCGCGTAAACGAGGCAAGTTACCGAGCCGGCCAATCAGGCGCCGTTCGCGTGACTCGGCTCGGGGCAAAATCGGAGGCCCCTGCACTAGCCTATATCTGGTACTGAGCCTCGGTGATATTGCTTATATAAGGAAGCTTTACCTAACTGGTCACGTGCGTCAGCTTTGGGTAAGTAAGCCGGGCATCAAAGCCTCGTCAGTCTTTTGGCATCGCTGTCCAATTGCTCAGAAACTAATAATATCGGACGTCTGTCCCGCCAGCCCAATTTTTTACTATTTTGCTATTTTCCTTCTTATATAGAAACAAGTATTCCAATGGAAAGATCCTGACACGGGCACTGAAAGCGACTCGCATTTCACGCAGCATAATAAGGTTGGGGGGCTGATTTCTGCTTGCAAGGTGTATGGTTACATATGGTGCCTCCGTTGAGAGACTTCACTCATCTTATTAAAAGTTGATTACTTCATGCAAGATCATCGTCATGTTTTCTTCTGCCTTAAAGTCCTTTAGCTCAAATATTTCCTCAAATTACCAGATATGCCCGACCCACTCTTTCACCTCGGGGCCCTGGAAGGTCCATGATGGGAAGAAGAAAGGTACCGGCACTCCGGCCTCCGTCTTTATTTTTGACCGCAAATCATTAGACTCCAAGGCGGGTGGCTTTGGGTCGCGTTCCAGTAATTCCTATCTCAAGAAGCTACAAGAGGGCGTGATTGAACGACTGAAGCGGGAAGCTTCTAATCTAGCGAGGCTCAGGCATCCGTCTATTCTCCAAATTCTTGAGCCTGTGGAAGATACAAGGAATGGCGGACTGATGTTTGTTACGGAGCCATTGACTGCATCTTTGGCCGGGTTGCTTCAGGAAAAGGACGAGCAAGAGAGAGCCGGGGGTCGAACGAGTCGATACGTTATAGAGGCTTCAGATGGTTCAAAGCGACGAAGAGATCTCGACATTGATGAACTTGAAATTCAAAAAGGACTGCTTCAGATCGGCAAGGGCCTCGAATTTCTGCATGAATCCGCCGCACTCGTCCACGGAAATCTTACTCCGGATGCCATTTATATCAATTCTAAGTCTGACTGGAAGATATCCGGTCTCTCGTTTTCAGGCCCAGCTGACTCGCAAAGTACTTCAACACTACCTCCCCTCGCTCTATCTGAAGTTTTGTATCACGACGCCCAACTTCCCCCTTTTGTCCAGCTAGACTTGGACTACACTTCGCCAGACTTTGTTATCGACTCAAATATATCAACCGCAGCGGACCTTTTCTCTCTTGGACTGTTAATAATTGCGCTTTATAATTCTCCACACATCTCTCCTCTTCAAAGCCACCAGAGCATCAATACATACAAGAAGCTCTTATCATCGCCCTCGACAGTTCCCTCTCAGAACAACTCTTTCTGCTGTTCCAGACCAATTCCGAAAGACCTTCAGTCGGAGATTCTTCCGAGATTAATTACAAGGCGACCAGCACAGCGGATGAATGCTCGGGAATTTCAGCAGGCCCGGTATTTCGATAATGTTCTTGTATCAACCATACGATTTCTAGAATCCTTCCCTGCTAAGACGCCAAATGAGAAATCCCAGTTTATGAGGGGCCTCTCACATGTCTTACCTGAGTTTCCTACTTCTGTGCTGGAGAGAAAAGTGCTCCCTGCCTTGCTAGAGGAGGGTAAGGATCATGAGCTTCTGCCGCTCATTCTACAAAACACGTTCAAAATAATCGACCGCCTTCCGGCTGGGTGCCGCGTTGTGTCCGATAAAGTACTTCCCCAGTTGAAAGTATTATTCCCTTCTTCAAATGGCAAAGCCACCACTGTAGAACGAGGCAGTGGTAAAGATGCAGGTCTTATGGTTATTCTTGAGAATATTAAACTGTTAGCTGAGAATTGTTCTGGGAAGGAGTTTAAAGAAGGTGAGCGTATCAACTGCTTCTTACCCTCAACATACAACTTATATCCGCTTTAGATGTTTGGCCTTTGATTTCTTTGGGCTTAGACTCTCCTACTCATTCGCTAGTCGACACGTCTTTAAGATGCCTTCCAGCTATGCTTCCCGTACTTGATTTCTCCACTGTCAAGGATGAAGTGTTCCCGCCGATAGCACTTGTGTTTAGTAAAACAAGTAGCCTAGCTATCAAAATACGGGGTTTGGAAGCTTTTGTTATCCTCTGTGGCGGATCTCTCGACTCTCCGGATTCTTCGGATGACCTTTCCGGGATTAAGAGTGCACCTAAATCTCAACATGTGGCTTCTTCATCCATTCTTGATAAATTTACAATACAGGAGAAGGTAGTCCCATTAATGAAAGGAATCAAAACCAAAGAACCCGCTGTGATGATGGCGGCTCTGAAAGTATTTAAACAAATTGGTCATCATGTGGATATCGATTTTCTAGCACTGGAGGTTCTTCCAATTATGTGGACATTTAGTCTTGGTCCGTTGCTAAATGTGCAGCAATTCACTAGCTATATGGATCTTATCAAGTCGTTGTCGTCGGTTATTGAGAAAGAGCAGACTAAAAAGCTTCAGGAGTTGTCATCGACATCCAGTGGTGACAAATCCCAAACTAGTACTTCCAGCGCTTTTGGTCCGCAAATAAATATCAATGGCGGCAGTACTGATCAGGAGATGGATTTTGAAAGTCTCGTTTTAGGGAAGGCTCGCACGGTGACATCTCCTTCCAATGTGTGGGGAACTCCGTCAGTGCCCTCTCTTCAGCCAATATCGCCTGATACTGGACCTAAGTTCTCATGGTCCTCGTCAAATAGTGCTTTGGGGGTATCGCCTAACCCACGGTCAATTACCCCAGATACAAAAATTGGTTCGTTTCCTGTACTCAAACCTACAAGTGGACAAGGCACGTCCTTCTACCAGCAGCCCACAACAAGTCTATCCTGGAATACAACACTCTCAAAGCCGTCGCTGAACTTGCAGTCAAGTCTTTCTAATACTCCTCCGCTAGCACCGTCCACGTATGCAACGCTTCAGCCGACCCAGCAGCCCATGACGACAGCGGCAATGTTTACTATACCTCCACCTCCCCCGATAAATCCTCAACAATCTAACTCATCGACATCACGATTTCTTCCCTCACCCCCGCCGACCACTTCTAATACGAAAAATTCTCCACCAAACCAGCCGGCAAGGTATGGGCAACAGGGACAAGGTCTTGATAAATATGAAAGCTTGCTTTAAGCTTACAATCCCGGGACTCGTGCTTCAAGACAAGCGTATATTATCCCACTTCCATTAAATCCTACCTAAAGGACTGTACAATACATTGCATCAATGTTTTCCGTAGCTGTGTAAACGAGGCACTGCATATATCCAGGCATCGTCGACATTATAGCAGCCCAATACGCGCGGAGGTTAAACTTCAGCCTCGGAGGATTACCTCATCGCCTCTGGGACGCAGTTTCTTTCCCCGCAGGGCCCGGATTGCTGCGGTGCCTGTTTGGTGAGATGACCCCTCTTCGCCGCATTTCTAGTATTGGGGCCCGCTCCTTCGTTCAAAGATATCACGCCAGGCCCAACTCCTTCATTCATCCCCTGCCGCAACAGCTACAGCTATTATCAACACGCTCATTTTCAAGCACCTCATTATTACTCAACTCATCTAGCGGAGTACCCAATTCCTTTACCAGCATGGATCGCAAGGCCAATGAGCAGTACCTTGCCGATTCCCCGCCCACTGTTGTCCGGCTGGAGATCAAACAACACTTTGATGCGTTGAAAGACGAGAAATTGAAACGATACGCGCACCACATTAGCAGGTGAGTCTTGGGATATTGGTCATCTCGCTGATGCTACTGGATTTCCTCTGCTATTTTCCCCTGGTATTAGATATTGCGTAATATCCCTCCAGAACTTGCCAGATATATTCCCTTTCTTTTCTTCAGACTCTGAGTGCTTTCACTGACAGTCATTGTGCTTCAGAGCAGCATTCCTAGGGACTAGAATTACTCTTCGCCAAGTCTCTCCGGAATCAGAACCCATATACGATCTAATATTATCCTTGTATCGCGCGTGCAACGGCGATTGGAAGTCCCTAGGTGACAAGACAGCCGTTAGCCAGAGCGAAGTACAGCACTTTCTTGAATATGCTGCTCAGTTTCTAGGAAATTGTGGAAACTATAAAGGCTTTGGTGACTCTAAATTCGTACCTAGAATTCCAGAGAATTTGTTCAGGCAGCTGGCATCCGCGACAGATGAATCTAAGAAAGCATTCGAAACCGCTTCCACAACTGGAGGCGGCATTTATGTCACCTCCTCCCTTGCCTTGATGCATCTAGGATACCCAGAGGATGGCCATATGACAACATACTATCCCGACTCCCCTACAATTACGAAAGAAGAGATCACCCTGGTGGGCGATTTCTTAGAAAAGAAAAAGTTACTCCTTGAAAACACAAGATTACGCAAGACGAAGAATGGGGACTTCGAACTACTAATAGCCTCGGCACAAAAGAACCCAGCGGGCCGTGATAGAGATGTTGGCGATGTCAATGGATGGCCCTTAGATGGAAAGTTGGAAGGGAAACAACTTACTCTAGTTTATGGAGATTACGCAGACCTCCTGGAGAAAATAACTAAAAGCTGCATGCAGGCAGGCTTGAATCCAGCCAATGATATCCAGAAGAACATGTACGAACAATATGCCAAGTCATTCTCTACCGGGTCTTTGGAGGCCTATAAGGAAAGCCAACGGTTTTGGATCAGAGACAAAGGGCCTATGGTAGAATCCGATTTGGGATTTGTCGAGACATACCGTGACCCTCATGGTGTTCGAGGAGAATGGGAGGGCTTCGCCGCTATGGTATGATTTACACTAACTCTTTTTTTTTTTTTTTTTTCTTTTTTTTTGCATTTATTTTTTTTGCATTTATTTGGACTAATCATTAAACAGGTGAATCAAGAGCGTACAAAATCGTTTGAAAAGCTGGTTGCCAATGCTCCTAGCTTTATTCCAAAGCTTCCCTGGGGTAAGGACTTTGAGAAGGACAAATTTCATAGCCCAGATTTTACTTCTCTGGAAGTTTTAACTTTTGCGGGAAGTGGAATTCCCGCTGGAATCAATATCCCGAATTACGATGATATTCGGCAGAATTTGGGTTTCAAAAATGTTTCACTTGGGAATGTTTTGAGTGCAAAAGCCCCAAACGAACCCGTTCCTTTTATTCGTTCGGAGGATTTGGAGATTTTCCGAAAATACCGAGACCCTGCCTTTGAAGTTCAAGTCGGTGTTCACGAACTTCTAGGCCATGGAACTGGCAAACTCTTACAGGAGACTGCTCCCGGCGAATATAATTTTGACGTTTCCAACCCTCCTATTAGCCCAATCACAAATAAACCTATTTCTACATGGTATAAACCAGGTCAGACCTGGAGCTCGGTATTTGGACCTATCGCCTCCTCATACGAGGAATGCCGTGCAGAATGTGTTGCTATGGCTCTTGGATGTGATTTTGAAATCTTGAAACTTTTCGGTTTCGGTGACGGCCACATCGACCTTGATGGCGAAGCGGGGGATGTGCTTTATGTCAGCTACCTAACCATGGCCCGAGCCGGTATCACGGCGTTAGAGTTTTGGGACCCCAAAAGCCAGAAATGGGGACAGGCACATATGCAAGCGAGATTCAGCATCCTACGAACATTCCTTGACGCGCCTGATTGCTTCGTGCAGCTGAAGCATACCAAAGAAGATTTGTCAGATATTGAGATCTATCTGGATCGGAGCAAGATTCTGACCCATGGACGCCCTGCTGTTGAGCAGTATTTGCAAAAGCTTCACATTTTCAAATCTACTGCTGATGTTGTTGAGGGAAAAAAGTTGTACGATGGAATCACGCATGTGGACGAATGGTGGGGTCAGAAATTGCGGCCGGTTGTGCTTCAGAAAAAGGTTCCCCGAAAAGTTTTTGTACAAGCGAACACTGTATTGGACGGGGACAGGGTGGTGCTTAAGGAGTATGACCCGACTCTGCAGGGAATGATTCAGAGCTATGCTGAGCGTGATGTGTAACGCGGCTCATGTCATTGGCTGGTAGAAAATGCTCCTTTCGGGTATTTTCGTATACAAGTAATCTCGGGACCTTTCTCCTGCCCAGCGCAAGGTGACGAGATTATACACATCATTAATTGAAACACCTAGACTCACTCCATCGAGTGCTGCTCTCCACCACCGGATCCTGATACAGTAGCTCCTCCATACAGCCCCCTAGCTTATGTAACCATCAGTCATTGCGGGGAAGGAGTACTAAAGACAGGCCTTACCCCGCCAAACAAGACATAGAGATCGAACTCGCATCACACTTAAAACATCATCTGTTTTCTAGTAAAAGACACAGACATAATGGCAAGCCCCAAGGGTATCATGTCTCCAGAGGCGAAAAACCTCAACCCCCCCAAAAATGACCCAATATCCCTCGACGAGTTGAGTAAATGCAATGGTCTGTTGGTACCGCCCTTCACAACTCGCATCCTTCTTTCTTCCCGTGAATCATAGGTTTTTAACGTTGCTCCGACCGCAATAATAGGTGTCGATTCCAACCGCCCAACCCTCGTTGCAATCAAAGGAGTCGTATTTGACGTTTCAAGTAATGCAGCCTACAAACAGGGTGGAAACTACAATGGTACGTGCACTAATACGTCCTAAAGGCCCGCTTGCCTTTAAAGGGATTTATCCAAACGAATATTGTACTAAAGACCAATCATATAATATAACAGTCTTCGCGGGCAAGGACGCTTCTCGCGCTCTAGCATGCTCGTCCCTAAAGGTCCAAGACTGCCGGCCAGAATGGCAGGATCTAGGAGAAAAGGAGAAAGGAGTGTTAGAAGACTGGTTTAAGTTTTTCAGCAAGAGATACAATATTATTGGAAAGGTTGCAGGGGCGTCGAACTTTTGACTTTAACCGGACAGGGATGGTTTGTGATATTCTGCTATTCTGCTTACAGGTTCGGGCAACTAAGGAGCGAGTTGGCCGGCCTCATGTGAATTTAATGCTACTGATAAGATATGGTATTCGATGTCCGTCATTCAAAAGTGACAAGATTCTCTAGGGGACGTCAACCTCAGTAGGACACCATCCAGGGTCCACGAGCCAAAGTTTTGGAAAGAATGCGAAGGAAGAGTATGATGGAACGAAATATCGGCCTGGACTCCAGTACACATATAGGGTATCTAGCAACTTTTGTGGTAGGGGGAAAATATTGAGATGCTTATCAAGCCGAGAGCCCCATTTACGGCACGGCCTTTCTACAAAGGGCGCTCATTTCCCTTTCCTCGTTTTTCTCAACATTCGTTTCTTCGCAATTATACGATTCCTTTTCGCAAGGTGGTTCTGGTCTTCAGGTTTGGCTGACCCTTGTTCTGACGGTTTTAGTTTTTTCTCGTCAGAACCACCTCCTGATCTCTCCGGTCTCTTTCTCTTGGTTCCACGTTTTATTCCTTCAGAGTTGGTGTTGCGTCTATCAGACTTTCGCTTGTCGTGAGGCCCACGTTCCTTCTGAGTTCGCGCTTTAATTTCCGATTCTTGTCTGCGCTTCACCACCTGCGCGTTCTCGATAGCAAATTCCACGATAAGGCGTTTCTTTTTCTCATCTGCATCAACCTTCGTAGCTCCTAATGCACCAACGGCGTGGCCATTCAGCCATCTCAATCCCATCAGGGCAGATCTGTGAGAGGTATATTCGATGAAGCCGTATCCACGACTTCTACCCGCACCGCTAGTTTCCTGAATTTTGCTTCCTTCCCTGCCCTCAAATATGACTTTTGCCTGCTTGACTATACCTTTGCCCTTGATTTTTCGCAACTTTTCTTGCTCTTTCATCAAATCTGCACTTCTGGACAGTTCATCTTTCGACAACGGCTGGCGGAGGCCCTTTTTCACATCCGTGGCAAAACCGACAACGGCCTCTCTCGCTAGCTGTTTCAAAGCTTTAGAATCAACATTCCTAGGAATATTTCGAACAGACAATCGGGTGAGGCTGATATGTAACATTGGGTTGCTTTTGATGAGTTTCTGCCTCTGTTTAACACTAGCTTCTCTCATCGCAACTTCCGATGGTGATAGCTTAGAGTATAGGGGTGAATTGGTTGCAATGGTGCCTTCAGACAGCAGAAAAAGCTTTCGCTTATCCTTATCTCGAGCATCGCGGCGTGAGGTCCCTTCTGCCTCAAGTCTGCCTGCCTCTCTCCTACTTACTGCTTGCGATATCTGCAAAACACGGCCATCCATGGTGTATTTACCTGAAGGGTCGTTTTTCTCGTCTTCAAGAACAGACTTTTTCATGCCTGTGGCGGAGTGTGGTTTGAAATCTTTAGACTGCTGATCCATTTGCCTCGGCGCCTCACGAAGGCATGCCTTGGCATCATCTTCTTTGTAAAAACAGACAAAAGCTGTGCCTCTTGGGCGTTCAGTTTCAGGATCAACAACTACCCTGGCATAACGGACTGCACCAAATGTGGTAAAGTGCTCATAAAGTGTTTCGTCCGATGCACTAAATGGAAGGTTTCGAATGAAAATTGTGGACAAATTTCGGTCATCCTCCTCCTCCTCTTCTTCTGCTTTTTCCTCATCATTCTCTGCGCTCTCTATACTCCCGGTATCTCCATTATCCACTTCGATGTCCACACCACCGTCAGAATCATCTTCGTCAGCAACGTCATCTCCAGATACCCTATCTGAAGTTTCTGGGGTATTAGCTGATTCCTCCCCTGCATCCTCTGTAAATTGCCTTTGTTTCTCCCAGACTTCCTTATCAACAGCCCAGTCGACCGCTAGTGTCCTGCCATCGATGTCTTTTCCATTGACAGATTCCATAGCCCTTTCTGCATTCTTTTTCCCTCTCATTACAATAAAGCCAAAACCAGAATGCCGGCCGCCCTTCTTTGGGATATCAGCATACTTCACTTTGCCATAACTTCTGAATAGAACCGCTAGTTGATCGGGCTCTGTCACGCTCCATGGTAAATTTCGAACAATTAGCCTTGGGGGCAAAGCCCCTTGCCTGCGCTGTTCTCTCTGCTCTTTTAACTGGGTCGCCTGTGCTGAAGGGACACTCTTGCCTAACTTTTCGTCGATCTCTCTATGACGAGGCTCCGCTACCTCAATCTTGATTTTTCGACCGTCAAACTCTGAGTCGTTCAATTCTTCCATTGCACGTTGCGCATCGTCGACATCTGCAAACGTAACAAACCCGTAGCCCTTGCATTGTTTTGTCTGAGGGTCAGCAACTGCTGTAGCGTGTTTGATAGGATAGGTCTGAGAAAAGTAGTTCGCTAACGACTCAGTTGTAGCCGATGCTGGGAGGGACCGCACGAAAAGGGTTCTGCGAGGAGCTTTTTTCGGAGAGGATTGCGCCTCATCCTCAGCCGGTCCCTGCTTCATATCATTCTGTGCAGCTTGGGATTCGTTTTCGAAGTTTCCAGCGCCCGATAAGCGTCTTCGTTTCCGCGTATCTGCCATTGCTGGTCTAAACGTCGAACTTGTGATGGAAGCAAGCCCTCAAACAGAATATTCAATTAAGCTTCCTTCGCCGTATTTACACACATACAGTACGGAACCGGCCGTATCGTAATTATGGCCAGCTTAACTCCGGTGTCGCCGAGAGGACTCTGAACTTCGCCAAACTTTCGGTGCTCGAAGCCTCGAACAGGATGGACGAGGAGGACTTTGGAGAAGTCCCAGACTTCAGTCAACTCCTTGAGCCCGACGCACCACCCCAACCTGCGCCGCAATCCCCCCATCCGCAGCCTCCTGCCCCGTCAAAGATTATTCAACCAACGCCACAAATCCTCCCCAATCGCAGCGCGCGGTCCGCTATCCTCGTCTCAGCACGACAGAAGGGCAATCCTATATTAAATCATGTTCGGCTCTTGCCTTGGGAGTATGCCGACATACCGGCTGATTATATACTTGGAGCGACAACTTGCGCCCTTTTTCTCTCCCTAAAATATCATCGCCTACACCCGGAATATGTGTATTCGCGTATAAAATTACTGGGCGGAAAGTATACTCTGCGTATTCTTCTGGTAATGGTAGATATACCAAACCATGAAGACAGTCTGAAAGAGTTATCTAAAACGTCTATCGTGAATAATCTGACTCTGATTTTATGTTGGTCTGCAGCGGAAGCCGGACACTACCTGGAACTGTTCAAATCATCCGAAAACGCCCCACCAACTGCGATTCGATCTCAACAGCCACGGTCTTATAAAGATAGCTTAGTGGAATTTATTACAACACCAAGGAGTATTAACAAATCGGATGCTGCCAGCTTGATCTCCACGTTTGGTAGTTTGCAAGCAGCTATCGACGCACAGCCAGAACAAATTAGTACTGTTCCCGGATGGGGAGAGAGAAAAGTCAGCCAGTGGACCAACGCTGTGAAGGAAGAGTTCAAAACTCGAGCTGCTCAAGCAACTATTGCTTCCGAGAAGAACAATGGCATAGCGCGCTCGGCGAGTGTAGTTTGCCCAGGTGCAGATGAAGAATACCTAGATGGTATCTTTAGGGAAGCAGTTGAAGAAGAGGAGCGTCTTCTTTCTGGACAAGTCCTGGCCGGTAGCACCTTTGAAAAATCTAGGTCACGGGAATCGGACAAGCGATCATTTTTAGGTCACAACATTCAAAATGTGGGAGAAGTAAGCTCCAAAAGCAAGGCTGAAGGGGAAAATGAGGGCATCATGACAGCTCTAGCCAAACTGAGAGAAGAAAAAGGCTGAAATCAGTTTATGTTCTGATATACTGTAACCGGCGCCTTTCAGCAATCTTATACCACACAACTAGCACAATAAATTGGTGGCTGTATATGAATAATGTCCTTTGTTCATATCTGCATGCACACAAAGCCGTCCGGTTCTGCTAAATGATATTATTGAGCAACTCAAATGCTGTTCTCATTTATTTATTCCAAATTACAGTACGCGTAAGTTATGACGCCGTTTGCACTAGTCAATACCCACGATAAATACCTAGAAATAGACCCGTCACGTGTACGCCCCCACACCTTGTCCCCTTTCGGAAAGCCCGTTGCACCTCAGTCTGACGTCTTGCGATTCCAGGCGCCAGGATTCCTCTAAACCACTACTCATCTCTTGGGTTTTGAATTACTGTGTATGCTACATGTTGTAATCTATGTCTCAGTGATCTGGTCGGTTGCCTACCTCCAGGCACGGAGTCTCTAATAAAAGATGGGATCATGGGAAAGGCCGCCGGGAGTACTTTCGTTCGTGGCAAAGCGCGCGACTTAACCCATCCAGACAGCAATGGAGACTCCTCCAGGGTGCAGAGGACCTTGCAGACTAATACCGCTGTGACTCCCAACCGTTCCAGTCAAAATCCAGGGCCATCTCCGCTTCCAAAGAACAGAGATGGCCCTAGGAATTTTGAATTCGTCCTAGTCACCGACTCAGAGTCCCGAAGACAAGTACGACGCTATGCTATGCGCCAATACGTTCACCAACGCCGCCTGGATGGCATTGCTCGGTTGGAGTCGAACAAAGCTCGTGTTCGTGGGTGGTCAATTGCTGGGACCAGCACCGAAGGCGTTTCATCAGCCGCGGAGGAAGAAGAACCCGGAAACTCCCCCCTCTCTAATTCCAGCTCCAGCTCAAGCTCCAGTGTGAATTCTGTCGATTTTGGAATACCAGGTACTGCTATACCTGAGCCGGCTGGAATGTATGCAGATTGTTATGAGCTCCCTACCTCAGATCCACAGGCCGGGCCAAGCTCTGGAGCAATGGACCCTTTCCAAAGTCTCCCTTTGACTCTAGACAAAACAGAATATGGTCTGATACCACACTGTAAGTCAATATCAACATCCCTTGATTGGTTTAGCCCACTTTTCTGGTTCCGTTCAATTCCCTGTTTATCTCTTTCCAATTATATACTCAAAGTTTCTCTAGTTATCACAATATACCCGTTTAGAATGTACAAGATGGACCCTAGGCACCAATACAACCCAATAAGGGCAATTTTTCAGCGCGTTGCAATTCATGATCCTGTACCCTTTCAAGCGATGCTTGCTGTTTCGGCGAAACACATGGCAGGTACACATAACCAAACCGAAAATGTACTTTCCTTAACGCATAAAATGCGAGCATTGAGATTGTTAAACGAGCGTCTGAAGAATGACACATCGGGGAAGGAAGAAGGCACTATATATAGCGCAGCTAGCATGGCTGTCATTGAAGTATGTGGCTACACTATTACCCTCCTTTCATTTGTATGCATTTTACTCATATCATCTAGAAATGGTCTAAAGACGATAATGTCGAGAATATGCATATTCGAGGCCTTACGCAGTTGCTTAAAAAACGGGGCGGGATGCGTGGAATGCGCGCAACGAGCCCAACAAGTCACTTTATGGAAAAGGTCCTGTACTGGTAAGCTTTCCGTAGGGCCCGTCTGATCCCTAATGGTCGTCATTAAACATGCAAAATTATAGGGTCGATTTTAGCTGTGCTCCTGATGCAATTGTTGGGGCCACGTTTCCATGGACAGGTGACACGCCTGACATACCCCCAACCCTTTCATATATGGCTCCAAGGTTATCCGTGGATTCATCAATAGCTCTTACTCATAAAGACCTACCGGAAATACTTCAAGCTTGCGAAAATTTTTTCTCATTTTTTCACTCTCTTAATGAACTTCAGCAATCCTTGCTTGCACGTTATGAAGTTGAAGATATCGAGGAAAATGAATCTCCGCCAACCCCGAGCTTCTTTTACCAGACTTCACCCGTATACGACATTTTAACTTCAGTCGCTGATTACGATCACGGTATACAAGATATTAGCTACATTGACGAATACGTTTGTGTGGCTTGCCTATTTTATCTCAATGTTGCCCTTTTTGACTCATATTCGGCACCCCAAAACTTCAATAATTATCTGGACTGGATCAATTTCGAAGTTGGAAAACTCAGCTCATACGGGACCGTTAGCGTCGCATCGGTACTGTGGATTTTCCTAGACAATGGAGGCTTCCCAACCGGGCAACAAGCAGACAATGGCGAAAGGAGCTGGTCGGTATCCCAAATGCTACGAGTTGCAAAACGACTTTGCCGTACGGCATCAGGCACCCTATGGGATGATTTGAAATCTACGCTTTTGGACTTTTTGTTCATACATCGCGAGTGTGGAATTGGCAACAGCTCTGTTGGAAAACAAGAGCTATCTGCTCGGAGACGGTGGCGACATAACCAGCCAGTTATTATTCGGAAAGAGGCTGAGCTACGGCGGATTATGGTTCAGCAGATTTACGCCGCGTTTCCTTCTGCGAAAGTAGAGAGTATACCTTGCTAGTTGATAACATCAGTGCGCAAATGTTTTAATATTTATAACTCATAGTGGTAGAAAGTACATGTCTTGCGCTGATTGTCAAGTCCATCCCAGATGCGAAATATTCTTTCCAACAAACAGGAGCATGTTTTTGGTCTGCTTGAGACCAGCAAGGAACCCCATACGATGATACCATTACGGGATCAATTGGGTTATCCATATCAGCCTTTCTTTAGCGCTGCATCCATTTCACGGCATTGCAGTTTCACTTTGTTTGTGGGTCATTATAAGGTTGTGCTGTACATACATCCTTCCGCCGTCAGGTCAGACAAGGCCTTTTTGTTGACTTAGCCTTGGATATATAGCTGATCAACGAATTGACTCTTGCATATTATATGTCAGAGCAGCCAAATAGCCACCCAAGCTAATTATCTTGATCCCGTGGTCATGCCGAGAACGGCTAGCAAGCGATGGCCCATATTATTCCAAGACTTAGTCAGTAGTCCACACGCCACAATGGATTATCTATAAAATCTACCCTAGATACAGCTCCAGTGGTAGATTATGGTACATCTGATAATCCAGATCATTGCTCCATTTGAGAACGAAGCACTTGATGAGGGCGACAACAGCCATGGAAGTAAGGACAGGCGATGAATGTGTAGACGTTGGGTATCCCCAAAAAGAAGTTCTGTCAAGCTCTGCGGTCGACCCGTCCCACATAACCAGTGCTATGTCGGTCACAATTCGGACCATATCCCCAGAGTTTCCACTGCCCGCAGCCACTGCACCTGCGGCCATGTCTGCCATTTCTTCCCTGACAAACTGAGAATCCCATCCCCTAGCTTCAAGCCTTTCCGGATATTTGGCGACGACAGCGCGAAGAGTATCTGCTAAATGACCTCGGTGTAAGTCCATTCTCTTTTTTGCAAACGCAGTAAGAATATCACGCAAGCCACGATGGATCGACCAAGAAAGGAGTGTCCAAGGCAGAAAATCCAATGCTTTATTAAGAATAGTAGACTCGTTTTCGGGGACATATAAAATCACACCATCGTGGTGGCCCTGGCTACTAGGAAGATAAAGCATCGTGGTATCCCTCAATTCCTCAGGATCCGCACTTATCGCTTTCATGAAGAGAAAGTCTACCTTCTTCACATCGCCACCTATCATATTGTAGAGGTGCCTTCCCCCATGTGCACCACCAAACCCGCGAATCGTGTATCTCAAGATCCAGCTCCCTCCAGGCTTCCGTTCGGGGAAGGCACATTTGAAGGAGATGGGTGCCGCAGCATCTACCACTCCAGCTAACATTTGCAAACACTTATCCACTCTTCTTTCAAACTTCAAAGGATAAACGTCTTTGGAGAATGAATGGGAGTCATGTGCACCAAAATGAACACGCGCAATCTCACCAAGGGGCCACTCCACACGCCACTATCCACAGTAGCATGCATATGCGGCGCGAAATCCAGCAGCATCGCTATGTTGGAATACGGGCCGTGCATTTGTCACACAAAATAAGGCAATGAGAGTCGTGCGAGAGATGACAGTGCAGGTGGTGAGCTTGTGCTTAACCAAAGTTTGGAGAGGGAGGTTATCCCAGGTGCTGTCGGAGAAAATAGACATAGGCTCGACCCCGATAGTGGTGCAGTGGGAAACAGTGCCAATGTCTTTTTCGGAGGTTACTTCGAAACGTGGCTGCTGCAACTGTTCCACAAATCCAGGAGAGGCGTGAATAACTGAAAGGACGAGCGACCATGCAGCCCTCCCAGAGGGTTCGCCCAGTGGCAGGCGACTAACAAATACTGTCCGCCTTCCACATAATCCATCCGGAAGGCTGGCAGTGATTATAGGGCCGATAGGGGGTGGTTTAATAATGCGATACCATGGAATTTGGAGCTGGCGAAGTTTCCATCTGCCCAAATGACGAGCATCACGAAGGGAATAGAAAGGGTCTGTCTCATCGATAAAACTTCTGAATTGAGTGACAATGGAGCCCAATCCAATCACTGTGGCAGCCAGAGAAAGCCAGGTGGCGACAGTCTGAGAAGTATCCATCCAGTTTGCGTATTAATTGGATCTCCAATAGCATGAGTTTAAAGCAAATACATAGTGGACTTGCTTCTGTAAGGGGTCAAAGTAACAGCACGGTCTAAATTAATCATCGAAGGCTGGATACCCCGTATTTTAGCAATGGGATCCTAGGCTTGCAGCCTCCCACGGGCCATCGATGATCCGCGTGTGCAGCAGACAAGCGACCGGGAGCCAATCGCAAGGTCTTTTAAGAAGCATATCACCAGGGGCAGGTATAGCCCTGGCTTTTTGCTCCTCTTTAACTCCATAATAGCCACTGATTATCGGTAGTGAAGTACAGAGCGCCGTACTCAGGGCAGTTATAGCAAGACACGCTCTCCGAGTCAACATAGCCAATTTCTTTCGCTAGACTGCGAAGAGAACAACTAGTTAGTTATGTGCTAGTAAAAAGACTTGACTTATGTATTCCCGTAAATATCACCCTTTACCTATCGCCATTTTTCCTGTCTATGTCCGAATATAACTTCCCATAACGATGTCCGATGGATTCCGGCTTCGGTTCTTTATTTCTCCGAGATGTTATTGCCGATGACGCCACCGGCCTTGAACTCGCCTGGCCGTGGTCAACGTTGAAGGATCGATCAATAACATGCACGGCCTCCTCACCTTATGTGCTACAAGCTGGTGCTATTCGTACGCCCAAGAGCAGACAAGCTGTCCCTGGTGCTGCAAAGCTTCTTGGCCCACAACCTCCGCTTGAGTCGAGCCGCCACTAATAAACCTTGCAACTGGACCGTGCGTGAATAAGCGCGAGCCGGCTTATCTTTGCACCATGCCTGTCCAGGCAGCAGCATCTCGAGGCTGGGTTTCTTCCTTGATGCAAGCAACAGAGCACTTGGGCCCAGGTCCATAATGGATTCGGATGGCAGAGGTACCGATGCTCCCAACGAAAATTATGCCACAAGCTCTCGTGCGGCAAGTGTTTCCTTGAGAACCAGCAAGCGAATGCGGATTATTATATCTGCTAACAATCAATCTAACAGTGCGACAATTGCCGCATCCGCAAGGTCAGGGCGCCAGAGTTACTGTACATGAGCATTTAGGGCGAATGGTTGCTAAAAGCCCGTCTATGTAATGTAGATCAAATGCGACAGAGCCTCACCCTGTTCCAATTGCCGGCTGGCGAAATCCGCTTGTCGAACCTCCCCACGTGCTAAGGAGCAGCGACAGAGGGTCTTGATTTCCCACCAATAGTATGCACTTCTCTGTGTGGTCAAGTCGGCTTAATAGCGGTCAGCTAACAATTCGATTACACCTCAGTGAGAAGAAAATTGAGGCAATAGACGAGAGGCTATCGGGTATTGAGCGTCTTCTACAAGACCTTGCACTCTCCATTCCAACCTCTACCAAATCTCACCCTAGCCCCCCGCACTCGGCTAGCTCTTCACGGCAAAATGACAGTACAAGATTGTGCCCGACCATTCAGGAGCCAGAAGCAGCCACACCCAGTGCACATTTTGAAGGAGAATCAGCACTTAGCACCCATTCTGTGCTCGCCAGCGCTATTTTCGAAAAACAAATGGGAAGCAGCCCAAACATAGAGCAGAATCCAGCCATGAAACAAGCCTTGTCGTCCTTGCGGGATATTGTGGAGACACAGACTCGCCCTTCGCCTAGCATTCATACCCTACGGTTTCCCAGTCAGAAACCTGGAAATAAACTTGACCTATCCCAACTAGAACTGCCACCGCTCGATGTTGTTCTCTCCATGCTTCGTCTTTCAAAAGGTATCGTCGAATGCGGATGCTCCCCGCGCCCTCGAACCAAGGGGCACTGACTGATTCGCCACAGGGCACTACCCGGTCTTTTTCCTCACTCTCCCATTGATGGATTTACCGTATTTTACACAGCTCTGCAAAGACCTATACTTCTGCACAGAGGAGTACTCAAGTGCACAATTTGCCACCGTCAACTGTATTCTATCATATCTTTTCAGGGAGTACACTTATTATGGCGAAAATGACTCCCTAAAGGATAAATTTGAAGAGTATTCCGACCTATGCAAGCTGAATTTTGAAACTGTTATCAGCACCTTTGACTTATTTGTGGAGCCGAGCTATGATAATATTTTGGCATTAGCCCTAGGAGTGCGTTTTCTCAGATACATTATGGTGTATCACTGGTCACTAACAGTAGTAAGGCCTTTCATGCAACAGAGCTCTCAAAAATTTCACTGTGTTGGAACTTCACAGCCGTGGCTGCCCGGATGTGCCAAAGCTTAGGATACCACCGAGCGTCTATTAAAAAGGATGGCAACGGGGAAGACTCGGTTAACATTACGCTTAAAAAGGGAGTCTTTTGGTTCATATACCTTATGGATAAAAATATGTCCCTATGCCTAGGCCGGACTTCCACTCTGCAAGATTATGATATATCTGTGGAATATCCTGACCTGCCCATCGATTCAGGCGTGCGCCCATGGCGTATACTTTACGAATCCTGGCTTGACTTAAGCAGGATTGTGGGCAGAGTCTACGAGCATTTATTCTCTGCCCAAGCATTATGCGATAGTGCAGCGTCTCGCCTAAAGAAAGCTCGAGCGCTAGAGGAGGAAATCAAAAATTGGAGAAGTCAATTCACTCGGTGTGATCTTGGTCTAGCGCACCACAGTTTTTTCTTTCAATGGATGGGACCAAGTGCCGATCTGAGTTACTATCTACTTCTAACCTTAGTTTACCGTGTTTTGCCGCCGACGCAACCGCCGGAGACTCCCTCTGGCCTGAGCATTGGTTGTGTCGAAGCTGCTCGAAATGCTATGCAGCTGCATCAGCAAGTTATGCTGGCATTCAACGAAAAGGACACTTACATCCTGAAAGGTTATGTAGATTGGTATGTTCATCCGCGCCCTTGCGTATTTTTTATCATTTTCTTTGTTTTATTCGCTTATATATTTACTTAAATGGATTCCAGGACCCTTTTACAATGTCCATTCGTCCCGTTTCTGGTAATATTCTGCCATATCGTTGCTTCGGGAGACCTAGATGACTTGAGGCTACTTGGAGATGTTGCAACGAATCTCCAATCTGCAGGGAAAGTCTCTGAAGGTGCTGAGCGTCTGTACCGTCTTTGTATGGTATTTTATCAGGTCGCAAAGGTGTACGTGAATGCCAAGATCCTTGAAGCTGGGAATGGAAATGAGCTACAGGATTGCCAACTCGCAGTGAACCCTGGGAACCAGTTTGATAGCTATCTCAACGCCCTAGGACTTGGGCCCCCATTAGCACCATTTATTCCAAAAGGAATCACTGATGTTGGAGGTAATAACGAGGAAGATCCTCTACAGGGGCTTTTTGACATCGACATGGCACAGTCACTGGAAGACTGGTATTCTGGGAACCGGCATATGATGGGTTTGTTGGAGTCAGATTTATAAGGATTATGGGGCGATGAATGTCTGGAACATGTATTATATTGACATGGAAATTTGGGGTAGGTCCACTGGCTGGCCCTTAGAAGCTCTGAGTTTTTGAGGCCCTTTATGCTACATAGCATGCCATGGGGTTTATTAATGACTGATAATACGAAACCGCCTAAATATACAAGCGATACGGTTCGACGAATAACCATGTCACACAAGCATTAATCTTTGCTTCTCGTTTACGGAATACTTAGTGGAGAAACCACATTCTATTTTTCTCGACTAGTTGAACATAATACTACAAGCTCTAGCCCACTCTATGGGTGCTCACGGTACAGACCCGGTCAGGATTGATGTTTTCGGGTCAGCATCTTTGTAAGATTTCGTCAAGTTGAGCCGCTCGCGCGGCGCTCAAAGGTAACTAGCTACCGGCTTTTAGATAATCCGATTTCCGCGATTGATAAGATTAGATCTTCCTAGGGGCTGGAAGCGTGGCTCGTTCGCGACTTGCGGCCAGCTATTCTGATCAACTCCAGCAACCAGCACTGCTCTCGCCCGTTGTCCTCTGATAGTCACTACGAGTCCCTACGCCTCTGTCCTAATTTAATTGCGCCCATTGTCATCAAAATGGTATGATATCCCCTCCCACAGCCTTCGCAATCATCAAACTGACGCCTTTCTCACTCACGATTGCAGGCCCAAGTCATAACCAACTCCGGCCATGATGATATGATTGTATGTTGTTTTTGCACCAACCTCCCTCGAAGCTTTGATATTTCTCCTCGAATCCTACACTCTCTGACCCTCCGGTAGCATGATGCTGGCATCGATTACTATGGGCGCAGATTGGCGACTTGCTCCTCAGACAAAACGATAAAAATATTTGAACTAGAGAGCGACACACATCGACTTGTCGAAACGTTAAAGGGGTGAGAGATGTCTATGAGAATTTTTTTCTTCTGGCTTTAAAGGCTTTGTTATTAACTCCCTGAAGACATGAAGGTGCAGTGTGGTGTGTTGCCTGGGTATGAATAGTCGAACTGCTCCAAATATCACCAATATATATTGACTAGAATTGCCTTTCTAGGCCCATCCCAAGTTCGGCACTATCCTTGCATCTTCATCTTACGATGGAAAGGTTCTTATTTGGCGCGAACAAGGCTCCGCCGCCGCCACAGGCAGCTCCTGGAGTCGGGTCTTCGATTTTTCCCTCCACACCGCTTCCGTAAACATGATTTCCTGGGCGCCACATGAAATCGGCTGTGTTCTCGCATGCGCCTCATCAGATGGACATGTCAGCGTATTAGAATTCCGTGATAATAGCTGGACCCATCAAATCTTTCACGCCCACGGTATGGGTGTGAACTCCGTGAGCTGGGCCCCGGCCGCTACTCCTGGGTCAATAATTAGCACAACACCAAACCCGGGACAAGTTCGTCGATTTGTGACTGGTGGAAGTGACAATTTGGTCAAGATCTGGGATTTTAAGTATGCGCTAGCCCTTCCCATCTTTCTACATCTCTCTAATGGCTCTACAGCCCCGAAACGAAGAGTTATACCACCTCTAATGTCCTTGAGGGCCACACGGACTGGGTTCGGGATGTTTCTTGGTCACCAAGCATTCTTTCACGATCATACATTGCCTCCGCTTCTCAAGACAAGACTGTCCGAATCTGGACTTCTGACGCTTCAAATCCTAATGAATGGAAAAGCCATCAGTTGGAGTTTGATGCTGTGATTTGGCGTGTCTCTTGGAGTCTCAGTGGGAATATTTTGGCTGTTAGTGGTGGCGATAACAAAGTCAGTTTGTGGAAGGAGAATCTTAAAGGCTCGTGGGAAAAGGTGAAGGATATCGAAGAATAAAATATCAAAGTAATTATTGGACACAAAGTATACACCAACAGAGTAGATTGTTAACTCTCGTTAGAAGGCATAAATTCCAGAAATAAGGCGTCGACACTTTTAGTGATGATAACGATGATTCACCCTCAAACATCTGTTCATGACCCTTTTCTTATTTCTTTGGAGTATTCCTAAATCACCCGAAGGTCAAGAATTAAGCAGGCCCTGGAATTACTTTGTTACACTAAAATATCTTCCTCGCTCTTCCATTTAGTGAATCTCCCAGAGAAGAAAAGGTCCGCCCTCCCATTCGCACGTCGAAAGCATATCCTTCCATCTTCCCAGCATTATCCTTCCACCAGGGATCAAAACGCCTTCATATCCCGATGCCCACTCAAAGTCGTCCCAACTTTGGGGTTCCCATTTTTCCCCGCGGCCTAGTTCCTGGCGAAGTTCTTGCTCCTCTTCTGTAGGCTCGAATATTACAAAGCACACTCGCCGCCATTCAGGAAAGCCTCCCTGTCTACCTGGAAGGTACTCAACCATTCCGGTGATACAATAGTAATCATCTTCTTCGCCCGCAATATATTGTCTGCCGTAGATGTAGTGCCGATTAAACGTTGTAACACAAGGCAACGCCGGAAATGCTTTTGCAAATAGACTCGGCCAGAATTGATCCTTTAAAGGGCATTCAAGATCAAGGCGCTATTGAGGTAAATTTCAACTTCCAATATACAATAATGCATGATAATTGTCACTACGTACCACAAAAGGAATTTTGTCCCAATGTGTCGAGAAATCTGCACAACCCTGTCGGTCTATGAGGTCTTCCTTTCCCATATAGGGATGAATGCAAGCTGCCAACGAATTAGCAATAGCATAGTATATGCATTTAAGTAGATAGAAGGCAATCTTCACACACAATAGTAGCCTCCCCATGATGGGCCTACAATAAGCCTCCTTTCAAAATTGACGTCCCAAGGATGAGGGCGTAGTTCATACCACCTAAAAGCTGAGTTGAATGTATACTCTTCCCGACTGGTCAAATGGTGCTTCCAGAAATTTCTGATGTGTAAAAGCTGTTCCAGATCAAAATATTCGCCTTGGAACAGCGCCAACCGGCGGCGGCCTGTGCCGATTCCATACGCAATCGAAATATCGTAATCTTTGCGCGAAGAACGAAAAGGAGAATCCAGACGCAATGCCAAATGTGTTAGACATATCTGAATAGCCAGAAACGATTCGCTGGGTTTAACCGGTTCTCGTAGGTTATACCCAACTGTAGGGCGATGAAGGAAATCATTATTCTCAACATTCTGTTGAATGACATGAAGATTGTGCGAGAATATTGCATCTTGAAACCATTCCTCTGCATACCATCTAAAGCTTTCTGAATATCGAAGTTAGCTGAGAACAGGTGTGTTTTATTAGAGCCAAATACCATTCATGAGAGTCGACATGCACTGAAGCCACAAACTCTCTCTTTCACCCTCGCCATTTCCAAAATTGACAGCCTTGCTGAGAATAATATGTCGAAATTGGTATTCCCTTTTTATTTCCAGAGACGACTTGTCTGGAGGTGGCGGGTCATATTTCTCCAAAAACAATTCGCGCCAAATTCCAGACCCCGGCGGGGAAAGAGTCTCTGCAAAATACTTGCATGTTTTTATCAAGCTGACAAGGTCCTTGTCGTCGATTAAATAGCAAGCGATCTCCTGCACGATCTAGAGCCGGGTATAAAGCAAAAATCATCAGATATTAGAGCTAAAATGTCCCGGAAAAAGAGGCACTCCACCTCTCTAGGTAGCCACAAAAAAGGACCCTGATATGGATAAGCCCGGCCCATTTGAACAGACAGAGGGACTACTGGCATATTGCAGCGGTTATTCTACAAGACCTGTAGATGGCAACATGCAAGAAGAAACAAATGAAGAAAAACATTGACACTGTTCCTTAAAAAGAGTGATCAAGACTTCATTCAGATTAGATTGCTCAAGGACGCAATATGATATCAACAGAATCTATTGTGCCCATTGAAGGGAAGAGTGTTTTTAGATCAACATTTCTCAGAATTGGCGACAACACAAGCAACATAGGAACACCAGAGGAGTAGTTAACTTAAGACTCCTTGGATATTGCCATAGCAATTAACATTATGACGCCAAAAAACAACACAGGCACCAGCTACTAACTAGCTAGCCAATGTGGTAATCTCTAGACAATAATAATGGCATTGTTATAAGTGGTGTTGTGCAAGGTTTGCCTAAGCACTGAGGTGTCAAGGCATGCCTGTCCACCACCACCAGAGCCAAGCCAACAGCGGGTTTTTGGCCACGCAATAACCCGCAAATTATCATCTCTGCTGGACCGAGACCTGGTATCGCTCATTTGCACCGAATTTGGGCCCGGTGGGTCTTGATATATACACATGTAGGGACTGTGCGAGAAAGGATTCAATATGCTATGCTAAGAGCTTGGAGATTGTTGTGCCACCTCATGTATCCACAGGGAGGATGCGATTCTAGCTACTACTCTGGACGGAGTGCGGATTACGAAGTACACACGTAGTTAGTTAGTTCAGCCACTGCGTCAGGTGCTTTCTTAACCGTCCCGAAGGCGTGCACTTCCGTGCAGGACGTAATAAATTCCGTCTAGTCAACCTTTGGGGACATTCCATGGAAGCCTGACTTGGCCAGAATACTACAGAGAATCATAGGAATGTAAAGTTTCGGACTGATTAATGGAATCCAATATTGTATGGCTCGGTTGTTTTCTTTCCCTGCGAAAACTCGACATGGCTAAAGTACATCGAAATCAAAACCAGCATGGGCCAAGTAGCCCAGGCATGACTTTTGGCGTCTATCAAACTAGTAGCAAGGCTTTTGACAGGAAGGAGAAAAGAAAACAGTAAACGAAATGCAAGGAAAAAACAATAGTCACAGTTATGGAACAAAATTAAAAACCCGGGGCAATAAAAATTCATATAAAACTGGCATCCCCGCCATGTGTAACAAAGGAAAAAGAGAATCGACCGCTATTATCGGGAATGTTAGGTACCGGAGGAAGGGTGTTTCAGCTACCACTGCTGATGACTGCAGGAGAGTTGAAGAACTGAGAATAGTAGATCTTAGGACGGGAAAATGAGTCGGATGCTTCTGGCAAGCCAAGGGCATCTAAACGCTTCAAAATCCGGAAATTACAATAGAAAATCGAAATCAGGAGCCGAAGGAGCTATCGCTTGAGCAAATGCAGGCAAGAGAAATGACGCAGAAGAAAAAAGAGGCAATGATCGGTGTGAGCTTGATACAATAATAGTAAACATAAAAAGACTCGGGTTAACGGAAGAGCATGCGTAGGTTGCAGTCGTCTCTGGATTAAGCGATGAATAAAACGCCGTGGAAATCGTATGGTCGTAGACGTCATTCTCATTACTGAAGCAGAAAAGCATCGCAGGAGAACCATCATGCCTCGAATCAAGAAAAACAAGAATAGAATAAGAGGGTTCTCAGGAATGAATGCCGAGCATAACGGAATCGCCTCGCGGCTGGTTGAAGATCTTGCTGAAGGGGGGATCGGGGGTGTTGCGATGGTCAGTCTCAAGAGGCAGGCAGACTCCCTCGGCCTTCCGGACGACGTCTTTCAATGCCCGCGTCACGACGCCGGCGCGAACGACGAGATCACGAAGGGACTGTGTATCAAATGCAAGCTTTTGTTGGCCGTCAATACTTGTCCTGGGGTGGACATTTTCACGTAATTTTCTTTCGCGATGTATGGTATCAAGAACAAACTTCGCTTTGGTGGATGAATCCGTACGAGGACGGTAGTGCTGTTTGCCGTTCCGCGGAGGCGGGGGAAGTTCGGAGACAAAGCTGTCATCATCAGCTATAGCTAAATTATCATTTAATCCAGCTAGCCTTTTATCGGTCCCCGACTCGATTTCAAAATCTTCCAAGCTAAACGTGAGAGATGAGGTTGACCGTCTCATTCTCAACTCGCGTTCGTTGTCCTCCTCTTCGAAAGTGGCCAAACTAATAATCCCTTGAGCTTCTTTCCACAAGTCACTAGCGGGACCGTCGATTATATGCATTGCCCTCGCCCGCGCTCGGAGCAGCTTGAGCTCTTCAACCAGCACAGTGAGCTCTTGGACGTGACTGAATTGGCCATAAACACTCTCCTGGCGTTCCATAATAGCCTGAGGGACTCTGACGGTTTGGTTTTTATCGCTTTTACTCTGGCATTTCTCGAAAGGGTTGGCTTGACTTGGTCGATCGTTGTCCTCGAAATCGAAATCCCCATCCCACTCCTCACTAGCTCCTTTATTGCCTAATCCCCAAGTTGCAAATTTCTTTGCAGCGCTCGTTTCTTTTGGTACATTCGGATCTCTGGATATCGGCACACTTTGGCTTCTAAGATGAAGAGAACTTGAGGTGCGTCGAAGCACAGTTCTACCCCCACGCAGATTAAGAAGCTGGTCAATATGAGAGGTCCTTGGGCGGGGTTCAGAACCCTGTTCATCCTTCTTGACCTTTTGCTGTTCGGACCAATCGTAGAGACAGAGTCGTGAGCTTTTCTCACAATCTTCACCTAGTGTTGCTGAAGAAAGAGGCCGTAGATCAGTTGCCTTAGGGCTGCTCAAGGTAGACAATAATTCAGCATTTGAGGCTTCAAAGTTGGGAATCGGCTGTTCATCAAGCGAAGCACAAGCATCCATTTCATCTTGAAACTCATCCATACTTTGGATCTTTGGTAGGCCTCTTGAATACTGCGGCTGTGGCGAATTAGATACCAGGCGAATTTCTTGACCCGGTCGCTCTGGAAACTTCAATCGAGGAGATGGGGTGTGCCTTTCAAGGTTGGGAAGTCGTTTATCGTGTGGAAAAAAAGGCAGAGATCTGTTCGCCGCAAAGCCAATGGGATAATTTTCTGCTTGAAGGGAGACCAGATTGGGTGCAGAGACTGACTGGTCGAATATGGTCTCAATACGAGGCCCACGACGATTTGCCTTGCTACTACCTGCTACACGAGTAGGGAATGAATCAAAACCGATGTCACTTTGGAAGTCAGTATCATCGTCCTCACCGGAACTGAAGACTTTAATATCATTATCGGACCCAATTAGTGTAGATGCAGGGTCCGATGCTGCAGCTGAATGACGAGGGCTTGCTGGAGACCCTGCTAGCGAACGAGGAGAATCGGGAACGGGGGAGTTGGGGCAGCTTGGGGGAACGGCGCGAATGGACTGACGAGCTCGAATATCTGCAATATCTGGATTAGCCACGGTTGGATTAAGGGCTTCGCATCGGAGATCTGTAAAATTCGGACAATGGCGCAAGCGGGATTTCGGGGCATATTCATCGGCTGCGGCACCAATTCGATCAAAACGGCTCGCAGAAAATTCAACTTGCGACGAAGTACTTGGTCGACGAAATATATCAGGGTCCGTGATGTTTCCTCGTCGTCGTACACGTATCGAGTTTCCGTGAAGCCTTTCGCTCTTGGAGGTGCTATAGAAATCCGATGACGGAGTGTCAAGCTGCGCATCGTCATGGGAGAACGAAGATTGACGTCGTAAAGGCTTCGGAGTTTCCCACGACGAAGCAAACGGTTCGCGAAAAACATCTTGCGAAGGGGGACGGGCACTTGAGGGCAGGGTTTTGGAATTAGAGCGACTAGCAAAAGCAGCATCTCCAGTTTCTGATGCATTCCATGAATAGTATCTCTCGCGGGCCATTGGTTCCAAGTTTGAGGAAGAATTGGTTTTTCGGCCAGGAGGCAAGATGGACGAGGCAAGTAGCAAAGTAGGCGCAACATTGGAGTGGGCAACAAGGCGACGAGGAGATTGATTTCGATTTCTTGATGGGGGGGCACGGCGCCGAGTGGAACGGTCCGATGAATATGAAAAGCGAGCTCTGCTGAAATATGGTCGCCAGGAGCTACTGTGAGTTGGGGTGGGTGGCGAGTTCTCCTCTGTCGAGGGGATTGTTGGCGTGAACTTCGGGGTACCGCAGCCTACCCGGCTATCTGTAGAAGAACGCCGGCGCATATTTGCAGATCGTTGGTGGCTCGTTGCAGGTCGCCGCAGCACAGGTAGAGTAGCAGGCTCAAACTTTTGTAATCGGTGTGCGGACGATGGGCCGTGAGAGGATGTCGAACGTTTCACGAGCTTGTTGGGAGAAGGGGCAGGATAGTTGGAAGGAAAAAAGGGCGTAGTAGATCCGGTAACTGATGGTGATTGTGGTCGCGATCCCGAAAGCGAGCTGCCATTTAAAGAAGACGTGATGATCGAGAGCCGGCGTACCCAGGACGAGGACGGGCGGCTACTATTGGGAGGTTCCAGTTCATCCACGACATCTCCCTCACTGATTTTAATTCCGGGCCCAACATACGTCCTTCGGCGGGGACGAATGGGAGGTCTGTCAGCTTGCCTCAAAGGCAGGGTGTTGGGCAGTGTTTGCGATTCTTGGCTCTGAAACGGATGCGCCATGCGTTCCGGTTGGGAAGAGTCTGGGCGAGGGAGAGCAGGGTGGGCAGCCGTCGCCGGGCGAGGCTCCGCTATACTCTCTGAGGGGGAATGGTATGATCTGGTAAGGAGGGACTGCCTCTTCCGGGCGGTCATCGGGCGTTGTTTTGGCGGCGAGGGTCGACCGAGAGCGAAACCAGTAGCGGCGATGCCAATTGTGCCAGCCGCACAGAGCTAAAAGAGACGGAGAGAGGCGGTTAGCAACAGCGAGGAGAACCATGGAAACACGGGTGCTAGACGACGTCGGCGGCAGCAGCACAGCACGATGGGCAGCGCCGGCACCGAGTAGGGCCAAACATGCGCGCGCATAGCGGGCTGGGTAGCGTGGGGAGGGCGCTTGAAACACTCACCGTCGATACATGCTCCATCGTTGCGTGTAGAGCAGGGTCAGAGGGGTCTCAACTGGCACGACATCGAAGTTCACGGGCTGGCGATGGAGGAGGCCCAGAGGTCACCTTACATGGGCCATTCTGGTCGGGTGCTGTGCGGGCGCGTGTTGGCGGACGGGAGTGGTCAGCACAGCAGCAATGGCAGGCGAACCGGCATTCCTGGCGATGGCGGCAGAGGAGCCGAGCACGGAGTGGCGATTAAGCACGAGCTTGACGACGGGCAGGTCCAGTAGTTTAGTAGGCCGTGGTGGTTGTTGTCGTTCAAGCGCTGGGAGCGAAGCGAGGAGAAGCGCAGCGGTAGGTTTGTTGACGGGGGGGTCGCTTGGGTTAGTGGGAGCTGGAGCGAGCGGCCGGTCTGGGATCTCCAGCTTTAGAGCAACTCTAAAGGCCGGCGGGCGGTTTCAAGTGCGGTAAGCGTCGAAACACGGGCGTCCAGGCGACGTGCCCGCGCGTGGTCTCTCGGGGCGGGCGATGACGCTGGCGATGAGCTCTGGGCTGGCTTGTTGTTGCGGTTGCGACGGGCAGCCCACCTCCAGCGCGGACGGGCCATCGTTGCAGCGCATCATCCCTACGCCAGGCCGGGGCCTCCAGCAGCCCGCTCTGGCCGCTGATTCGCGCTGCGCAATCCCTTGCCCTGAGACTTTTCTTGACGCCAAACCGAGCCGTCGCGACGAGCCCGCCAATAAGCCTTGCGCCCCTCCGTGCCAGCGTTGCGCGAAGCTTCTCGCCGGCGAATCCGTAGCACGTCGACATCCGCATCATCGACAGCTCTCCCCGCCGCGCCAATGACGGCCACTGGCGCCTACCAACTGGTTTCCTACACGGCGGGCGACGACGGTCACTGCGCATCGTCATCATTGCCATCATCATCATCGCCCACGAGGGCGGGCGGCCAGCCGCTGGCATGGCCGTGCTGCTCGTGGGCGCGAAACAGGGAAACGCAGGGCCGCGGGCGTGGTTGCGTGCTTAGCCCGAAGCCACAGCTCGGGCTGAATCCCTCCGCGCAGCTGGCCAGCTCATGACACTAATTCCCTCGTCGTTTATTCTTAAAACTCAACCCGCGCGACGGGGATGTGGGAAATTAACCCTCTCCACGCTGGCCCTGCCTGGGCGTCTGGGCGCGCTCGGAGGATTCAGCCCGCCCCCGCTGACTCAGCGCCGTGGCCGCCACGCCCGCACAACCACGCGCGCCGACAGGCACACCACGGCCGATCCGCCCTGTCATCGATCTGTCCGCGCTGCCTCTGCACGCTGCTTTGAGTTGCCGATGATGGAGTCCGAAATCCAGGCGCGCATACCCGGCATTGATCATGTGATATCAGAGTACTCCGTGGTGCGTGGTGCACGACGTACACGGCGCCCGATGCGGCCTTCGCTGACGTTCGCCATAGGGCTATCTGACACACGCTTCCAAAGCGTATGTCGAAGACGCTGACCTCGTGGATCAGTCGCCGCTGTCAGAGGCTGCTGACACCGTGACGTCGCTGCTCTTGTCCGCCTCCGGTGACTTTAGCCCCGAGAATGAGGCCGCCATCAGGAATCTGGTCGAGAAGTTCATCTCCGCCTTGAGCTCCGCCAATGGCGTCGACGCGGAGCGCCGGCAGATGCCCTTTGCGGCAAAGAAGCTGGACCAGACCATCCATGTAGGCTCTCAGCGCAATATTTCTTCCACCCTGGGCCTCTCGGGCGTCTCCATAGACCTCGAGGCGGCTGCAACTCGAAAAGTCGAGTCTCGGGTGGACAAGAAGAAGCTTGAAAAAGCCGAAAAAAAAATTCGAGCCAAGCAAGACAAGAAGATTATGAAAAATGTTGAGTACGAAGCGTCGAAGTTACTCAATGAGCCTGACAGTACACAATCGTATGAAGAGTTCTTCATGGCTGTAAACCCCTTGCAACTGGGGTCGGATTCCCAGACGAAGAGCAAGGACGTCAAGGTCGATGGAATCGACATCTCTATTGCGGGAAATCGTATATTGACAGATACGTCCCTTACTTTGGCATATGGACGACGCTACGGCCTGGTTGGTCAAAACGGTATTGGAAAAAGTACACTTCTACGTGCGCTTAGCAAGCGAGAAGTCGCCATTCCAACATATATTTCAATTCTTCACGTGGAACAGGAGGTTAGCATACATAGCCTAAGGCTATCCTAATTGATTGTGCCGTTACGGGGCCCCTGCCCCTTACTAACAAACGTGATAGATCAAAGGTGACGATACTCCAGCTTTGCAGGCTGTTCTTGACGCCGATGTCTGGCGAAAGCGCCTTTTAGCGGATCAAGATGTAGGTAGCCTACTTCCAAAACCAGAAATACAACAATGTCTGTAATGTGATTACTAATATGCTTGCAGAAAATATCGGCCCAATTGGCTTCTATTGATACCGAAAGGTCGACCATGGCTGATACATCGAAGGATGCCCTACGGTTGGATCAGGAAAGAGAAGCTCTGGATGTCACTCTAGCGGATGTCCATGCCAAGCTGGCAGAGATGGAATCTGACAAGGCTGAGCCCCGCGCAGCGAGTATCCTCGCTGGCTTAGGCTTTTCCCCGGAGCGGCAGCAGTATGCGACAAAGACATTCTCTGGTGGTTGGCGTATGCGATTGGCATTGGCTCGTGCTCTATTTTGCGAACCCGATCTTTTGCTTCTGGACGGTACGCTCCCAACAGTCTGGGTGACAGGTGTCAATCTAATAAGTTCCCAGAACCTTCGAACATGTTGGATGTGCCATCCATCACGTTCTTGTCTAATTACCTACAAACTTACCCAAGCACCGTTTTGGTTGTGTCTCACGACAGAGCATTCCTCAACGAAGTTGCCACGGACATCATTCACCAACACTCGGAGAGATTGGATTACTATCGGGGCGCTAACTTTGGTCAGTACAGCTGTCACCCGACACCTTTGTGGCGAACCTTCCTACTAACCATATCTAGATTCGTTCTATGCCACGAAGGAAGAACGAAAGAAGAATGCGAAACGGGAGTATGAAAATCAGATGGCTCAACGAGCGCATCTCCAAGGCATGTGACTGTGGCAATGTTTAATATGGAAAATCCTGGCTAACCCAGCTATTATAGCTTTTATTGATAAGTTTAGATATAATGCCGCCAAAGCTTCGGAAGCTCAGTCAAGAATCAAAAAACTTGAACGAATGCCTGTGCTCACTCCCCCTGAGAGTGAATATGTTGTCCATTTCAAGTTTCCAGATGTTGAAAAATTATCGCCCCCAATCGTGCAAATGACCGATGTTACATTCGGTTACATGCCGGATAAGATATTGTTACGGAACGTTGATCTTGACGTACAGTTGGATTCTAGGATTGGTATTGTTGGGCCAAACGGTGCCGGTAAAACCACTGTTTTAAAACTCCTTACCAGCCAACTTCAGCCTTCCTCTGGCCTTATTTCTCAGCACCCCAGACTTCGTATTGGCTTTTTCGCCCAGCACCATGTCGATGCACTAGACATGAATACAAGTGCTGTTGGTTTTATGGCGAAAACTTACCCTGGGAAAACAGAGGAGGAATATAGACGCCATCTCGGAGCGTGCGTGGCCCTCATCTTTCCCTCCGTTGTCGCATATCATCTAACCCGTATTATAGCTTCGGTATTACCGGTATGACTGGCCTTCAAAAACTTGAACTATTGTCTGGTGGTCAAAAATCCCGAGTGGCTTTTGCGTGCATCTCGCTAACCAACCCCCACATTCTTGTCCTTGATGAACCGTCCAATCATCTCGATATTGAAGCAATGGACGCCCTCTCGGAAGCCCTTCAAAACTTCCAGGGAGGCGTATTAATTGTATCTCACGACGTGACGCTTCTTCAAAATGTTTGCACGAGTTTGTGGGTTTGCGACAATGGAACAGTAGAGAAATTCCCTGGTGATGTTAATGCCTATAAGAAGAGAATTTCTGAACAGGCCAACGCAGCAGGGGTAGTCGCGGCGCATTGAGGCCGAGAATTTTATTAAAAAAAAGCACTAACTAATTAAAAGCCTTGGATTATCTCGTAGCCATGCCCATAGCAATGAAAATTAATCGACGATAATGATGAATATTTAACGCTCCATGCATAATCGAGAATATCAGTCTCTCTGTGTAATCAGTATATATGTTTTACTTGGTAGAAACCATCCCATTAACTCTCGCTGGCGACTGTAGCTACCGAGGGTCTAGATGCGGACAGCTCGAAATAGTTGAACTAACAACCATAATGATAATAATAATAAGCATTCTTCTCGAAATATATGTCCTTAATCAAGTTCGTGATCGTACCACGGTCGCCCCGAAATCTAAACTCCGAGCGCCAAGCATTAACTACATTTGGAGCTTCACGGCACCTCTCACCTAGTTAGTTACTTACCCTGCAGGCTGTTCGGCAACAACTGCAAGAATTTTTAATGCGCACTCACCATTTTCGTTCAATAACAACGTTACAGGAAAGAAGAAATCCTAGATATGAGATTCCAAGAGTAAACTCGAGGAAATGCACGCCGCCCGGGATGATGAAGCTAATCACCCCAGCGCTCCACTCCTAGAGAATCACGCCTCGCCGCAACGTGAGGAAAATGCAGATGCTTCATGGAGGCTGAATGAACTGGTTTATACCACCTCTGGGACTTGGTTCATCTGGGCTCTCACGTTGTCAGCTGGTATCAGTGGCCTTCTATTTGGATACGAGTACGATTCTTTCTTTCTAATGTTTCTTTGAGAACCCAGAAAAATATATTGACATACTTTATATCATACTCTTAACCGTCTGTCTTTGGTGCTTCTGTTTTTTGCCCTGGTCCTGACTTTTATCTTTCTCGGGGGCAGTACCGGGGTCATATCATCGACGTTGGTCTCCATCAAAAGGGACCTGTCGCATCGAGAGCTGACCACATTGGACAAAAGCTTGATCACGTCAAGTACTAGCTTGTTTGCGCTCATTGCTAGCCCCGTGGCTGGTACTCTAGGTGACAAACTGGGAAGAAAACCGATTATCTTGATTGCCGATGCCTTGTTTATCCTGGGTGCCCTATGGCAAGCCGCCACCTCTACTGTTAGCGGTATGATTGTTGGCCGCAGCTTGGTGGGATTAGCTGTTGGAACGGCAAGTTTAATTGCGCCTTTGTATGTGAAGCCCCTTGTCAGATTCCATGGTAGCTCGCTATCATTCCAGAGAACTTATTTGTCTTATTCGCTGAATCTTTGTTAGATACATTGCGGAGCTATCCCCTTCACAGCTTCGGGGCAGATTGGTAACTATTCTCATACTGTTCATCACAGGTGGCCAGGTCGTTGCTTATGTCGTTGGCTGGTTACTTTCGACGACAACTTCGGGTTGGCGCTGGATGGTTGGCCTCGGTGCCCTTCCTGCACTGGTTCAGCTCATACTTCTCATGTTCCTCCCAGAAACCCCGCGCTGGCTCGTGAATGCTGGAAATGACGGCGAAGCTCGCCTAGTTTTAGGAAAAGTATATGGGACCACTGAAACAGCCAGACAGGAGGTGGATCGAGTCATTCGAGATATAGAAGCAGAGATTAACGAAGAACATTCCACATCGACTTCTTGTGGTGATTTGTCTTCCAACGGCCCCCTTTCCCGGTGGCTGGCCTCAACAACAAATAATTGGAACGTACTCTTCACAGTTCCAGCAAATCGCCGCGCCTTAATCATAGCTTGTATGTTGCAAGGCTTCCAGCAGCTTTGTGGTTTCAATTCGCTCATGTATTTCTCCGCCACTATCTTCAATATCCTGTCTTTCTCTTCGCCTACCCTAACTTCTCTATCCGTGGCGGTGACAAACTTCCTCTTCACCCTACTCGCCTTCTCTCTTATAGACCGTATCGGCCGTCGGCGTATCCTCCTTTACTCCGTTCCAATCATGGCTCTCTCCTTAATTCTTTGTGCAGTCGCGTTCCCCCACATTAATATAGAAACTCCAAACCCAGCCGTTCCACCAAACGCCACCGACCCACCTCGATTATCACCCATTTTAATCCTTATCTCCCTCACCATATACACAGCCTCCTTCGCTTCCGGCCTCGGAAACGTTCCGTGGCAACAATCAGAGCTTTTCCCTCTTCAAGTCAGATCACTCGGCTCCGCACTCGCCACTGCAACGAATTGGGGCTCAAATTTCCTTGTGGGGCTTACATTCTTGCCTTTAATGGAATTTATCTCGCCTGGCTGGACCTTTGTGATTTATGCATGCGTCTGTATTGTCGGGTGGTTGTCGGTGTGGGCGATTTACCCTGAAATGAGTGGGTTGGGTTTGGAAGATGTACGAGGCCTGCTAGCGGACGGGTGGGGCGTAAGGGAGAGTATAGAAAGCTTTTCTAAGAGGCAGAAGAGTCATATTGATTCATGAGAAGGCAGTCTACTTTTGCATTGCTTCGGTGGTTTATAGATGGCGTTTCCTGATCTGAAGTGTTGATCATTCTATTGTCTTTTACAGGTACTTCGTATAGTTTACCTTTCTGCTTTTGTATGTATGTATGCACAATATTTATTATATCTCTCTGCTATTTTAAGAAGTATTAGCATCGCTTCAAACAGACCTTCTTACAACAACTTCAAGTGAATGTAAACGCTACATACAAATGACTCCAAACGATAGCAATATGCATGCAAAATAAACTACTTTTCCGCCCATGGTATTTGCAATAGGCAAAGGGGTATCACATTCATTAAAAAATTAGGTATAAATGGAATTTTGACAGTCATGCCAGGAAGGGAGAGGAATACAAACCCAGTGAATCATGCAACTGAAAAAGCTTTGTAAAGAAAAGAGCAGCGCACATTTTCTTTTCGCATTAGGACTCTCGAATCACTCCTGATCTTCAGACTCTGGTGTCACATCTGGAACAAAGTGCGGTGCAAATTTGCTTTTTGCGCGTAGTCGGTACCCATGAGTATAGAAAAAAAAGGGTATTGGGATCAAAACTGTGGCAATGCAGCCCAGTAGAGTGCCTGCCCAGTTAACTCCCAATCCATTAAACTGTGAATGTAGGTTAGGCGTTTAGTGGTAATTTATCTGTGGAAAGAACTTACTAAGTACTGCGAGAAGAGAGGAAATCCAGCGGCTGCAACAGATCGTAGAAGAGCATTAGCAGCGATGGCAGATGCAGCACTACAAGAAATTAGCAGGGCATTTTGGACAAAGGGGGAAAGGGTGCAAACATACAAGAGCAAATAGGCGTCAATGATATAGTTCAGAGCTTGTAGGAAAATAACAAGAAGGCCAAATCCTGTTAGTATACCAGATAACGTTGGCACAATCCAATGGATGCTCTCTTTATAGCCAGACCAACCAAACCAGAAAAGGCCAATTGCAAAAGCAATACCTCCAGCAATGACATGAACAAGACGCCATTCGGGTATAGTAACATTGTTATTTGCGGCAAGTTTTCGAGCATACCAAGGCTGAGAAAGGATGATAGTCATTCCACCAATAAATTGGCCGACAATCATACCAAAGTATGGCAGGCCACCAACTCCCTTGCCAAAACCGTGAATTTTTTGAAATACGACGGGGTATGCGGTTAGAAAGAGATACAGTAGTCCATAGATGAAAGCGGTATAGATACTAATAAGGAGGACAATGGGCTCCGTAAACAGAATTTTGATGGGTCGGCTGAAATTCTTTTCAACAAGTTCCGTAAAATCTACTTCAATCTCCTCCTGTTTAGCATGGATTCCCCAGTTCTTTGTACGACGACGTAGCTCAGCCGCTTTTTGAATGAGGACCACGGGTGGATAGGTCTCGGCCAGAAAAAAATAATCAAGGATCAAGGCACTGGCACCGAGGATTCCAGGGAGATAGGCCGTCCATCGCCAGCCAAGATGGCTCTCGACAATGAAACCACCGATGAAAGGAGCCAAAAGTGGGCCCGTGAATACGGTCATGCAAAAGGGCGTGATAGCAAGACCTCTGAGACGGTTGTCAAACATATCAGAAAATATTGCAGCAACCACTGCTATGGGGCAGGCTCCAAAAAAACCTCCAAAAAAACGGCAGATCATAATAGTTTGAAGATCCTTAGCAGTTGCCAGGCCAAATTGGAACACCATGAAACCAAATGTACTTAGGACTACTGGCAAACGCCGCCCTTTGAGCTCAGATAACGGTGCCCAGATAATTGGTCCAGTGGCATAACCCAAGACAAAGAGTGATAGTCCCAGGATTCCAACCTCAAAAGAAACCCCAAAAATCTTCGCTACTTCAGTAGTTGCAGTGGAAAAGATGCTGCTGGTGAAAGACGAGATGATTGTTGTCCACCCCAGTATCACTGCAGTTATTACCCTACCATAGAAAATACAAATCAGCTCAATATGTATTTATTTGCATATAGGCTCACATACTTTCTTTTCATGCTCCAATTCTGAGGATGTAAAGGATCCTCTGGCCCATCAAACTCAACAACATATTCTTCCTTTTCTGGTAATGGTGGGGGGTACGGCTTCCCTGCCCCAAATGCTGGCAATGGTCCCTTTGACACTCGCGATCGTACTCCCGCTCCAACTGTTGCACTATGTTGGCTTCGTTGTGTAGCGATGCGACTTAGAGCGGTTGGGTGCCGCTCCAGATCTCGGGATGTGGGTGCACGGAAGACATCTGTGCCTCCAACGCTGGAAACAATGGACGAGGCGCTTCTCGACGAGGAAATTGAGGATCGAGGTTCTCGCGGGGGTTCTTGTTCGAAGGGAGCCGGAAGGTGGCCTTGACCGGCACTGATCCCCGCTTTCTCAAGGTCTCTAGAAACAATGTCCATTTTCACCCGGACAGTGGGTGAAAGGGTGTTTCAATTAGTCCCTACGCCCCGAGTACCCTTTAAAGAGAAATACAGAGGCGAAGGTCTGTCCACAGACGACTGTTGATTTGGTTATAGATTCTAATACTTGGATTCAGGCAGACAAAACTTTCAGGTGGGAAAAGACACCTATGGGCTTATGCGTGTGCAAGAGAGGAACGTCAGAAGTCCATGTTGGCAGAGCTGATGACTTGTAGATATATATGGAAGTCAAACTGTGAAGCAATTGCTCCAGTGATAAATAGAAAGATAGTAGTAATTCAAGGTTAAGGTGAAAAATAGATAACCTTTTATGGAATCAGGCAAGGGTGGCGAATATCCACCAATATATTACTTTCTTGGTGTTTTGGTTCGTGCCTTCTGTAGATGCCTACGGAGAATTGCAACTATGTGAATGTAGATATCCGACGCCAGTAAGACAAACAGAGACTAGGTGAAGAAATCTAGAGATGGTCCTCGCTCACCCATTGCTATCTTTCCCAGCGCAAAGGAGGATTCTCTTATTAATTCTTCCCCACGACGGTGGCGATGATGTCAACACACATCAAGCCACTGGTCCGGGACCGGCAAAAAGGTGCCGAAAATGCCGATAGCAATGCAATCGAAACAAACATCTAGAGGCGTGTCGAGTACGGAGTACTGCCGGACGTCTAACCCCTGCCTTGACTTTCTGGGATCATTATTACAGAGTCGCATCGTGGAGGTAGAGCTAACCGCTAGGTGGACGCTTGGTAACTTAAGCATCTGATCCTATCAAAAGTCAGTTGCCTTAGGTGTGATTCTGGGTCATATTTCAGCCGTTATTATTCAGCATCTCACCTGGTCGGGTTTCTAGCCAGTTCCGCTTCTAGAACACTGCTGTGAGCACCATCTTGATCAGCCCTAGATTCCGAATCCATCGTGGGACTATACCCGTGGAGCACCACTACTACTGACACTACGGAGTACTCCGTACAAGAGGGAGAATCCACATGCCCTCCATAGTTGGGTAGTTAGTGCCCATCTTTTATGCAGACGAAGGATCATTATCGCCGCTATTATTGCTGGACAAAAGACCCGCTGGGTGCTTTGACAAGCTTGTGCGTTCTTGGACGGCCATCTCAATTAATTAGTTTTTCAATGCCGCCTGCGCGAAATTGTGTGTTGGCGAGTCCATTGTGGCTGGGCGCTGTTTGCGCTGTTTGCACGGCAGACTATATTGCCGGTGGGGCCGTGGCTGCCGCACCACTCCCGATGTGCCGCCCTCCCATTGGCGGCATGTGCAGCGCCTGTTCCTGTCCTGGCTAGCGCCCCTACCCCTGGCAGGCGGTCAGCCAATCACACCGGCCTGTCCGCCAATCCATCTCTTTCGGGCAACGGCCCTCCCTTTCCAACTCGCGTCCCTTTGTTCCATCCCAATCTCGCCGTTCGTTTCTGGTTCCAATACTCCCGTTCCCGTCGTTCTTTGCTGTCTCTCTCTCTCTGTTGCCCGTCGGCTCGCGGTGCACTCTAGGCCGTCTTTCTCTGCTTATAGCACACAGCATGGACCTCTGAGTCTGTTCATTCCCTCCTCAGCATCCACATCCAACTTTCGTCCTTCCTTAGGTTCCGCGAGATTCGTTTGTTTGCTCTCTTTCCAACATCCGATCTGCTATACACTCATTCATCCTATTTCCAACTTGAGCAGTTATCGGCTTTAATACCTAAAGAGTGCCTTGCATTGTTGTTCTTTGTCTTAATTCCTAATCCAACCCCTAATCACCCTCGAGAGACGACCTGCATGAAAAGACCCTGACAGGAAGAAATGGCCCGGCATGCACATCGGGCCCTATCGCGGTTCGCGCCTCGTGCACTCTCTATACCAGCAGATGAACCCGTTGCCCTAACACACCTGGATACGCCCTCTCTTGTAAAGAGAAGTCCTGCTGATACCACCTCGAGCGCCCCGGCAGGAACTAAGTCTTGTGGGCCAAATGACACAACTGGAATCTGTACGCGGCCTGTCAGTAGCACCACTACTATGACTCTGCCCATTGTTTTGGGTGCAGTGTATGTTTAATTACCATCCTGTCCAGCCCCTTCAAACTCTAATGACTAGAGCTAACTTGCTTCAGGATTCCTATAACCTGTGCTTTTCTTGCTTTTTTCTTTTTGCATCGCAGGCATGTCAAAAAGTTACGACAGGAAGACGCGAATGATAAACACAAATCCCTTGATTTTGGCCTCGATTATCCCTCTTCCGGCAACAAGAACAAAAAATCTGGAAACAGCGATGGTGGGATTTCAATGGCCGAAAAGCCAAATCACCAGCGTGGGCATGGTATCTCGATAGATTTGACAATGAATAGTCCGTATCTACTACCGCCAGGTTTGCATGGGTCTCGTGAATCGATCCATTCGCTGTCGAGGTCATTCCAGGGAGAGGGCGACAAGTATCGCCCTGCAACATCCTTCACTCCTGGCGATGGTGGTTCTGTACGGTCTTACTCACCAACCTACGGCCGTAGGGCGGATGACGCGTCGAGCTACACTTCTCCCAGTTCCAAATACCCTTATAATGACGATATGAACCAAAATTTGTTGAAGAACGCCCAGCGAATGTCCAGATCCCCTCCTATCATACAGACAGATCCCGTTGAGGCCGACATCGGCGCTTCCAGTCACTCGACTAAAGAAGGCACCCCGGTATCATCACCTTTGACCTCGCCCCGTGCTCAGGGAGAGCTCACCGTCCCTACCGCCAACACAGCAGGAAACGATTTTGAAAAAGAGGAATCGGCCCTCCGAAAGAGCAATAACTACCTAGGCGCCCTCATCCAGCGGGGTGATGCCAAATCGCCTGAGAACCACCTTGATAACGTACCTTTGGCTCCCAGGAGCAGCTCTCTCCAAAAGGAGGAGAAGCCACAGGGGCTCAGCAACGCTGACCAATCCAAGTCTATTCCTATTCCTGAGTCTGCTCTAAGCACATTGCATGTAAAATCTCAAGCGCCGCGCATCTCTCTTCCTCTCGACGATGACAAAAGTGACTATGGGGATGATTCAGCATCATTAAAGCGAACCGTACCACAAGTCACAGTGCACGATATCGCAAACTCTCCACAAAATGACAAGAAAGAGACGGATACCACGTATGATATTTACGATGACTATTACGATGAGGGATATCAAGTCGACACCCGCAGACTTACCGTAGGTATCCGCCCGTTGCCACCTGAAGACCCATCAGACAACGCAGAACAGAGGGCCAATCGCATTCGATCATTCTACAAAGAGTATTTCGATGACAGCAAACCACAAGAGGACTATTATGAAGATTACGGGCCCGAAGCTACCGGGTATGGAGCGTATGGGGAACGAGCGGACTACGGACATGCACGTCCGTTTGCGCAACCAGAGGGAAGACGAGCTATGACACCCCCTCCTAGAATGCCACCCATCCCGTCTGAATATCGACGTCGCCCGGCGTTCGGTCCTCTGAGTGATGGGAGCCGTTCAGTGGCGCCTTCAGTTTCCAGCGGACCCCGTGCTGGCTCCTCAGCGTCAAATCAATTGCCAGGAGGGCGTCGTAAAAAGCCGTTGGCGCCTCCAGCTCCACTACAGCTTCTTCCGACCCCCCACAAACTTCAAGACGAATCAATTATGCCAATTGATTTCGCGCCGGGCGCTAGGTCTCGTGAACGTCGGGATGGACGTTGCGACACCCCCACAGGCGGGTTGCAGCCATACATGCTGACGGTTCCTGCGCATGTGCCCCTTGCATCTTCATATGACGATCTGGCTCTTCTCCCAAGCCCGTAAGTGCTCATCAAGATACGCGAAAGCCGATGAACCGTTCACTAACTTCCCTATTATAGGCACGCGTTGCGAAAATCCGGCACTTTTACAGCGTTGGATTTCGTTCCTCCGTCGCGATTCAAAAATTCCGATGCCAGTGATACTGGCAGTATCCGCAGCAATCGAACTGGCATCTCGGCTGCTCAGGCGTACAGTATCCGCACTGGCGCCTACCGTATCAGCCGTCTCCCGCCCCAGACAGTTGGCACCAAGGAAGATATCATGTCGAATCTTCACCCAACCTGGGACATGAAGACCTAGCTAGCCTCATGGCAATTCCTTTAGGTTCCTCTTCCAGCGTGGGTGTTCTATTTAATGAGCGTTACATGTTTCCCAGCAGCAGCCGCTTGATGACCTTGCCATACTCGCTATCTTATCCAGCCACCGGCATTCTCGCCTGGTATTTTTTTGTTGTTCATTTTCCTTCTTGCTCCGCAACCCTTGTAGATTGGTGAGTTGTTGGGATTTCTTTTCGGCTCTACCTGTGTGCCATCGCGCTGCACAGCAATGTTTGAATATCTCAGCCCCATCAACGCCACACAACATCATGGTGCGAGTGTAATGTATTTTACTATATATATATATATATATATAACACATATTTGTCAGTATTCTGGATTCGATTGGAGTACCCCGTAGCTTGTTCGAAATGGCTTGCACTTCGTTTGGTCTAGCTCTCGCCCTTTAGTATATGAAACTCTGGGTTGGTCCGTTTCTTTGGATTTCCATGTGTAGGTCCAAGGTTGCAGTTAACCATGGAACCCCTCGAAGCTGGAATGGCAGAGTTTGGGCCCGTGATATGGCGGCGTCTGTTCCACGATTCGGCTTCATGATTTTCTGCCGATCGGCAAGAGGTAATTAATCTCGCACCTGAGCACAGCAGGCCTGCCCGCGAGGACCCGGATCGACCGCAAACAGGGTGCCGGGCGATCAGGAGTGGGAAATTACTCGCGCCAGAAAGAACCCATGTGGTCGGCCGGGGTTGGCCGTCACGGCAGGCAAAGAACCTGCTTGGGTGGCCGTTGCTATTTTTGGGCCAGGAACAAGCTTCGCGTGGCTGACTCAGCCGAAGGGAGGCGGTGTCAGGCCGGGCGGGCGGTATTATTGGTACGGTAACTCTCGCTGGGTCACGCCCGCGCGGCATGATTGGTGGGCGCGCAGGCCAACATGTGGGATCGCGCTGAGGGAAGAAAAAGGCCTCACACCAAAGGGCCGTCGGGCAGGCGGGCGGTAAAAAAAGGGCACGCGCGCGCTCACCCAGCGCGCTGCGCTGTTCCTGCAGCTACTCGTCGCGTTTGCAGCGTCGTCAGGCCCGCTGCCGCGCCGTCTCGCTGCTGCGACTCGCGCCTCTCCACTGCTTGGCGCTGTTGCTCTAGCCCCCCCCGGTCACGTCTCGTTCTGCAACACTCTCTCCACCCGGCTGGCCTTCTCGCTTCCTCGCTCCTCCTCCCCGTCCTTCTCCTCCTCTTCCTGCTACCTGTCGTCGTCGACGCCGTCGTTGCTCCCCATCCCCCAGCGGACGAAGACGCTGCCTTGTCGCCGTCTGCCCGGGCGCTTTCTCTCGTTCGATCTCCGACTATTGGCCCGATTCCCTCCCAGCGGCGCTCTCTGTTTGGTCAGAGCAACCGTCTTGGCTCCAGCCTGCCTACGCCCCTTATTCGCCCAACTGTGTCCCTTTTGGTCTTCATCGCCTCTTCGTCGTCGCGTGGTCGATTCGGCCTGATTGCTATCGTTCGCGCGGATTGCATAGCTGGAATCAACGGCGAGACCACGACAGGCGTTTCCTTGTTCACTTCGAGCCGATCTTCCGATAATTAGCTGCCACCTCTCCACCCTGACCACTACTCAAGTTTTTCCCTTCGTCGCCCCGGCCCATGGGACCGTCATCCACGATCTTTGTCCAAACTTGAGGAGAAAAATTTTTTGTTTCGACTTCTCAAGCAAGCGTACATTTTTCTGCTGGTTTAAGCCATCGTGGCTTTTGGATTTTAGACCAGCCGCTCCCTTGTTTCGCATTGTTCCATAGTCGGACTCTAGTCTGCACGAAGCCACCTGACAGCTAAAAAATCTCATCATCCATCAGCTCCTGTCTGCATGAAGAGTCTTACAATCCCTTTGTCGGCCGGCCATTGACCCTTCGTTCCTCTGCGACTTTGCTGGCACCTTACAAGCAGTAGTGCTCCTCTCTTTTCGGCCTGTCAGAAACAGGGTGACGCTTGCTATTCGCCATGTCAAGCGGTTCTCCACCGGGTATGTGCTTGCTGACTTCCTCCGTCGCGACTAGCATCTGGGCTTTGTGTTAACAGATAGGACGATTCAGGGGCTAGCCCTCCGACCTCCCAGGCACCTCCCCCCGCATCATCAGCACCACCTCCCGCATCGTCGGCGCCTTCTCCTGCACCGTCACCTTCCTCAGCACCACCGCCGCAGTCTAGCTCTCCGCCTCCGCAACCGTCGCCAGCGCCCCCACCTTCAACAAGCGCACCTGCACCAGCACCGCCAAATTCAACACCAACCCCCGCTCCCCAGCCGCCTTCCACGCAACAACCCGCACCCTCGGCGCCTGCGCCGCCGCCAACAGAACCGTCTCGAAGCTCGGTCGTTGTGATAGTAACATCGACCCTATCGCCCACTGATGCCAACACTTCTACGCCGCCACCAAGCAATGCGACCTCTTCCCCGTCAACCACCGTCTCAAAGCTGCCAACATCCACTGCGGAGCCCAGCAGCGGCGGCCTCTCTCCAGGCGGTACTATTGCCGTAGCCGTGGTGGTGCCTGTGGTGTCCGTGGCTTTAATCATACTTGCGCTACTTTTTTGGTGGAGAAAACGCAAGGCGAGAAAATTGGCGGAAGAAGAAAGAAAGCGAGAGATCGAGGAGTATAGATTCGACCCCAACAATGACCCGACCCTTCCCGCTATCGGGCTGACCAGATACAACGACGATACCGCAGCCAAGGATGGCGATACTGGGTATCGCGGCTGGGGCACGACATCGACCTCGCGCAAGTACTCGACGAACATGTCGAGCGGACCCAGTATGCCCGTTTCTGACAACGGCAGTCAACAGCCGTTCCGATCTGGATCTCCCTTAGACGACGGCGGGTATTACCCTGATGGCGGAATTCGGCCAGATTCCGGCGACTCAGAGACCATCGGTGCGTTGCCTGCTTCCACTGTAGTGAACCGAACCGACATTCATCGCGGCCCGTCCAACGCATCGTCTGGATACTCCGCTGCCAACCATTCCGACGTGTCGGATGACTTCTCACCACCGGGTGCTCCTCCCGGAACTCAATATTATGAAGAAAACCCGTACTATAGCGACATGCCCCAGCAAGGGCCCTATGGGGACAATTTGAACGCTGCGCCACCGGTGATCCGAGATGTCCAGGCTCGGCGGAACACACGTATTGAAAGCCCGACGGTATTTCCGCAACAAGGAAACGCGGGTATTTCGCAGAATTTTTAGAACGGTCGACTAATCCCTCTTTGTCAATACGTATTTCGTTACCCGCCCGTCGTTTATATATAACACCCTTCTTCTTTTTCTCTTTTTTTCTTTATCTTCATATCAGGGCTGCATCGATGCCATTTAATGGTTGTGAACGTAATTTTGACTCTTCTCCGGCCTGCTCGGCACCTTTTTTTATATTACCTTTTGTGGGTGAATTGTCATATCCTGGAATATGTACCGGATGGCTCTTGGCTCCTTTGGCTGATCACGATGTCACCTTCTTTCACTATATTTTTTCCTTCCCTGCCCTATGAGAGCGCATGAAGTTTCTTGTCTTTGCAGTTTGTCACGCCAGGCACTGCTTGCTGTCTTGAGCACTTTGACACAACCTATGCAATGTGTCAACACTATTTTCCTTTTCTTTTTGTCTGTTTTGAAAAAGCCATAATATAGCTTGTTGATTATAGTAATGAACCGAACCGTGAAGACCTCTCTTTACAGCCAAACCCAAGCCCTACATACCAGTTTCCGGCCTAGTCGTAGGGCAGGTGATGTCATGCGAGATGCCAGGCAGAAGACAAGCTTTTTCAAGGTGCGCGCCTTCGACGACCACGAGCAAGGAATTCTAAATCAGGCGCGGAAAACTCGGGTGTGTTCCGCTGCAGTCAGGAACGCGTCCGACGGCATATTATGATTTAACTGCTCCGGGAAGGTGATGGGCGCGAGGAGTGGCCGCTGTGGCTCCACTACAGCCCGCCACGAACCACACGTGCCTGCCATTTTGGGACGCAAGCCAGCCGGCGCGAACAGCCCGATTTAGCAGTCACAGAAGACCCGGGTCTCGCCAGGGTAGGCACGCTGGACACACCGCAACAATTAGCCAATGGTAGCGGCGGGCGGTCGCGGATGGCCGGATGATAGGGTGAGCAGCACGGAGCAAGGTTGCCAGGCGGGCTTGGCGGGGTGGCCGCCGCGAGAAGGGGAAGCGGCGGCGCGGGGACCTCGCGTCCTCCGTACTCCGTAAGTACTCCGTAGGGAGGAGCATACGGAGCATCAGGTAACGTTAGGGAGTTCCGTACGGAGTAGTTCTACTGACAATACGGAGGAATGCTCGACGACCCCGCGGCACCACCACGACCACCACCACGACCACGACCATCGCCAGCAGTCGCTGCCTAAGTCGCTTGACGAAGCTTCCCGGCCGTAGACGACGGGCTTGGCCTGCTAGACAGCCAAACAGACAGGAAAACTCGCATTCTAGCCCTGACCGCCAACCGCCCTGCCTGCGCCTGACCATCGAGACGTGGCCAGCGCACCCCCCACGGCGTCTCCTGCCCGTCTACCTATCCGCCCGTTAAATATCCTGGGCTCCGTCCGCCGCCCTGTGCCTCGCTCCCACCCCCTTCGCAACCCCCCCTATCGCCCTCCAGTACGCTGTGTCGCCCTTCCCGCCCCTCCCTCGACGTCCTGCTGTTCTGCCTCCGGCTGTCGGCCCTTGGCGCCTCGCCGTTGTTGCGTCACTCCTCCCGCCCGTCCTCACCAGCAGCTTCCCCGTTCCGTGCATCTCCCTCCCTCCCTCCCTCCCCCACCCCGCCATCCCGCCGTCGACGCCTGACGGCCCGGCGCGCCAGTGAGCGCCCTCGTCACGATGTGAGTCCCTGTATGCCCCCCGCCCTCCCCCGACCCTCATCGCGCTGACGCCGTGTCCCGCGGCGCTGCAGGAAATTTGGAAAGCATATCCAGCGCCGCCAGCTCGATCTGCCGGAGTATGCGGCCAGCTTTTTCAACTACAAAGCTCTCAAGAAGGTGCGAGTTTTGCTCCACATTGGTGCTTCCGTGCCGTCCTTGTTGCCAGCTAACCCCCAGGCGCCCCCTACCTAGCTTATCAAACAACTGAGCGCGACGCCCACCATTCCCGCCCAGGGAGCCACCGCCTCACCAGTGTCTGAGATCCTCGACCCTCAAGCCGCCCTGCGTGCGAACAAAGAGGTGTTCTTCTTTCGTCTGGTATGCATCAAATCGCCTCCCCTCCACCCCCTAGCTGCGGCTTGCTTGCTATCGAAGGCTAACGCTGCGTCATGTTTCGTTCGTTTATAGGAAAGGGAGATTGAGAAGGTCAACGTGTTCTATCTGCAAAAGGAGGCAGAGGTAGGACTGTCCACTAGAGCTGCGCTTCGGTTTTCCTTGGCAAGAATGGAGTCCCTAACCGTCGCTGCTGGCCACAGTTCTCCCTGCGCCTCAAGACATTACTTGACAAGCAAAGAGTCGTTCAGTCAAAACGTTCCATATCAAATTCGAAGGCTCCCGCCAATTTCGTCACTTTGTTTGAAGGCTTTCAGCAATTTGATGGTGATCTTAACAAGCTTCAAGTGAGTTTAGGTGCCAGATAGTTGTGTGCTTCTATTGAGAAACTCACCCTTATTCTAGCAATTTGTTGAAGTAAATGAAACTGCAGTCTCAAAGATCCTTAAAAAGGTTTGTCACAAACACTACTTTCTGTGCAGCTGTGAGTTCTTAAGAGGTTAAAGACAGCTAACTGAGATTTATGCGCTTTTAGTGGGATAAAACTTCCAAGGTACGGTTCTTTTGTGGGGTGTTTGACGTTACGCTGAGCAAGCATGTGAAAACAGTGACTAAATATTCATGTAGTCTCGGACAAAAGAGCTGTATCTCCAGCGTGCGGTAGAAGTACAGCCATGCTTCAATCGAGATGTTCTAAGAGATCTTTCAGACCGTGCAACCACAGCACGATTGGAATTAGAGGCTTGGGCTGAAGGTGAAAACATACAGTTTGACACATCTCACAGCGTGGAGCGATCCAATGTCCCAGAAGAAGATGATGTTGATCTTCATGCCCTACATACTGCATCAGCAGGTAATCTTGCCATTTTGCGAGATTGGATATCCAAACTTCAATTCTCTCAGGATGCTGGACTTCGTGTTACCCGCATATTTTTGGCGGCAATCAATGATTTCCCAGATGAAGTACTCACCTTGCTCCTAGACACAGGCCTTGTGGACATGCATGCCCAGGATGATATCAATGAAAGGAGCTGTTTACATGAGGCCGCTATTTCTGGTCGGGGGTTTGTCTTGAAGGCTGCACTCGAGCGTGGAGTTGATGTTTCCCATACCGATGTCTACGGCAGAATACCGCTGCACTATGCATGTATGCATGGCCGGGTAGAGATGGTCTGTGCATTGGTTGATGCCGGCCCGCCCACGGTGGATTTTATGGACCATGATAACTTCACACCATTGATACATGGCATTATCCGGGATCAGCTACCTTGTGTAGAACAGCTTCTCTCTCGCAATGCGCGCATCAATCCGTCGTCGGAATCGGATCATATTCCACTAAATCTGGCATGCCAGCATGCCTCTTTACCAATAATACGGATGCTCTTGGAGCGAAATGCCGAACTTCTTCCGGACGCTGAAGGGTTATACCCTCAACATCTGGTTGCGCGTTCGTGTCGCGCCCCTGATGTAATACTTCTTCTCAGGGATCACGGGGCTGATCTTGATCAAAAAGACAAACTCTACCAATGGACACCATTGTTTCATGCCGCTAGCGAAGGATGCGTTGCGTGCCTGCGGACTTTACTAGACAGTGGTGTTGATGCCGATGCGCTTGACGAAAAGAATTTGCCTGCCATGTATTACGCTGTTTGGGAAGGCCACCTAGAGTGCATGATCCTTCTATGGTCAAGAAAAGCAGGACCGAGGCTTAGCCAGGCACCCCCTAATTCTCTCAATGGGCCAAATTTCCGTGACGCTGGCTCTATGACATCTCCTACTCTCGCAGAACGCCCCGGCCCGGGAAGTATGGAAGGAGATGGTATTCCAGATCTGTCTCTGCCTCCTCCTATTATTCCGCTCCGTCGCTACGGTCACAATTTCTTGGATAATAAAACATTCATCCAGATTTGCTTTGACTCAGCCCCATCTGAATCAATCGTGTTTTACCAAGCTGGCCGCTATGCTGCCGCCCGACTTGCCATATCCTCGAAACTTTCTGATTTAATTCCGCGAAATATCATGCTGCCGTTGCAAGAGGATTCTAGGGTTGTTTCATTCCAAATAGACCGGCTAGATACCTTTGCTCTAGAGTTTGAGATTTTTCCTACGTTTGGCTCGAAGGTAATCGCGAAAACTGTCGCTTTGCCAAACCTATTCTCTACCGGAAATCGAAGTTCTGGGGCATGTTGCTTGCCTCTTTTCGACCCAAGGCTACGGCCAATCGGCGAAATTAAATTTTGTTTCCAGGTAATCAAGCCATATTATGGGGAACCACTTGAAATCACACACTTCGCGACCTATTGGAAAGCCACCAGTGCTCTTGATTCCGATCACAATGGCCAAATCACCGGGTCGAGCCTCTCTGGGGACTATGTCCAACTCTTTATTCAACTAACAAGGGATAATATTCCGGTATTATGTCCAGAGTTCACCATCAAGCACCATGGAATTGAGATTCCCGTTTGTCGTCTCACCTATGACCAATTCAAGGTCGTGGGGCGTGAGCGTCATAACCAGAATAATTCAGCAGAATCCTTATTACGTTCACTGGAAGCACTAAGTGTTGATGACCTTGCGCATGCTCACCGCTTACTTGCAACCTCCTTTTTATCTTTGCAGGAAGTTCTCGCACACCTTTCGACAAACATCCATGTCAACCTTTGCATTTTGTATCCATCTGCCACAGACGAAAACGAGTTCAGCCTTGGCCCTCCAACAGATGTGAATATTTTCGCCGACTCTATTCTCACAGAAGTCTTCAATCATGCCAGGGCCTCAAAGGAAAATAATCCATACTTTATGCGCTCCGTTGTTTTTACTTCATACAACCCGAATATATGCATTGCTTTGAATTGGAAACAACCGAATTGTAAGTATAGATATATCGGTTTCTCTGTGCTTCTGTTAATCTGTGATATTTAGACCCTGTACTTCTTTGCAATGATCTAGGCCAAATCCGAGATCTCACCCGAGACTCCATGACACAGTCGCCAATCTGCTGTAGCGGACGCGCTTCAATGTCTGTCAAGGAAGCAGCTCGAATTGCACAGGGTAACAATTTCATGGGTTTGATGTGTCGGTCTAGTTTGTTGGTACGTCATATCCAGAGCCAGGACGCCGAATGTGCTAGCTAACTCGTTTCTGCCTGTAGAACGTAATGCCCGCTCTTATCGAATCCGTTAAAGAACAAGGTCTCGTCCTGGTTGCAGATACATCTGATGAAAGTGGAGAAAGGAGCCGACCAGTACCTCCCATGGGAGCTGAATGGGCGTATCGCATGCCTACTGGTGTCAACGGCGTAATGAGAGGAACCGGTATTCTACGATTCAACGATACCATTGACATGTGATCGTGAATCCTTTTTCCTCACATTACATTTGGCTCCAGGTTGTCCCTCCTTCATTTAGAGTTCTTTGTCACATTTGTTTTCTTATTGCATTGTTATATCTGAAAAATGGAGAAAGGGGGGGTGGATGTTCTATATCTTTGCATTTCTTCAAAAAGGGGGGTGGATTCTTTGAATACTATGCACATTTGAAAAGAAAGCGTCCCCATTGTTGCCATTTTCTCCTACCCCCTCCCTCATACCAGACTGTAGGCTGCGGCATTCTAGGAGTAAGCTCATGCGGGTAATATTAGCAAAATAAATGGTAGGTGTTATTGATTGTGAGGTATTAAATAGAATCCTAGGGAAGATTTAATTATGTATGTACTAATATGTGCTTATGACTTTGAAATACATGCTAATTTGCTGCTACTGCGGTATGAATCTGAGAAAGTGCACTCTGAGCTCTTCTGTACCCTCTTAGTTTAAATAGCATTTGACTGGAAGAGACATCTGTCTGTCCCAAAGACTTGATTATTGACAATCCCATGGTAAGCTAGCTTTTCCATTCAATGGGCCTAGCATCCAGACAGCTAAAACCAAATACTAGCAAGCCGAGTAGCAAGCTTGGTTCGCCTGTTTGCTCAAAACGTTAAAAAGCAAAGAACAATAGCTCGCTAGAAGAAAATGGAGTCAAGAAATACCATGAGACGGTACCCCAAATTTATCCTTGCTGATGCCAACCATTGTTGATTTCGGGTATGAGGTGATAAAATCTGGGCTACCTGGGGTCAACGTGCAGAATACGCCTGGCTATGTATGCTGCTTTACCGGAAGCTGGCAACTAGTTCGACGGTGATTCCTTTTGATTGGAACTAAACAAATATAAATTGGTATAACTAAACCACTCATCTATCTTTACTCCACCAGTTAGATCTGACGGCATGAACCAACGAACTTTATCAATAGGCGCTGTTGAACACTATTTCAAGAGTTTTGAGTCCTAACTAAGAAATTATGTACATACATTTGAAGAAGTTACGTTTCGTGTCCTTCACTTCATCCTGGATGTACTCCCCACAGGACAATTATACATCAAGGTTCCTACCTAAGGAGACTAGATTAGTTATATCTCATATGCTGTTCTAAAATTTAACCTACATAAGCTAGTAAAAGGTCTAATGGGATGCTCCTTCCGTCTGCCTGAAACGCCATGTAATTCGGCATCAGGAAGTGGGCTCGATGTCCCAAAAATATATTCCCGGTAGCCAAGAGTCTGAGATTGCACGCATGCATGTCTGGAAACATGAAGGTGTAGATGAACGTGTTTCTACTAACCTTTTGGCTTCTGCCTTCCAATATTCCACCCCCATCGCCTTAATGTTTTGACAACATGAGGTGTGACCGCAGCGGTAAGTGGAACCCGAAAGAAAATAAGGCTCTTATGCACCGCATATGCTAGAGCAAGCTGTGTCCAGATACCTGCCAACATTGTCAGAAAATTATCAGACAGGTTATTGATAGACGGCAAACATACTAGCTCCCTCCCCTGTCACTTTGTTTTCGGGTGGAGTAATGCCATGATCCAATGCGGTGGTCTCGAATCCCGTTGTTATCGCTACATGTCCCGATTCAGGAGGCTCGGAATTGCTCGCCTTGCGGCCCCAGAGTGGTCCAACGGCATTCTTGGCCGACTCAACGACGACATGTTCATAGTGGCCGATGCGCTCAACGCCCAATAGCCTGACAGCTGCAAAGCAAAATGGGAAATCTAGTGCTGATAAAAATAAATACACACCCAGTGCAGACCATCCGTATTCTCGAGAAAGCTTGCGCATTCGTGCAGAGAACGTTTGGGGTGTAGGGGACGACGACTTGGTGGAAGTAAAGCGACGGGAGTGTCGAAAGAATAAGCTGGGAATAGACCATAGAGTTACAGGGCGGAAGCTATCGGGTTTGACTTGTCGTGTCGATTTGCTGAGTGTGTGAACAGTTTGGCCATCGAATTGAACGGTTATCGAGGGTTGGGTCGGCCTTGGTATTTTGCTAAATTTGCCCAAGGAGAAGGAAGAATGATACCGACAAGGAAGATGCCAGGTTTGGATCAGTGGACGCCGCATTGCAGTTCTTGTTGCTCTGTGCAGAGCTCCAGCTTTAGGCCAACTATAGCTCTCAAGGCCTTTAGATTGGCTCAATATTCGACTAGGCGGTAGTAAGTAGAGGTAGGAAAGAGCACTTTACTCCAGGCTGCGTTAGCTATGGATGATACTCGGCGGTAAAGACACTTGCTCCACTATAATTCACACCTCTACCACTCAACAGATGGTGCTGGTTGTATGTAAATACGTATGTCTGAATCTGTACGAAGTCATAGGAGATTACTCCGTAAAAAATCTCACATCTTGCATTAGTTAACTAGCTAGGTTACTCCGTAGTTAACTGACTAAACTAACTGACCAACAATCCGGATAATTAATTTTCCATTACTAAATTTCGCAAATGGAAACCAAGAAACCTTTCATGCACAACCTTCAATAAGTGACTTTGAGGTTGTCATTTCCGTCTGTGATACTGCCAGATATGCCTCCATGCCTTATTAGAAAAAGTCTCCGGCAGCTGTTTCCCAATAAACTGAGCAATTCACCTCTCCCACCGCAAAGAATTTCACAACGATTGTTCGGCATAAAGTCCTTATATCCTCCGAAAACGAACCGATTCAATGTTGGCGCAGATATACCAATTCTCACATCCTCACCTTCTGCAGCATCTGAGCGCAAAGCAAATACTCTTCCCTTACGCTCTGGCGCTCTCGCCATAAAGAAGGGTATGTCTGCCGTTTTTGACCCAGAAACTGGTACAAGAACACCCTGTACCGTTCTCCAATTAGACAGAGTCCAGGTCATTTCGCATAAGACCCGTGATAAGCATGGGTATTTTGCAGTACAAGTTGGGTCAGGGTGGAAACATGAGGGCAATGTTACAAAGCCTATGCTTGGCCATTTTTCGGCGAATAGAGTCTCACCAAAGCGATATATTCAGGAATTCCGAGTCAAAGATGAAATGGGTCTACTGCCCGTTGGCGAGATGATAAACGCGGATTGGTTTCAAGAAGGACAGTTTGTTGATGTGCGATCTAACAGCCGGGGCATGGGGTTTTCTGGTGTTATGAAACGATGGGGATTTGGTGGGCAGGATCGAAGCCATGGTGTTAGCTTAACGCATCGATCTTTGGGATCAACTGGCCCGAGTCAAGGCGGTGGTTCGAGAGTGTATCCAGGAAAAAAGATGCCTGGAAATATGGGGAATGAACAAGTTACGATACAAAATTTGAGGGTTCTCAAAATTGATGCAGAAAAGGGGCTTCTAGTTGTAAAGGGCAAGTCAAAAATTTTGGATTTGTTTCTTCACTGCTTTTTTCACTGCTCATGCTAATTTATCTTTTGCAGGGAGTGTTAGCGGGCCAAAGGGACGTTGCGTGAAGATACAGGATGCCATCAAGAAGCCTTGGCCCGTGATTCCCGCTCAATCAGACTCTGGATTGAAAAATTAGCGATAATATCCCTTTTGTATATTATACAGCATTTGATGAGTGGCAGTTCTTATTTGCATTCTTATTTTAAATGCAAAATATCACCTTAAAATCTTAACCCCGTTTTTGTATTCCGTAGAAGCAACCATTCGGATGTACAGTATGTACTATACATACGAGTACTCTGTACCTTCTTCGCCTAAACCCCGAGGAAAAAAGCTGCCGAAGAAACGCCTTGTAAACGGGATTTTGTAGAATCCTTAAACTGGCTCGGCTTGCTGCTTCCCGTCCGCAGTCATCGAACCCTGGAAGGGATCGCCTTCATCAAGTAGCAGAATTACTGTTCCGTCTTCCATCTCCAGGCTCCAGTCCTCAGTGTGAAACTAAGTAGTGATACTGAATGAGCAAAATATAGTTACCCATCTTAAGAAGGGCAATAGGGCACGCTGGTAAAAACTTACGAAACCCATACGGTTTGCTCGAATACTCTTGAACCGCATTTTTCCTTTAGCGCGCGTACCTTTAACCCAAAAAGAAATATCTATCCGTCCATGAAGCTGATTCATCTCGCCACTAATCCACGGGACTTTTTGGGCAAAGTAGATCTCGTCTCCCAAAATTTCTCTCGCTTTCGATGATGTTCGTAGTGCATACATGGTGCTATTAACGACACTGGAGGACGATTTTTGGTAATTAAAGATCCCAAACATGGAAGCCGCAATTATGGTGGCAAAAATGGGAATAGTTTTAATCCATTGCCGATGGGAGTTGATTGACGGAAGCTCGCGGTCTGCCCTTCGTGTTAAGAGGGGGCCTGTATTGGGGCCTGGGGCTGCAACCAGGGAACGTCGAGAAGAAAAAACATAGCGTCGAATTCTGCTAGTATTTGAAGGTCGAAAAGGCCTAACACAATTCATAATAATTGTCGAGAGGTTCCACGCCCCTGTTTTTGATTCCAGAAGTTTGTTTTCTACAGCTCCTCCAAAACTACAATGTGCTGGGGGTAGTGTTATGTAACGGCTCGGAAAATTGGTATTCCGAGGGTATGGAATTCTGCCACCCACATAGCTACTACACCTCCTCCATACTGACATACAGCAAACTTGATTGGTAATCCCTCTTTTTAAATCGACTTACGGGCCTATTTGACTTCATAGAAAATGGGTGAGGTTACTACCATGGCGGCTGCTCGTCTTCGTAGGACATTTCGCTATCCCAGCTTTGACAATGATGACAGCCTACGGGAGGAGTTAGATGAACAGGGTGCGGAAATGAACACAATAACTTCACTTTTCATACATACCCAGGAGAACTTTCTGACAGGAACTCTTTAGAACAAGAGGCTTTAATAGACGATCTTCGTCGTCAAAACGAGAAAAGGAATGTTCAGTATCAGGTAAGGTGGTGTTTGTGTTTACAAATTCCCTGCTACCTTTTTTAAGGGTGTTGACTATCTCTGCAGTATATATTAACTGTCTTCCCACTGTTGTGTTCATTAATATATATTCCATTCCTATTATCGCCTGGCCGAAGTGCTCTTCAGATATCCTGCTCTCTTCTAGGGTGTGCTTCCCTTTTATGCTCAGCATATATCATGTGGTGTCTCATACCAGTGCACCGGGGTACAAAGGGAAAGCGTCCGATGATGAATATAGAGCAACAAAGTGAAGTTTTAAAACGACACATATTCTCAGGCAATGCATTGCTATGTGTATTTCTTTTAGTGGCAGCCAGTCCCACTGATGATATATCTGATTCGAAAGACACTCTGTGGATACTCAATACAGTTCCAGGTGGTCAGCTCTTCTTTCTGCTATTTAATCCGAAGTATCTAAAATTCTTTCTATAGTGGTTTGCCTTACCATCTACATGGCTCGCAGAACAATGATGTCTGTTAATATTGGAGAACTAGAGCATCTTCGTTATGAATATAAAGGTGCTTGAACTGGAAACCAAAGTTGAATTATAATACTGTTCGCTTGGGTTCAATTCTAAAAGGTTCCACCTCTCATCTAAGAAATTCACTTATGCTCACCCCAAGAAATGCATCAGTATTTTGCAGGGCCTTTTCGGCTTTTGGGTCCAGAAGTGCATTGTCGACACTTGTTCTACTCAGCACCTTGGGATGCTGGTTTTATTCTACTAAAATTAATTTTCATATCACCAAATACCTACTTCTTTCTTCCTTTCTTGAATTTTGAATGAAGATTTTGGGTTGTGCCTACCCTGTATTTAGTATACATTGCATGAAATGACCAGGCAGTACTTTTAACACACACAACTACACCAATCCCAAATTATTCTAGAGTTGTATTCTCAACTTATGCTAGGAATAGGGGTGATATAAACGCTGATGAAACAGCTTAGGTTTGATGCAGAATTGTTCATAAATATCCTGCTTCAATCAAGCCAATTGTATTGAAACATCAAAAATAGACAAGGGCACGAGTTTGCTTCATTCACAAGCTCAGCGGCACAAAAAGATTCACGCCCACGCTTCACTGTCAATGTCCGCTGCCTCTCCCTCCGCCCACTGCATGGCCATTATTTTCGCCCTTCGATTCTTTTCGTTCTCTGTCATAGGCTTCGACTCAACCACGATCATTGACTCCGATGATGGGGAAGCCGTGGAAGGGGACTCGCTTAGTTCAAAAGCTTGTTCGCCGTATATAGGATTCGACTGGATGCTGCGAGTTTCGACATCGACGGCAGTAGAGTGTGGAGATTGGTTGTTTGTAACTGGAGTACCAGTATCTTGTACAATTTGTTGCTCATAAATTTGCTTCGCTCTCGTGGCTTCTATCTGTGACCTGGGTCCCATTTCTTCTTGGTCACTGGGAACAAAAGGGTCTTCTGTGTACCGGACCTTAGGGGCTTTTCTTTTCGGCACGATCCTACCTCTCTCCGTGCGAAGATTATGGATAGAAATAGCGTCAGGCTGGAACTCTTCGTCTTCTTTCGATCGCAATTTATTCCTCACTGCGGCGGCTCTGGAGGACCTACCGCCTAGATCAGACTGTATAATGGTAGTGTTCTCCGAAATCCCGTCAAGGCCAAACGCAGAGGTGCTATTTCCAATTTGATGTTGTCGTACAGAAACGATATGGGTATTATGATGAGCTAGGGCGTCTCCAGCCATGTTCTGCAAGGCCGAAACAGAAGCTTCTGGGTCAGAATATTCAAAAGTGATACCTTCTGTAACCTCGTAACGGTTTGTCATGTCCTCTCTAAAAACCGCGTTGCTTGGAATGACAAATTTAGTCGAGCTAACTGTAGCAGTCCCTAATGTCGGGTCAATGGCAATGTCCCCGTCGTCCTGTGTTTCTGAAGGATTGTTCCTGTTATTAATCATGAGCAACGGATCAATACCAGTGGTATCACCGATAGGAGGGGCTGATCCATCAGCTTCGTCATGATAGATGTCATGATCATCAAGAACTGGATCAAGCTCCTTCGCCTTCTCTGCCTCTTCGAGCCGCTTCTTCAGCCTACGTGTCTCTGTAAGATGCTCACCGTGGTCACCCGCCTTAATAATCCAATTAATATTTGACTGGCTAAAATCGACAAGACTTTCGACGCTTCTAGGATCAGCCACTTTCCTTGTGTCGTGGCCGAGTGAGGTTCCAGTGGGCTCATAGGGCTTCATTGTCGGGTCACGGCGACAGGCTCCGCAGGAACAAATCTTTCGACATTTTGGACAGCTCCAATTCAATTGCTCCAAAGTCTCGCGCGGCGATATATCAAATGCCCTATAAAGACTACCATAGCAGTAGCTCACGGCACAGGAGCTGCATGTAGCCAGCTTCCATTTGGGCTCGGGAGTCTTGCAAATATGGCAACTGCCGTGTTGTTTCCGGAATTTTTCAGAGCGGCGAATCCTACGACGTTTTCTGACTTGGCCATCGTCATTAACTTCAATTACTTCGTTATGTTCCTCACGGATATCTGGTTTTGTGATGTCGTTCCATGGCCGTCTCTTCAGTTCCTCTTGGCAAATCTCAGCCAGGGATTTCTTCTCAAGGCGGCCCGTCTCTACTGAAAGGGGTTCCAAAGATTCGCCAATGGTCGATGTGCGACTTCGAAATTGTAATATTTGATTTCGCCAAATCTCATGCTGTTTAGTCAGATCCTTCCATCGAAACTGCTCGACCCATTTAAGTCTCGAGATACATGCACAGCTTCTACCAATCGAGTAACATTCCAGGCAGATATCGTAATTATCATCATCTCCATCTGTAAGCTTTCCAATACAAGAAGTACACGTTAGGAACCGGTTGAAAATGTTGCATCTGCAATATGAACATATGACATTACTGCTGAATTCAATGCACTCGACATTTTGCGGCTCTGGAAGATCCCTAGAAAAGGTTTCTGAGAGCAAGATCTCTGTGTATAGAGAGAAGAGGCGTCGGAAATCCTTTTGCAATTGCCGTACTTTAGGGTTACCACGTGGATCTGCCCCTCGCAAACGGTCAGAGTACAGCATTAACGTGTAATATATGATAGCTTTATTCTTGTATTGTTCATCTCGACAAACCATTCTGGCTTTCGGGAGGGCTTCATTGATGGCCATTTCTAAAGTTTCCACGGTAGTTCTATTCCACGCTACTTTCATGGTTCTCGTACCTCTATTCCATACTTGATGAGGTGCCAGCGGGGGAATGAGAATAAAATCGCCAACTTTTTGCTCAACCACGTATGTTTTAAATGGTGCTAGCTTCCAGGCATTTATCTGTGCGAAATGGTCCTCGATCTCAATATCGTGTCCGAGTCGGGAAAGCCAATACTCCGAGACCAGGTGCCTATCTTTGGTTTCTGTCATGAACCAGATGGACGAGCCTGGTTTTGTGATGTTTCCATCCTCAACAAGGCCTGAAGATGTTTCAACCATTATGTTGTGCCCCAGTGTTGCACACATTTCTCGATGAGACGGAGTATACGTCCCTTCGTGTCCGATATAACACATTAAATTTTCTGCTCTCATTTCTGGCGGAAGACAGCTCATTAAGTCCCCAGACCTCGCAATACTGCCGTTAGAACCGGCAGTCGAGTGATTCAAGTAAAACAAGAACGGAGGAAGTAGACTTCCTAACTTCTCGTGCCACACGGGGGGGCAATCGATGTCTTTAAGATAAATACGCTGTCTATCCATATCTTTATAATTCGTGTCGGTCCACTGATCCGTCAGCAACGGCATGTTCTTCAAGTAATGGCCGATAGTTAAAGGGAGGTTTGATTTGACGGTAATATTCCTCGCGTTTTCCGCTATTAAACCCTTTTATTAGTTGACGTCTAAAAGCGTGCTTATATATAACATTACTCTTCTTCCCATGATTGTCCTTTAGCCATTGTGACGAGAATGTCCATTTTTCTAACCGTTCCTGGTATCCCTCGACCACTAACGGTTTACCGCCCATAATAACATGTAGTTGAACCAACTTCTCAAAATCTTCAATCCCCTGCTCATCGATAGCATCGCAGTGAATCCTGACGACGTATTCAAAATTTGGAGTGGACTCAACTAAGGCGGCAAGATCGAGATTCGGTGAGATGGGTTCGAAAGATGCACGCGGTTGTCTTCGAGGAGCCATTGCTAACTTTCGATGTCCGAACCCACATTACCCTTGGGTTTTCAAATGGATCAAGTAGCCCGTCCTGGCTGGTTCTGTATTGAGCTTAAGGGGAAGTACAGAGTAACCGATATCCGTTAAGGGTTATGGATCCAAGATGAGGCTTCCAGTCGCATACCGAAATGTAGCATTGGGCTTACCTCATCCCCTCAGACGAATGCTGCTAAGATTCCTTAGCGCAAATTTAGTGTTCTAAACTTACTTATTCTGGTAATTCTACCAGAACCTGAGCAGTCCAGTGTCTGAGCCATCTTCCAGATTTTTTGCAGTAAGTAGTAAGTAAGAAATCATCATGCAATTTTGAAATTTGTAACTTAAGCTGGTAATTTCAAATGAAGTATCTGAATTCAAGTATTTGATATGATATGAGTTACTATAAACTCACTTTATTACTTCAGATCAAGAATATGTATTATATCTACAGAGTGATTTAATCTACTTCATATCATCAGATTTTTCCATTTCTATTTAATGAAGAGAAATAAGACATAAAATGCTTATTTTATAAATTGTTGAAGAAATAAAAATATTTTATGAATTATAATTTTATATAACTGTAAGACTCTGTGCTGCAGCCATCTTATATTCATCTCATTATTCAAAAGAGATTTATAAAATCTTCTTGATGCTTAGATGATTATGCTCTTAGTCACTCAGAGTTCATAAACTCTGTAACTGATTATATAATCTCATTAACACAGTGAAACATATGGGAAATTCATCACAGATGCTTTCTTATAAAGATTAGTGACAGTATATCTAGAAACTCTAGATACTATTGTAGCAATATGAATTATCTCTCTTTCTCATATACTTAGATTTTTTTATAATTACTTCACACTGAATTAATTTTACTTATGAAAATCATAAATCATTGCCATATTATCTATAATCATCTGATTCTAACAGTTTATCACTTAAAAGAGCAGATGGTTCAAGAATGATTTCTAAAAATAATGAGATAGAATTAGGCTGACTGCAGAGACAGAGATTTCTCAACTGAAATCCCATTTCTAATGCACTAATGGGAAATTGGGATGGGACTGGGAATTGATAGTTCAAACTGAGATGGGACTGGGACTTGAGTTTCAAGTACTGAGATGGGAATGGGACTTAATTTAAAGAAATTGAAATTATTTAATTAGGGATAGAGATCCCCAATTTCCCTAAACTTAAAATAAAACCTTATTTTATACTATTTTTAGTACCAAAATCATATACAAATGTATATATGCATTTTGACTTGATGTGCCAATTTTTCTATTTTGTCATATTTTGGTGTAAAAATACACTTTCAAAATAAAGTTTGAAAAAAAATTAAAGTTGTTTTAGGGATTGGGAAATCCAGGGATGGGACATAACATAGAAAATTTGAAACTGGAAAGGGAATGGGACTTGTTTTCATATTTTGGGATGGGATTGGGACCAATTTTCAAATTTTGGGAAGGAATTGTGTCATGCCCACTGTAGACTAGACCTGCCCTAAGAGCTAGTATCTTATTAGTTAGCATAGCTCTAATCTCACTAGTACTTAAAGCCACACTGGTCTTCTTTCACAGAAGATCAGTGATGAGTTCTTCTCTTACTGTGCATATAGCAATACTACTTTGATACTATAAGTGCAACTTAGTTATCTTTCTTACACTGTAGACTTAATACATTGTTCTCTAGCATCTATCTTATAGACTGCCATCTTACAGTTCTCATTGCTAAAAATGTGAGATGATTCATTAAGCTACTCTGTTAGAAAACTTCTTTCTATTCTATCTTCTCAATATCAACACATTTTACACAACAACAAACACAATTCCACACTGTTAGATACAATTAGATACTATGGCTGGAACCAGAAGTGGAAACAGAAAGAAACAAATAGATATGAATTCTGACAATAATTCACAGATTAAAGTCTCTACCACTGTCTCTCAGAAAGAACAGATGAGTCAGACTATAGCATCAGAGACTATAGCTGAAACTTCTTCAATGAATAATCAAGAAGCATCAGTAGTGCAAGTTGAACACTTAATTAATGCTTTCAGTAAGTCAATGAATGTTGACACTTCAGAGAGAGCAACTTCAAGAGAACAGACATCAGAAGCTGTCATTTTAAATCAGAAAAAGAACATTACAGTTCAGAATCTTCTTTATGATGCAGATCAAATCATCATGAAGCTTGAGACAAAGCTCAATCTCATCAAGAAAAAACAAAAGATTTAAAGATTGGAAAATCTCATTAAGAACAATGAAATCTTCAATAATTCTTCACTGAAGAAAAGAACTGAATGGAATCAAGAAACAATATCTCCTACATCTTTCTTTAATCTGACACTCAGAATGCAACTGATTTCTCCAAAATTAATCACAGAGAACATCAAAGACACAACAGATGCATAAGTGACAGCACTGAAAGTGCAATGAAAGAACTCTTTCTGTGATGAAAGTGCAAAAAACATAGATTCTGTGTGTGCTTCAATCTGAAAAGTGGAAAAAAGATTCATTGTCTGAACTCTCAAGAATTTAGAAGAGTTTATCACTGCCTCCAAAGTCTTCCATCTCTACCAAGAGAAATACTTCAAGAACAATGATAAACACAAGATATTGGAAGTCATTCAACACTTTGAACCAAAGCTATTGATCAAGTGGTCACATAACTTTAAGAATTCTGAGAAAAGAACCTCATGGGAAGACTTAAAAGCATGATTAAAATGTCAAATTGTGGACTCAAAACACACTCTTAGAAATGCAGAATGTGAATATCTGACACTGATGCAGAAGAAAAATCAAAAAGTGCATGACTTTGTCATGTAATTAGAGACTCTGAAATGCAGACTGAAACACAAATATGATGAACATCAGAGAAAATCACACCTCTATTCAAAGATGCTCAGTGAAGTACATGCTGAATATGATAAGTATGCAGATAACTTTGATGCACTTAACTATGACACACTGATACAAAGACTTACCACTGCAGAGAGAAACATTTCAGAAAAGTACAAGAAATTAAAGCTCAAAACATTTTCTTCATTCTTCTTTCATCAGAAAGATAGTAAGAAAACCTACTACAAAGAAAAGAAAAAGAGCAAGTCATGGAACAATAAAACAGATCAAAACTCAGAGTATGATAATTTCTCAGCAGACAAAAGCAGCAGAAAGTGTAAGTTTGATAATGAATTGATATCATATTGTACTTTCCACAAGTGAAAAGAGCATGCAACTGAAGATTGCTTGATTCTGAAGAAACAGAAATTGATGAACATCATGTCAAAAAATGAATAAAAGAGTTTATTAACACCATGATGGCTCTAAATTTATACAAGAAGTGGCAAAGTCTCATGTCTTTTCTGATCACAGTACAGATTCAATCAGCAACAGAGAAAGAAACAGTTCTGGTCTTAGTGAACTCAGAAGCAGAAGCAAACTTCATTGATCAATACTGAGTTAAATCAAAAGAACTGATTAATGATGAAAAACTCCTTAAGTTAGTCAAAACAATTGATGAACACAAGATACAGTTATGGAACCCATCATCTTGCTGTCAGCACAACCAACAGTAATGAGATTATGCAGTCAGTGAGTCAAGAGTTTGAAAGTATTGACCTAATCAATTACAATATGATCTTAGACTACTCTTGACTCAAAGAAATCAATTCACTGATTAACTGACAGAAGAACAACTGAACATACTGACAAAACATCTCTGAAGATCTTTAAAAATCAGAGATTATCTCAGCTGAAGAAGCTATGGCAGAAGTTATTACAGAGACTTAAACTTATATGGTCTTAATTGATGAACTTCTTATCACAGACAATGATTGAGATATCAGTGTGCTCTACAGCACAAACATTGCAGACACTGTGTCAGAATCTTCTGACTATGTTATGCCACTCACACAAAGTTTCTCCAAAGATAACACTGACATTGCAATTAATGATGCAAATGTTGTGAATTCTGTGTTGACATTGTCTGACTATGTTACATCATATGCACACATCTTCTCTGAAGAAAACACTGTCAATTCATCCAGACCACTAAACACTGAACATGTCATAGATCTGAAGAAAGAGAAGAAACCATCATTCATGCCAATCTATAATCTGTCAGAAACAGAGCTTGCAGTACTCTGGAAATACATAACTGATGCACTGAAGAAGAAATGAATTCAACTCTCAAAAAGCTCAGCTGAGACATCTATACTCTTTGCATCAAAGAAGAATGAAGGTCTCAGACTCTGTGTAGACTATAGAGATTTTAATCACATTACACTAAAGAATAGATATTCATTATCATTAGTTAGTGAAATGTTAGACAGATTGTCTGATGCTAAGATCTACACAAAGCTTAATTTCAGAGATGCTTATCATTGTATCTTAATATGCAAAACTGATAGATGAAAGATCACATTCCACATTCATTATGATCATTATGAATATAGAGTAATGTTTTTTGATCTTATTAATGCATCTGCCACTTTTCAAGCTTACATAAATGAAGCTCTTGCAGATTTACTAAATGTGTGCTGTGTAGTCTATCTGAATGACATTCTTATATATTCAAATAGCATGGAAGAACATAAGACACACACATGTAAAATATTAGAGTGCTTGAAGTGTGCAGTACTGTTTGTCAAACAATTTAAATGTAAGTTTGCAACAGAAAAAGTCTTCTTCTTGGGGTTTGTCATAGAATCCAAGAGTATTTCAATGGAAATAAATAGAGTGTTGACCATTCTAGACTGATCAACTCTCAAAAGCATTAAGAAAGTTCAATTCTTTCTTGAATTTACAAATTTCTATCACCACTTTATTCATGTCTATTCACACATAGTAAATGCACTCTTTGAGCTCACCAAAGAGAATACAAAGGAGAAACAGCACAACTTTGACTGAACAAAAGACATTCAAAGCACATTTGAAGAACTAAAAAGAAGCTTTATCTCAGCACCTTGCCTAGCACACTT